AGTAATAATTTGGGGGAACTGTGGACTGGGTTCAGCTCCAAAAGTGGACAAGACCATCACATTTCCCTCCGGCCTCTATCTTTCCTGCCACCTCTCTCTCTCTCTCTCTCTCTCTCTCTCTCTTCTGTCACTCACTTCTCCCTTTCTCCTGCTACCCCATCTCTTCTGCCACCTCCTTATTCTCTATCCTGCCACCCCTTTCTCCCTCCCTCCCCACTGCTGCGCCCCACCTCAGAACTTATCCTATGCTGAGGGATTCATCCCATTCCTTACCTCTGCCCTGTTTCGGCTTCCCTCTCTCACATTTCCACACCCTTCTTCCCTGGCTTTTCCCGACAGAACAGAAATATGCCCAGGCCCACTGAGGGCTACAGTTCCTCTGCTTCTGCTTTAAGTCATTGCCGCAGTCCTGTGCTGCCAGCCACAATGGAGCTCAGTGGAGGGAGAAGCCAGCCAACCAGCCAGGTCTCAGGGGGGTACTTGCCTGGAGGCAGAGTCCATATATATGGTATGGTCAGGTCCAGTCCAGTGCTAAGGCCAGGAGTATCTCAGTTCACATAGTCAGACGATCAAGAAAGCCAAGGGTCCAAGGTCACCAGGAACAAGAAGCAACACCATCTGCTCAGGAACGATGAATGCTGTTTCCAGCAACTTACTGAGGCTGGAAACCCTCTTTAAGAAAGCTGGAGCCAGCTGCTTCTCATGAGGAGCAAGAAGGCTGATCAGCAGCAGGTGGAGTCAATTCATCTTCTGATCCTTCAGGCTGCTGCTCAGCAGGTGAAGCCGACTCCTGGCCGACTCATGACAGTCATCCTCTCGCCATGATTGGAAAGCAAATAAGAAGGGTAGGTAAGACACAGGTTTGCACAGGAAGTTTGAAAAGCACGGGTGGGGTGGGGTGGGGTAGGGTAAGGTCATTAGAGCATTGGACCAAGACCTGGGTTCTCAACAAATGAACTAGGGCCCAGCTACTGTCTCTCAGCCTACCCTACCTCCCAGGGTTGTTGTCAGGATAGAATGGGGATGTGGATAACCACATGTGCCACCTTGGGCTCCTTGAAAGAAAAGCTGGGATAGGAGACGAAAGATGAAGAGGTAAAATCAGTCATGATCAAATGGGCACAAGATATAGGTCATAACATCATGATGGAGGATTGGGAAAGGTTATGGAAAATTGATTTAAAATTTACAGATTGTTTTTTGTTGAAAGAAAACTATATAAAGATGATGTATAGATGGTATATGACACCAGTGCAATTAGGAAAAATGTATAAAACTAGCTCAAATATGTACTGGAAGTGTAAGGAAAAGGAGGGGACATTTTACCATATGTGGTGAGACTGTAATGAAATTTTAAAAAATTGGGAAATGATATACAATGAATTGAAGAAAATGTTCCATCTAACATTTGTTAAGAAACCTGAAGCATTTCTGTTAGGGACTGTAGGAAAAGACCTGCCAAGGAAGTTGAAAAACATCTTCATGTATGTGACAACGGCGACGAGAGTCTTAATAGCACAAGGATGGAAGAACGAGGAAACCCCAACTAAAGAACTATGGTAAGAGAAACTGATGGACTATGCAGAACAGGCAAAATTGACACATAAACTAAGGGACAAGGATAACTGTGACTTTAAAGATGAATGGGAACCTTTTGCAAAGTATTTAAAGAAGCAACAAAGCAAACTGGACTCCTTGGCAGGCTTTGAAAAACACTCACAATTTTTTTATTGATAATAACCAGTCAGATAAATTAAGGATTTATACAATGCAGAGAATAGCATCTATAGAGAAACCAGAGACTGGAAATGAGGGAAGTCAGGGGGAGGGGGGAGAGGGGAGAAAATGGGGGGAATTAAGGATGATATGTTGTAAGCTAGTATGTTTTGTTTAAATTCCTAATAATATTTTTTTATAAAAAAAGAAAGAAAATCTGGGATAAAAGTGTAACCAATAATAATAAATGCAGCAAATAGATAACAGGAGAGACCGTCAGAAGATAGCGGCATGACCAGGAAATGTTCCAAGTGAGAATGCGCCTCCCTTGCCGTTCGCTCCATTCCAGAGCATCCCTCTCTGTCAGTCTTAATGGCAAATTGCGCCTCTCTCCCCCCAGGCCCCTGAGATTCGTCAAATTAAATTTTTGAGAGGCGTTTGCGTGAACTTGTAAGGAAATCTATTCTCTGCATTTCAAGCTCATAAATAGTTGACCGGTTTGCAGGAGGGGAGGGGTGGAGGAGTTCTTAATCCTGTTATAATCTATTCAGGCAAAGAAAAATCTGTGAAAGTAACAGCCAGCAAGCTGTTTCTGCAGTACATAGCTTGGGGCTGGGGGTGGGGGCAGGGAAACGCAGAGATGGCTGCAGCCTGCATTAAAATTCATGGCATCCCTGGGTTTCCAAGGCCGTTTTAGCCGTGGTGTTAAAGCAGTAGGTAGAGGGAGGTGAAGGAAATCTTCTCCGGCTCTCTGTTCGAAATTTTCTAGCAACTTTTTAGGCCACTCAGAACTCTTCCCATCTGCAGGAAACCAAACAGCTGCGGCCATTTTGACAGGGTAAGTTGGATCCTGCAAAAAAAAAGTTGCAGCGTAGCCTGCTCCACTTCTGGGTTCCAGCCAGTCATAATCTTTTCCAGGATACCTCATTTCACTCCACCTCTTCTCATTACTCCCTTCTCCTCTCTCAACATTCACTCAGTATTCTATAGTCACTGAGCATGCTCAGTCCAGCTGTTTTAGGGTTTTCCGTCTGTAATTGTTGCTGTTATTTTATTCATACTCCACCCATCTGGCTGGATTTCCCTAGCCACTCTGGGCAGCTTACAGCACATATAAAAACATAGTTATGGGTTGGTTGGTTGGTTGGTTGGTTGGTTGGTGGGGTGTTTGCTTATTCTTCTATAAAGCTCAGAGTTCCCACAAACCTGCCTATGAAGAAAGTTTGCAGCATTTGGGACTTCCTCGTTTAGAGAAAACGTTATGTACTGAAGTTCTCATCCTGGGCCAGCAGGGGGATACTGTAGATAGTTTTCACTCAGGTCCACATATGCAAATAAGGAATTGAAAGTGACAGTCAGTGATTGGATAGTTACAGAAAGTTGTTACTGTTGCGTTGTAGTGGAGCTCTATATAAGCAGGCTGGCTGAACCCTTCAGCTCAGTTCTGTTCTGGCCTGTGAATAAACAAGAGCTGTCTGAAGAATCATTGTGTCATCTGATATGTTCACCCACAACTTAACAGAAAAGGTGAGCAAGAGATGACATCACAGAAGTTTTAAAAAATTATACATGGCACAGAGGTTGTGGCTACAGAATGGGGCTCATCCACCTGAGAAGGTAGCCCATCCTAAACCTCTGCTGCCTTGCAGAATATCTTCGGTAGAAGAAAAGGCTAAGATCTGGAGCTAAATCCCTAAGATGGTTGGATGATGCCTTGTACCCTTCCTTCCAGCAACTCCTGCAGCCAAGCTGGTGCCAAACGTCTTGCTCTGCTTTCCTTTGGGTTACAATAGCCAGGCCATCTGGGAAGCCCAGGACCTCCATACACACTTGCCCAGGCCTGCAACCCAGGGAGGCCACTTCTGGTGCTGCTAAGACAGCAAAAACAATGCAGGAGGCGGCAGTTAGGAGCTACCAGTTTCTGCAGCCACAGCAGGTGCTGTGATTCTCCAGTAGTCTCCCCAGTGGCACACTCCATTGTCTCTCAGGAAGGCTGTCAACAATAATCCCTACGTTGAAGAACAGCTCCTACCAGAGCCTGATGGTAGGTGGATACAGGGCAGAGAAGGAAACGGAGCGTTATTCCTATAATTGCAAAAATGGATGGATGGGGAGACAAACCTTTATCCTGAGATACTAGGTTGTGTGCTCCCTCCTGCCCAGTGTCTTGACAAATCTAAAAGGCTAATATTTATTGCATGCATTTGTCAGGTTTCCGCGGTAGACTGCTGCCCTCTGATGGCCACAGGCATAAATTATGACCTTGATCCTCTTTTAAAGCCAACCAAGTTTGTGGACTTTGTGGCAGCAAATTCCAGTTTAGCCATTTGTTTCTTTTTGTCTGTCCTGAGTCTTCCAACATTCTGCTTTGCTAGATATCCCTGAGTCCTAGTGTTAGAGAATAGGGAGAAAAACCTTTTCTCTTTCCATGTTCTCCTTGCCAATGCATAACTCCTGTTACGGCACCTCTTACTTCCCTTTTCTGAACAAATGAAGCAACCTTTCCTCCTAAGTGAGTCACTCAATCTAACTGCATTGGGAAACAAAGGAGGAGTTTGAAAAGGACGTGCTGAAAAGGTTTTCAGCAAATCCAAGAACACCTCTTTTAGTTTAGATTTTTTTAAAAAGATGGGAAAAGGCGTGTTCTTTGTCATTTTGCAAAATATACTTGCTATATACGTGCACACCCTGATCTTGATTTAAATTTAACTTCCTAGTTTCCAAAGGACTGAAGATTTTCTGCGCACTTGGGGTCAAAAGAAAGTAATTTGAAAGTTGAGACATCCCAAATTTGCTTGACAGAGCCAGGCAGGGGATGATGATAGGGTGTCCTGCCCCCAGCCCAACATAAATCCTGGCTACACCCATGTATAGCCATGGGTGTAGCCAAGTTGCGGGGGCAGGGGAGGCAGCTGCCCCCCTAAATCAGTAAAAATAAATACAAAACAATACAAATCTGAGGTTCTGCCCCCTCTAACAAAAAAAACCCTGGCTATGCCCATGTCCCCAAATGTGACCTTGTTGTTCTACTTTGCTTATTTGTTATGATTCTACGATTGACGGGCACTGTATAAGAAAGTTTGCGATTAAAAAGAAAAGAAAGAAAGACTGCCCCCTCATTCACTGGTTTATTCACTCTACTCTGCAAGTGGCTTTCCACGCCCCTGGTTTAACCGCGCTGCATACATTTCCCAGAAGGATTTGAGGTAGGAGGAAGAGGAGGAACAACAGAGGAGTTCCCATGTGCCCAGCATGAACTACATTTTCCAGCAACCCTTTGGGCTCCAGGCCGGAAGTGGGAATCCCCAGTACGGCTTCTCTTTCCATGAGTCGTGCGCGGAGACGCTAGGAAGATGTTGGGCTTTAGAGGGCGAGGTGCGAGGCTCCTGGTCCGGTGGAGCAATGGATCCTCGGCACCACAGAGAGGTATTTCCCTTCTAGGTCCGCCTGGCCCAGCGCTTAGGCTGTGTGGATTTACTCGGGAGTAAGACCCAGGGCATCCAGTCGGGCTTGTTTCTGCGTGTTGCCCTGCGTCCTGTTCCCACGATCCGTTTTTCAACAGCGCACCCTCAGGTTGTTGTGTTTTTGAAGTGCTGTCCTAAAAAGGAAAAGGAAAAGAGGCGATAGGAGCACAGGGAGCTGCCTTGCACAGAGTCAGGCCATGTAGTTCAGTGTTGCCTACACTGGCTGGCAGCTGCTCCCCAGGATCTCAGAAAGGGGTCTTTTCCCAGCCCAACCTATGAGCCTCCTTCATGCAAAGCAAATGAGCTATGACCCTTCCCCGAAATACTTGGATTTGGAAACGTGTGTGCCTTGCACATTTGCTTTTATCGTGTTTTGTTTGTGTTTTTCTCTTGTATTTTTTATGCTGTGAACCGCCCCTGAGATCTGCAGTTGAAGGGCGGTATACTAATTTTTAAAATAATAATACTACGGTTGTCGGAAAGCTGCAGCTATTAATCGGATACGTGCTTCCCTGTTTACACCACTGCTGTTTCCTTCTCTCCATTTTGCTGTGCTGTGTCTAATATTATATCGTAAGCTGCTTGGGGCAGGGGCTTGGCTAAAGTGCTATGCAGCTGCAGGTCAGCTGACGCCGACCCAGGACTCCCCACATCACTACCATTTTGCTCAGTATTTATCCAGAGGCCACTACCTCTGGCCCTGACCCCATGAGCCATCACTGCATAGACTTTTTCAGCAGGGGGCCGGTCCACTGTCCCTCAGACCTTGTGGGGGGCCCGCCTATATTTGGGGGGGAGGATGAACGAATTCCTATGCCCCACAAATAACCCAGAGATGCATTTTAAATAAAAGCACACATTCTACTCATGTAAAAACACCAGGCAGGCCCCACAAATAACCCAGAGATGCATTTTTTTAAAAAGGACACATCTACTCATGTAAAAACACACTGATTCCCGGACCGTCTGCGGGTTGGATTTAGAAGGTGATTGGGCCGTATCTGGCCCCCGGGCCTTAGTTTGCCTACCCATGGCATAGACCATATTATGCTAGGCGGGCAAATAATCTCCAGTACAAAGCATACTGTAGGGAAGGAGACATAGGCTCACCGGTAGAGCAACGTCGTTTGCTTGCAGAAGGTTCAGTCCCCGGCATCTCCAACTAAGTCTGGCAAAGACACCTGTCTGAAGCCCTACCAGTCAGTGTAGGCAATAGCTGACACCCCTCTTTCTGGAGAGGCACACCTTGTAGAATTACAGTGCCTGCTGTGGCTGTAGGGATCGATATGGAGGAGAGGCAATAGTGTGGTACAGCAGTAAAACCGCTAGCACATTTGCAAAGCTAAGCAGGGTCCAGTATGGTTTCAAATTGGATGGGGGAATGCATGTTAAGATTCCTGTATTATAGGGGTTGGACTAGAGGACCCTTGAGTTCCCTTCCAACTCTGTGATTCTAGGAATACTGAGCTAAATGGGCCAGTTGCCTGATGTTGCATAAGGCAGGTTCCTGTATTGCTGCCTCACCCGCCAATTAACTGCTAGAAAATCGTACTACTTCCTGCTCTTAAAAGTTCAGCTATTTTGAATGCTGAAAGCAAGGTGGCCTCCAGTTTGTAGGCAACTCTCAGAAATTTGGGGAAGTTTGGGATAAAGTATACTGACTTTTTTTTTTTAAAGGATGTTGGAATTGATGCTTTGGTGCATGTGCTTGGAAAATTCCTGGGGCTGAAAAGATTTAAGCTGTCATCTTATAGATGCTGTTTGGGAAGTACCGTATTTTTTGCTCTATAAGACTCGCTTTTTCCCTCCTAAAAAGTAAGGGGAAATGTGTGTGCGTCTTATGGAGCGAATGCAGGCTGCGCAGCTATCCCAGAAGCCAAAACAGCAAGAGGGATTGCTGCTTTCACTGCGTAGTGATCCCTCTTGCTGTTCTAGCTTCTGAGATTCAGAATATTTTTTCTTCTTCTTTTCCTCCTTCAAAAACTAGGTGCGTCTTGTGGTCTGGTGCCTCTTATAGAGCGAAAAATACGGTAAGTCCTACCTAACACAGTAGGACTTGCTTTCAAGGCAATGCGTGTAAGATTGCACCACTGGGCTTTTTTATGGGTTCCATGGAATGCTCTTAAACTGTTTGGAAATATAAGCAGAGGTTTAAAACTCCTTGTTCTATTCAGGTTTTGCTGCCACTGCTCCAGTGAAGTCATATGACGTAAGAAGAGTCGAAATAACACCACTGGAGCAAAGAAAACTCACTTTTGACACCCATAATCTAGTGCGTGATCTAGAGGCACACGGTGAGCAAAGGGCGTGATCAAACAACAGTGCAAATTGAGCAATGGTGCTTAAACCTACAAGGATTCCTCAAATCAGTTTCCCTGAATGTCTAGCTTTCTGTGTGCAGGGATCTTTTGTGCATGAAGGAGCAATTGGTTTCACCAGCTGCTCCTTTTCTGCAGCCTGAATTGGTACAAACTTCTCAGTAGAAATTGAGCCACAGGCTCCAGCATGGAAGTCAGGTTTTGCCTCTACCCCAGATTTATCTGAAGGCAGGAATATTTGATCTAGAGCTGAGATGGGGGAGCCTTTTGCAGCTTGGGGGACACATTTTCATCTGGGAAGCCTTCAAGCCAACATGGCCAGTGTTCACATGAGAGATGTAGTACAATGCCCAGAGGACCACTGATTCCCCAACCTTTCCTTTAGGAAAACTCCCCCTTTTACATGTTGCACTTTTATCTACCCTTGCAGGGTTTGGGAAAGAGCAAGCCGAAACCATTGTGGCGGCATTAACGTCCTTGTCCACTCTCAGCTTGGATACAGTCTACAAAGATATGGTGACGCAGGCTCAGCAGGTGAGAAGAGGTCTTTGCCCCATTCCCTGCCTTGGCACTGAGAAGATGTCAGGGAAGGCTCTGTAGGCAGACCTTGCTAGGGAAAAGGCGTTCTGCAAACAGGGAGCTGCAACAGAGAAGTCCCTCTCCCTTGTCATCATCACTCTCCAAGCCACTTGCAATATATATAGATGTAAAGGTAACGGGACACCTGACCATTAGGTCCAGCTTTGGGGTCATGTGTCCAGCATGACTAAGCCGCTTCTAGCGAACCAGAGCAGCGCACGGAAACACCGTTTACCTTCCCGCCGGAGCGGTACCTATTTATCTACTTGCACTTTGACGTGCTTTCAAACTGCTAGGTTGGCAGGAGCAGGGACTGAGCAATGGGAGCTCACCCCGTCACGGGGATTCAAACCACCGACCTTCTGATCGGCAAGTCCTAGGCAAGTCCACAGCGCCACCCACGTCCTTGGACATAGATATGAATAAAATATAGTTTCTGGAAATCTTGCCTTCTTCCCAGTATAATAATAGGGGTTATAAAAGAAACAGATCAGCGTTGTCCCTTTATTGTCCAGATTTCACTGATGCGCTGGGCACACTTAAAGAAAAGCTTCCTAGGATCTGTCCAAATACATACATGGTAGAAGGATCTGGAAGTTTCCTTTTTGTTTGCAAACGCTTTTCTGTTTGTTTGCAAACTACTCCTAAGTGAACATGCCTTACTGGGTTCTGACACAGAGCAACAGTTTTGGAGGAAACTTCGCAAGAGCCCTGAACCAGGCGTGGATTCTAAAACATTGTTGTTCCACAAGCATGAATTTATTTCTCAACCCAAACTAGGAAGCCCTGTGGCCTGCAAGGTTGCAGTTCCAACAGTTCTGAAGCTTTTACCGGGATTTTTAAAAATTCATGACAGAAAAAGGAATGCCGTACTCGTTTTGGAATTGTTGTTATTTGAGGAGCAAAGGCCCAAAGCCAACAGTGAGACTTCTCTGTGCTTTTCCTTAGGGGGGGGAATGGAATATTTGCTAGAATTGAGAAGGCCACATTCACACTATAAAGCTAAAGCGGTCATAGCATTTAAGCTGTCATGGCTTCCTTGAAATAATTCTGGGAGCTGTAGTTTGCAAGGATGCTGAGAGGTGTTAGGAAACACCCTGTTCCCTCTTAGCTACAGTTCCCAGAGCTCCCTGTGAAGAGGGATTGATTGTTCAACCGCTCTGGGAACTGTAGCTCTGAGAGGAATAGGGGTCTGCTAGCAACTCTCAGCACCCTTACAGCTCCCAGAATTCTCTGGGGGAAGCCATGACTGTTCAAAGTAGTATCATGGTGCTTTACATGTGTGGCGTGACTGACCTAGAGCTTCCTGCTCCCTTCAAGTGCAGTGGTGCTGTGTATCATTCTGCGGCCTGCCTTTTGACACCCAGTAGTCTAGGCCTGAGGGACGCGGGTGGCGCTCTGGGTTAAACCACAGAGCCTAGGACTTGCCGATCAGAAGGTCAGCAGTTCGAGTCACCGCAATGGGGTGAGCTCCCGTTGCTCAGTCCCTGCTCCTGCCAACCTAGCAGTTCAAAAGCATGTCAAAAGTGCAAGTAGATAAATAGGTACCACTCCGGCGGGAAGGTAAACGGTGTTTTCCGTGCGCTGCTCTGGTTCGCCAGAAGCGGCTTAGTCATGCTGGCCACATGCCCCGCAAGCTGTACGCCGGCTCCCTCGACCAATGAAGCGAGATGAGAGCCGCAACCCCAGAGTCGGCCATGACTGGAATTAATGGTCAGGGGTCCCTTTACCCTTTTAGTCTAGGCCTGAGATTTAAAGTCCTGCTTTCAGTGCATATTTTCAGTGCATAGCTACAGACGTCTCCTTGGCAACCACTTCTGAAGGGTTTCCCAGTTTCCGGGGTAATTACATAGGAACGTGGGAAGCCGCCATGTCCTCAAGTCAGACCAATGGTCCCTCAAGCTCCATATTGTCTTACAGCAGGGGTAGTCAATGGGATGCCTTCCAGAGGTTGCTGGACTACAACTCCCATCATGCTTTTTATGCTCACAGAGGGTGATGGGAGTTGTAGCACAGCAAAGCCCTGGCCTCAAACGGAAACGCAGGCTGCCCACCCCCAAAGTTATAAACCGAGTTAATGGGTGATCTTTGCCGAGAAAACTCTGGGCAAAAGATCCCTACCCCTGAATTAAAATTTAATTTTCTACAAAAAGAATTGGAAATGTTTCAAAAAGCCTTGGAGCATCTGTGTAGGTCTTTTTTTTTCTATTTAGGAAATAACTCTGCAGCAGTTAATGGCTCATCTCGACTCCATCCGAAAAGACATGGTCATTCTTGAGAAGAGTGAGTTTGCCAACTTGAGAGCAGAGAATGAGGTAATTTCCTCCAATAAAGCAATTTACTCTGTCACCCTTCCTTTCTCTTCATTTACTTAAGGCTGCTCATCTGCAAAGAAAATGCAGCAATTGGCCTTGTTGTGTTTTAGTAGCAACATTTAGTTCTTCAGAAATGACAAATAATACGGGAAGCCCACAACTTACATTCTAGGGGTCGTGCCTAAAGCCAAAATCAAATATAGTCAAAACCCAAAGGGTTTCAACCTTTCTGGGTCTACGGCTCCCTTGACCAACTACATTCTCTTTTTTTTCTTTTTCTGTTATAAACTTTTATTGGTTTTTCACAATTTTATACATTTTAACTTTAACCATTTCAAACGTTAAAATAAAAGGTTCCTTTGAACCTTCGGACCTCCTTCCCTCCCTCCACGGGTTCTATATTTAAGATTAAATTTTCTGCATCTTTCACCATTATCCATCTGTCTATCCATAGTTACCATCATGAATACCACATTACAAGTGTCATTACATCCCTGCCCATGATTTTAACTGTTTACAGTGGTCTTTTAAATAAAATTACCGTATTTTTCGCCCCATAGGACGCACTTTTTCCCTTCCAAAAATGAAGGGGAAATGTGTGTGCGTCCTATGGGGCGAATGCAGGCTTTTGCTGAAGCCTGGAGAGCGAGAGGCATCGGTGCGCACCGACCCCTCTCGCTCTCCAGGCTTCAGGAAGCTATCCGCAAGCCTTGCAAGCCCGGCGGGAGTTCCCGCGGGCTCACAAGGCTTGCGGGCAGCAGCCTGCAGCCCCGGTGAGTGTCCGCAAGCCTTGCGCGCCCAGCAGGAGGTCCCGCCGAGCGCGCGAGGCTTGGGGCGGCAGCCCGTGCTTCGGGCGAGTGTCTGCAAGCCTCGCGCACCCGGCTTGGGGCGGCAGCCTGCAGCGGGGGGGGGGGGGGGGAATAAATTTTTTTTATTCATTTCTCCCCCCCCAAAAAACGAGGTGCGTCCTATGAGCCGGTGCGCCCTATAGGATGAAAAATAGGGTACTCCAGTCTTTTAAAAATACTTGATCTTCCTGGTTTCGAATCTTCCCCGTCAGTTTCGCCATCTCTGCATACTCCATCAGTTTCATCTGCCGTTCTTCTTTTGTTGCTGCTTCTCCTTTCATCTCTGGGCCAGCTACATTCTTGCTTTGGCACCCCTGTGGGGCTCAGGAGCCCAGTAACGTCACCCCTTGCCTGCAGAGCTGGCAGCCTCTCACCCTTTTTCGGACACCCTCCCTTGGGGAGTGTTCCCTCAGCCTCCTCTCCTCTCTCTTCTCCTTGTGAGTCCTCTGGGCAGCTGCTGCCGCAACCCCTGGTCACTGAGCTGCCCTCCCCCCCTCCCATAATTTATTTATACCTCTCCCATCTGGCTGAGTTTCCCCAGCCACTCTGGGCGGCTCCCAATCGAGTGTTAAAAACAATACAGCATTAAATATGAAAAACTTCCCTAAACAGGGCTGCCTTCAGATGTCTTTTAAAGATAAGATAGCTGCTTATTTCCTTCACATCTGAAGGGAGGGCGTTCCACAGAGCAGGCACCACTACGGAGAAGGCCCTCTGTCTGGTTCTCTGTAACTTGGCTTCTCGCAATGAGGGAACCGCCAGAAGGCCCTTGGCACTGGATCTCAGTGTCCGGGCTGAACGATGGGGGTGGAGACGCTCCTTCAGGTATACAGGACCGAGGCCTCTCCACCAAAGGGAGGTGCCTCTTCACACTGCCCCCCAGGGGCCTGCTGTTGTCCATTCCCAACAGCAAGGGCTGGCGGACTGGCAACCAGCACCCCCTGACCAGCCCCAGAGGCACCATTCGCCTGGACAGCTTGTAGCCAGGGCTGGTGCAACAAACAGCCATACAAGGCTTTGGGAGACAGAGATGTGAGAGGGCATCAGAGGAGGGAGGGAAGGAAAGAGGGACAGAGGCAAGTGTTGCCCGCGGCACCCTAGGGTGCCACGGCACACTGGTTAAAATCCACTGGTCAAAACCCATTTGGTTCAATGGCGGGTGGGATTGCCAAAGTCATTTTCCCCAGAACTCCACCTACTTTCCGACTCTTTTAAATTGGTTACGGTTGTGTTTTTTTTGCCATACACATAAAGCTGAATGTGCACAAGTTAAATTGGGGATTCCTGTATAGCAAAAGAGGTGTTATAAAATGCAAGCTCTCCTTTTGCAGTGACAGTTTTACAGATCCTTTTGCAAGTTACACTCTTCTTGGTGAAGGGACTGGTCTTATGCTTTTATGGTGTTCCGGGTTAAACCACAGAGCCTAGGGCTTGCTGATCAAAAGGTCGGCGGTTTGAATCCCCGTGACGGGGTGAGCTCCCGTTTCTTGGTCCCTGCTCCTGCCAACATAGCAGTTTGAAAGCACATCAAAGTGCAAGTAGATAAATAGGTATCACTCTGGCGGGAAGGTAAACGGTGTTTCCATGTGCTGCTCTGGTTCGCCAGAAGCGGCTCAGTCATGCTGGACACATGATCTGGAAGCTCCCTCGGCCAGTAAAGCGAGATGAGCGCCACGTCCCCAGAGTCGGTCACGACTGGACCTAATGGTCAGGGGTCCCTTTACCTTTAATAAGATGCATGGTTCGTCATTTTCTGGTGTTTTAATCAAACCCTTCTCTAAATCAGTTTTACCCTTTGGATGCTACCCCATATTCTTACGGTCACAAGAAGCCAGCCATTCCTATATATACACTGTCATGGGAGTTAATTCCAATGAATTGCTTATGAGTTTTGCCTTTATGCTTTCATAATTTGATGTCTTCCACGCAACATGGAAAGTTGTTGCCAAATCTTCACACACACACCCCATTGCTATAAGCATTTTACTTTTCATTTTTCTTAATTAAGCATCTCCTGACTTGGGTTGTTTTCCTCTCCCTCCCCCCACCCCAATCTTTCTTGATACCCAGAAAATGAAGATTGAATTGGATCAAGTTAAACAGCAGCTAATGGTAAGTGGGCAAGCTTCCGGAGTGGGAGGGAGGATAATAGGCCATTTCTGAGGACAACTTCTTTTTAAGGGTACTTTTTGGTGTCTTTCCTTTTAAGAATGAAACCAGCCATATCCGAGCTGAAAACAAGCTGGACATAAACTTGGAGCGAAGCAGAGTGACCGACATGGTGGGCAATTATTTTCATTATTGCACCCCTTCCTTCCTTCTTGGCTCCAGCTTTCCTGAGAATTGACAATTTCATATATTGCTCTTTTTCTTTTTAAAACGTTCCAGTTCACAGATCAGGAGAAAAAGCTCATGGAAGCCACAACAGAGTTTCATAAAAAGGCAAGTCTTTGAGGGGTCTCTCTCTCTCTCTCTCTCTCTCTCTCTCTCTCTCTCTCTCTCTGTGTGTGTGTGTGTGTGTATTTACACTTAAATTGTGCCTTCCATTGAAAGCTCTCAGGTTTCCAGAGGTCTCCCATCCAGACATTGATCTGAGCCACCTCAGCATAATTCCGGCCTCAAAAGCTTGCATGCCATTCGCTGAGCCCTCTAAAAACCAGCCTGTATGTTACCTTGGAGCCAGTGAAGGCTGGACCATTAGGACAAAGAAACCACTGCCCCACCCATCTCAGTGTGCCCACACCCAGGACCCACTTTCCTGCTTTCTTACTCACATCCAGCCCAGAGGGTGGTCCTCACTGTCGGTTTCCTCCGCCTTAAGTCTCAGTGTCGCCCTTGAAGAACTCAGCAGGGAGGAGGATGTGGGGGGAGACAGAAGTTGGGTACCACCTACTTCCGACCCTACCTCCCTGCCTTACACTAATAATAATAATAATAATAATAATAATAGTAATATTTTTTATTTATAACCTGCCCTTCCCGGTTCAAAAACCGGGCTCAGGGTGGCTAACAACAAATTTAAAACACTTAATTATAAAAGCAGCATAAAATACAGTATAAAAACATGAATAACAATAAAATTCAAAAATCAAGCATTAGATAATCCCCAGGGCTAGCTGGCTGAATTGGTCCTAACTTAGGCCAGCGAGGAGGCCTGGGGAGAATTAGCTGTGGGGTCTCAGAGTGGGTGATCTTCATAAAAGGGGAGGGGAAGGGAAATAAAAGATCAGGCTGAATTCAAATTAAAGGCCAGGTGGAATAGCTCTGTCTTACAGGCCCGATGGAAGGAGGTTAAATCCTGAAGGGCCCTAGTCTCATGGGAAAGAGCATTCCACCAGGTCGGAGCCATCACTGAAAAGGCCCTGGCCCTGGTGCAGTTGCATTTTTGGAGCTCCTGAGACAACTTTTTATTTTCTGAAAGCAGTTTCAGGCAGTCAGTTTGCACCAGGGCGAGCACAGCCCAAAAGGGTAAAGGCCTGCCATGTTTTGTTTTGTTTTGTTTTAATATATTTAAAAGACAGATAGGATAAAAGTGGTTTTTTTGCCTGGCCTGAAAAGGATAATAAACATTGGCACCAGGTGGGTTTCGCAGGAGAAGGAATTGTACAAATGGGGCCAACACTGAAAAGGTTTTTTCTCTCTCTCTCTGGCCTTATCTCCAATGGAAAGCATCGCTTGCCTTGTTCCCTTCTAGGATTCGAGCACCAACAGTTCCGTTACGGAAGTCAGCAATAAAATCGATGCCGAAATTGCAGCCCTGAAAACACTCATGGAATCGAACAAGCTAGAAACGATACGCTATTTGGCAGGTATGTGGCTGGGCTGTTGAAAAATCACGTTCCAGAAGAGTAAAACGTATAAAGCCAGGATGCCTAAAAGCCTTGTCCCACCCTTTATGCACCCAGCCCAACACAGTTATTTTCTTAGGAGGCCTATCTTGCATGATGTAGGAACCGGGCCTTTCTTGTGGTGGCTCCTGCCTTTGGAGCTGCCTCCCATTACACCTCAGACAGGCACCTTCTCTGCTGCCTTTTTGGCACCCACTGAAGATCTTTTAGGTGGAGATCTTCGTCCCGGTCTCTATTGGGTTTGAAATTGCTTTTAACATACAAAATGTTCTTTTAATTGTTTTTTTGTAAATGGAGTTGCTTTTCTTGTTGGTGTTTTTGCAGTGAAAGCACTTAGCTGTGATTCCTGCATTGCAGGGGGTTGGACTAAATGGCCCTTGGGTGTCCCTTCCAGCTCTGCAGTTCCATGATTCTATTATTTTGCTTTCTGGGAAGCCAGCCAGCTACCTGTAGCCACTTGGAGCCTCTGCTTAAATCACTATGGAGGTTTCGAGATTCCTTTTTAAAGTTTTAAGCGGTGTTTACATTCAGTTAATCAATTAATTAATAGGAGATGTTGCGAGGAGTCGGACTATGAACCATTTACAGTTGAACCTCGGTTTTCGAATGTCTCAGAAGTTTAATGTTTCTAACGCCGAAAACCCGGAAGTAACTGCTTCGGTTTTTGAACTCTTTTTGGAAGCCGAACGTGCCACACGGCTTCCGTATTGAGTTTTCCGTAAGCAAATGCTTCCGGAAATGCCTGCTTCGATTTTCAAATGTTTTGGAAGTCGAACGGTCTTCCAGAACGGATTACAGTGGTACCTCGGGTTACAAACACTTCTGGTTACAGACTCCACTAACCCGGAAGTAGTACCTCAGGTTAAGAACTTTACCTCAGGATGAGAACAGAAATCATGCATCGGTGGCAGCAGCGGCAAGCCCCATTAGCTATAGTGGTACCTCAGGTTAAGAACAGTTTCAGCTTAAGAATGGACCTCCGGAACGAATTAAGTTCTTAACCTGAGGCACCACTGTATGTCAAAAACGGAGGCTCCACTGTAATATTTTGGCGAGTAGCAAAAAACAGCAACTTGTGCATAGCTTAAAACCCTTTTGAGATGCTTGACACAAACTTACTCTTTTCTTTTTCTCTGTGTGTGGCTTTTTGTATTTATTTACAGCCTCTGTATTCACTTGTCTTGCCATCGCCCTGGGATTCTACCGATTCTGGAAATGAAAAAGCCAGCCTCCGGGAACAAGGGACAGAACAAGCGCTTTTCTGATTTGAATCGACACCATGCTTGGATGACACATCTCTGGCAGACTCTTTCAAAGCCTTTTGTGTTGGGTATTGGTTTTTAAACACATAACCGGGGTGGGGGGGGGGGAGTGTTTTCTACAGGCACAGCAGTCTGAGCAAAACCTGACCTAGTTTGCATCTCTCAGGGCTGGTTTGGTGCTCCCACATACTCAAAGCCAAAAGATCTATGGGTGGGACATTTTTTTATAAAAAAAAGAAAACCAAAAAAGAAGACGCTTATTTGATGGAGAGATTGCTATGCCCATTGTCATCATTATGTATGTTTTTCTGACACCCTCCCAGGTGGAAGGACTATAGCTCAGCGGTAGAGATTCTGCTTTGCATGCAGAAGGTTCCAGGTTCAATCCTCGACAGTTAGGGCTAGAAAAAGCTCCCCTGCCGGTAACTTTGAACAGCCACTGCCGGTCAGTGTGGGCAGTATTGGGCTACGGGGCTCAAACAGTCTGACTCAGTAGGTATAGCTTTCTGTGTTCCTAGGAGGTGGATCCCGCTAGTTCCTCTTGGCCTGAGCAGTAGAGAAATGACCTCACAACCCAATTTGATGGGGAACCTACTGTCAGGAGCTGGAGTCAGGGGCAGGTCAGCAAAAATACTGGTGTGGTGTGAAGTTAACTCTTCATTCAAAGAAACCAAAACAGCACAGGCCTAGTGATGCTAGCAACTCTTCCCAGTAGCAACTCAATGAGGCAGTTGCGAGGACTAAAGGTCCCCACAGCTGCCTATGTCCCCTTCTCTCCTGGGTTTTTTCCCAAGCAACTAGAAATGGCGTCTGCGCACAACCAATCTCTCCTCTTTTCATTTCTCTGTGTGTTCTGGGAGACCAGGGGAGGGGGGAGCTGGTCATAGCAGGAGGGGAAAACCCCCTGGATTCTTCAGCAGCCTGCCTCATCTCTGCCTCCTGCCCTCAGTCCTCTCCAACCTCTGCTTTGGCCTCTGAGCCCGGACTGCTCTCTGCCACAGCCTCTTCCTGCTCACTAAAGCCTGTGCCCCTTCAGCTTCCAACATTTGACACTCCCTCCAGGCCTTGCACTGCCTTCCCAAAGCCAAGTAAGCGAGGCGCTGGGCCAGGGGTCGGCAATCTAAGGTCCATGGGCCACAGTCAGCCCATGGGGGTCGTTTAACCGGCCCATGGATCCCTGCTGCCCTCTCGGTCGGCTCCCGTGCACCGCGCTGAACCGGTGCGGAGCAGAGCAGGGACTGCTTTCTGTGCCGCTGGCCGGCTTCCCATTGGCTGCAGGAAGGTCCTGCAGCGAATGGGAAGCTGCACACACCGGAAGGAGCGCCAGAAATAGCATTTGCGCACTCCAGCCCACCGCGGCGTCTGCGGGACTGTGAACTGGCCCAAGCCACAAAAACTGCCAACCCCTGCACTGGACTTTGGAAAGGAGGCTCACGGGCTCTGACAGGCAGCTAGAGTCTTCCCACCTCCTTCCCAAAGCCTAGCTTTCAGTTTCTCATTTTGGATGTCGGAGGAGCGGGCCTGTATAAAGCTTTACTTTTTCTTCTAAATAACGGAAAAAATAAATGCATACTCAACCGCAAGACATTGACTATTGCATTTTTTAGCTCTATAAAACTCTCAGGCTGCATTTTCCCCTACGGAATGCTTGAAACCTTGTTGTGCTTTTGGTGTTAAACACCTCAAATTTATTGAGTTTGGGTTTGTGGTGCTCTCAAGAGACCACAGCTGGGATCACTTCCTGGCTAGAATTCTGCCAGCACTGAATGCTTGCATTTTGCAGTTATTTTTTAAAGTCCTTTTCTGCTGGTGTGGGCTGGTGCATCCATAACTGTAAGTCAAAGGTTGGTGCAATGCAAATAGCAGCTTTGGGGGGGCATATGGGAGCTTCTAACTGCAGCTCTTGTGTTTCGGGGGAGGAAACCTATTCTTTCCTAATACTGGGGTTGAATTATCATCCTAGGCCACACCAATGCGTACTCAGAAGTGGGCTACACACACACAGCTTTGTACAAGAGCTTCAGGTGAGGCTGAGAACCATGTAGCCCTCCAGTTCTTGCTGGACTGCAACTCCCCATCCCCCCCCCATCTGTTGACCATGCTGGCTGGAGCTAATGGGAACTGGAGTTCAGGAACATCTGGAGGGCCACAGGTTCCCCATCCCAATGTAAGTGTGTGCCTACCGTGCAAGCATAGACTTGAGTGTGTGCAAGGTGTGGAAGGGAGTCTTATGCTTAGCACCCTTGTCACATTCATTGGCTGTTGCTGGACTGCAACTCCCATCAGCACTAGCCAGCATGGCCAATGCTCTGGGAGGATACAAGTTGGGAGTCCATCAACATCCAGGTTCCCCATCCCTGATACAATGGTTCAGAAGAGCTGCATACATTTTGGGGGCTCTCTTGTGGGGGCATAGAGTCTTTGCAGGTTGTCTTGTTGAACTGCGATTCAAACATTTACCACTGCCAATGTCTGCTTTATTCAGCGATAAGCTAGCATTGATAACAGTTAACTGGAACTCCAGCAGTTGCAGGATGTGATGGGTACATTTCTTAACAATCTCAGTCTGTTTAGCTGGCTTTATTGTGCATGTTATTTCTGTGCATAACCCTGAACCGCTTTCTGTGGTTGAGAGCCACTTTAGGAATCTTGGCTGAGAAATAAGGTGGATTTTAGATATATATATATATATATATATATATATATATATACACACACACACACACACATATAAAGAGAGAGAGAGAGTTTAATGAAGTGCTAATGTCTCTTAATTAGCAATACATCTCAGTGGGGTCTTCTCCTGTCATGGCAACCTGCCTGCTACCACGTGCCTCTAGGGGAGACCTGTGCCCCTCCAGATATTGCTGGACTACAACTCCCATCACCCTGACGGAGATGCTGTTTGGGGAGGGCAGATGGGGAGTTGGAGTCCAAAACTTGTGGAGGGGCATGGGAGGTCTTCATCCCTGCTCTAAGCTCCTATGAGAACTGACATTTGTACCAGATGAATTGATGGAGAAGATATTTTCAGTTCAGGGAAGGAAGTGCATTTGCTTTGGGTAGCTGAGAGCCTAGATAGAGCACTGTTAACCGGGGCGCTTTCATTCTGGCAGCACCTGCATTTTTCAGCCAAACTCTTTCCCCTCTCATTCCAGCAAGAGGCCAGGAAGACCCTTTGCTCTCCTGTTAGTACAGTCTCACAAACACTCCGCTGGAGCTGCAGAAGGGCTTTTTCTTCAATTTCTTTTTCTCCTTTGCGACTTCAGGGGCTGCTCTACTGGTGTCGGGGGTTGCTTTATCACAATCGGACGGCGCTTTGCTCAGATCACCATCCCCCTGCAGAAGCAACGTTGAAAGTGTTAACCCACTGCCATGCTAACTGAAGAGGGGGGAATGGAAGGTCTTAAACATCAGGAAAGCACAGCGGTTTGCCTAGTTTGCACATAATACTAAACCATGGTTTACTAAAGCATGGCTTTGCACTACGGGTGAACCTGGCCCAGCAGCTCAGCTTATGGGTAAAGGTAGTTCATTGACCAAGGTTGGCTTATAAGCCTTTGTTAACATTAACTATAGCTTAGCGTTACCTGGTAACTTGGACTTCCTCCTTAACTGTGGTTAAGGACCAGGCACCACCCAAAAGCTCCAGAACCACGAGAGCAGCAAAAAATTCAAGCCATTCTATGGTTTATTAACTGTGGCTTATTTTCATGGGCGAAGCAGGCCAACGTTTGGTATTGAACTAGGGATGTAAACAATAGTGCAATTGAAGCCTCCTTTATGTATGTAGCTTCCAGGGGAGCAATAGCCACTTGCTTCTCTAATATTTCTTTGGTGTGCCGGTTTGTCACATCTGGCGTTGTCAAGTGTGGAAGCACTTCTTGACCTCTGCAGCTTCAGGCTGTGGATCGGGAAGTAATCTGCAAGGGGCTGGGCATGGTGGAACAGATTTAAGGCTCCCTGCACACAGAAAGATAGCACCACTGCCATATGCCATCAGCTACTGTGAAAGTCCTAGGCAGGGATGGGGAATCTGTAGTCAGGCTACACCCACAGAGTCACAACTCCTGCCATCCCTGGCCTTGCTGGCTGTGGTTGATAAGGCGTGAAGACCAACCGCATATTAATGTGACCCACAGGTTCCTCACCCTTCTATCACCCAGGATAAATACAGTGGTACCTCAGTTTTCGGACATCTCCATCTCTTTGCTTTTTGAACACCGAAAACCCAGAAGTAAATGCTTCGGTTTTTTAACATGCCTCGGAAGCCTAACTTCCTAGGCTGCCTACTGTTTGAGTTTTCCATATTGAGTTTTCGGTTTTCACACATTTCAGAAGTCGACTGGTCTTCCAGAATGGATTGTGTTGTGGCTCCCAGTACGTTTCCGAGCACAATTCAAAGTGTTGGTGCTGACTTTTAAAGCCCTAAACGGCCTCGGTCCTGTATACCTGAAGGAACGTCTCCACCCTCATCGTTCAGCCTGGACACTGAGATCCAGCTCCGAGGGTCTTCTGGCGGTTCCCTCATTGCAAGAAGTGAGGTTACAGGGAACCAGACAGAGGGCCTTCTCGGTAGTGGCGCCCACCCTGTGGAACACCCTCCCTTCAGATGTGAAGGAAATAAGCAGCTATCCTATCTTTAAAAGACATCTGAAGGCGCCCCGTTTAGGGAAGTTTTTAATATTTAATGCTGTACTGTTTTTAACACTTAATTGGGAGCCGCCCAGAGTGTCTGGGGAGACTCAGCCAGATGGGCAGGGTATAAATAATAAATTATTATTATTATTAAAAACTGAGGTACCACTGTAGAGTTGTACCTTGGTTCTCAAACGTAATCCATTCCGGAAGTCCGTTCGACTTCCAAAAACATTGGATAACCAAGGCGCGGCTTCCGATTGGCTGCAGGAGCTTCCTGCACTCATGCAGAAACCACGTCGGACGTTTGGTGCAGGACAGGCGTCAGCCGTCAATGGTCCACTGTTTGAGTGTTTGGGGATGCAGCATCTGCTTCCACTGGCCTTGCTTTGCATTATCCGAAGAAATTGTGAGCAACACAAGGAGACTTACTGCTGTGATAGCGGGTGTGGGGATCTGGGGTTTCTCCTGCTGCTCTGTGAGTTTCCCGATCTCTTCCCGGCACTGATCCAGCTCTGCCTCCAGCTTCTCCCGTCGTAGCCGCTCGTACTCCAGCTGCTCCTGCAGATCACCAATGGTCCTGGAATCATAGGATTGTAGCGTTGGAAGAGGGGCCTGGGGGTCATCATAGTCCAACCCCTGGCAATGCAGGAATCTCAACTAAAGAATCCATGGCAGGTGGCTACTCAAACTCTGCTTTAAAACCTCCAAGGAAGGAGAAACCCACCAACTTCTGAGGGAGTCAGTTCCACCGTCTCCCACTTTTACCTGCAGAAAACCAAGACGGCGCTGAGAAGACTGGAGAGCAGGGTTTGAATCCCCACTCAGCCAGGAAGCTCACTGGGTGACCTTGAACCGATCACCATCTCTTAGCCTAACCTACGTCACACGCTTGTGAGGGTGCAATGGGGAGGAAGAGAAAAACCATGTACACCAGAAAAAGGTGGTATATAAATGTAATTTTAAGAAACCCTAAGAAATACTACTTCCCGCTCCTCCCCTGCTCGGGTGGCGAACCTATTTGGGCTCGTCCGCGAAAACAGATGGATCCTGATAGATTCCGACAAGCCTTGCGGGACCCTGCTCCTCCTGGTGACTCATTAGATGACCTTGTTGAGGACTGGAATAACCGGCTCTTGGCAGCCATTGATAAGATTGCGCCTAAGCGCCCTCTGCGACCCCGTCGAAACCAGGCCCCTTGGTTTACTGAGGAGCTCCGGAAAATGAAGCGGGATCTCAGACGGCTAGAGCGAGTATGGCGACGGACTCGTGACGGAGCCTCAAGAACATCTTATAGGACACTTATGAAAGCCTATGAGATGGCTTTGAAAGCTGCTAAGAAATCTTACTTTGCAGCTTCCATTGCATCTAGCTCTCGCCCGGCACAACTTTTTAGAATAATTAGGTCAATAGCGTCCTTAGGAGGACAACCAAATTTAAGCACAAATTTGACCCACAGCTGTGAGGCATTCGCGAGCTTTTTTGCAGAGAAAGTCCTGTTGCTCCGCCGTGACCTCCCTGCCAATTTAGATACAGTTACTGAACTGGAGGCCCCTCGACTGACTTCAGGTCCAGTGTTGGACCATTTTGATCGGATACTCCCTGCTGATGTGGATAGATTCCTCCAAGTTGGTAGGCCCACCACCTGCCTCCTTGATCCGTTTCCATCTTGGCTGATTAGGGGGTGTCCAGATGTTGCGCGGACCCCCCTGGTTGAAATTATCAATTTGTCCCTTGACACGGGGACATTCCCAGGGGAACTGAAGGAAGCAGTAGTGTGTCCACTCTTAAAGAAAACTTCATTAGATCCCTTAGACCTATCCAATTACCGCCCAGTTTCAAATCTTCCATATCTGGGTAAGGTAATTGAGAGAGCGGTTGCTGAACAGCTTGGTAGGTTTCTGGAGGAAACATCAGCTTTAGATCCATTTCAATCTGGTTTCCGTCCTGGTTTTGGGACCGAGACGGCTCTGGTTGCCCTAACAGATGATCTCCGTAGACAACTGGATCAAGGCGGGTCAGGATTGCTGATCCTTTTAGATTTGTCAGCGGCCTTTGACATGGTCGATCATGATCTACTGGACCACCGCCTCGCAGACGTGGGGATACAGGGCATAGCCCGTAACTGGCTGTGCTCTTTTATCTCTGGTCGAGGACAGAGGGTGGCACTAGGGAGGGAAATGTCGTCGCGCCATTCCTTGGTGTGTGGAGTGCCGCATGGCGCAATTCTCTCCCGATGCTTTTTAACATCTTTATGCGCCCCTTGCCCAGATTATCCGGAGCTTTGGGCTGGGCTGTCACCAGTATGCTGATGACACTCAGCTCTATCTGCTGATGGATGGCCACACTGACTCGGCCCCGAACACACTGACCAGATGCTTGGAAGCTGTGGCTAGATGGTTTCGTGGGAGCCGATTGAAACTAAATCCTTCAAAGACAGAGGTCCTATGGCTGGGTCGGGATGGCAATGGGGATGAAGGACCAACTCCCTTCTCTTGTGGGGGCCCAATTAGTGCCATTGCCTTCCGTTAAGAGCTTGGGTGTAATCCTTGACGCCTCCCTTTCCATGGAGGCGTAAGTTACAGCAACAGCTAAGGCGACATTTTTCCACCTTCGCCGCATCAAGCAGTTGGTCCCTTACCTTTCCCACCCCGACCTGGCCACAGTGATCCATGCGACGGTCATCTCCAGGCTTGACTACTGTAATTCGCTCTACGCGGAGCTGCCCTTGAAGCTGTCCCAGAAACTCCAGCAGGTGCAGAATGCTGCAGCGAGGCTCCTCACGGGGTCTCTGCCATGGGAGCATATTCACCCAGTGCTTTTCGAACTGCACTGGCTCCCGGTAGAGTACAGGGTCAGATTTAAGGTGCTGCTTTTGACCTTTAAAGCCCTTCACGCCTAGGACCCTCGTACCTATGAGACCGCCTCTCCCGGTATGCCCCACGGAGAGCCCCAAGGTCCATAAATAGCAACACCCTAGTGGTCCCGGGCCCTAAGGAAGTTAGATTGGCTTCAACCAGAGCCAGGGCCTTTTCAACTCTGGCTCCGGCCTGGTGGAACGCTCTGCCTCATGAGACCAGGGCCCTGCAGGATCTGATTTCTTTCCGCAGGGCCTGTAAGACAGAGTTGTTCCGCCTGGCCTTTGGCTTGGAGCCAATTTGATTCCCTCCCTCTCTTTTTTTTTTCTTTCCTTCTCCTCCTGCGTTGAGGCTACATTTTATTTTAATGTTGTAATATTTTAATGTTGTATTTTAATTTTGTTTTTAAGTTGTAATCATTCAACTTGTTTTTATTATTGCTTGTAAGCCGCTCTGAGCCCGGCCTTGGCTGGGGAGGGCGGGGTATAAATAAAAAAATATTATTATTATTATTATTACTATTATTATTATTCTACTCCACCCACTGAGGAACACAGGGGCTGCCAAGGTTGTGGCCGTGGGCACGATGGTGCCCTTGAAGTCTTCCCTGGTCCTCTGAAGTCTCTTAGCTCCACCTCTGTTTCTCATTTTCCCCTTGGTCATGAGTTGATGCAGGTGGTTGTCTTTTCTCTTTCTTGAAAAGTACATAGAGCTGGAGGAGGAAGTCAGAAGAGTGGCGCTCTTTCCCACTTCCTCTTTCAGCTCTATGGCCTTTTCAAGGCTCAGATTGATCCCACTGGATCCTACTTTTCCCCAGCTCCATTGGAGGATGGGAGTGTGTTTGTTTGTGCACATTGTTGGAGGTTGATCTATTAGGGCAAACAAGGCGCTGCCCCACCAGTCTGCCCCCATCTGCCTCTGTGTGGCTTACAACCAGTCCGTAGGGTAGCACTGCCTATCCATGTAGAACAAAGCAAGGAAGAGAAGGATGGGGACAAAACCAGAATTGGTTGGCTCAACCTGTCATTGGCACTGACTCCATCTGCAGTTTGGGTTCCCTGCCTTCCACCTTGCCAGTTCCAATGGGCACCAGCCACCACTGGTGCACAATGCATACATACATATGCACTCTTTCTGACGCTTGGGGTAGGATTCTGATCCAAAGCAGGTCAGTGAAAAAGGACCACAGTAGGTGGCACCTATGCACACACTCGTGAATCCAAACATGCTCTGTGAACTAAAAAAATTGGTGACCCCTGGCATGGTATCAAAAAACCCCAAATGGCACCTACGAGCCACTGTCCTGGCTGCAGAAGACACACAGCAATCTATGTGGCAAAGACCTTTGGCCACACGAAATTAAACCCACTTTTGGTCGTCCAACAAAGCCTTGGCAGCTTAGCAAGCAAGCGTTGTGTGGGGCTGGTCTCCCATGCACAATAGCCGGCAGAGGGCAGCAAAGCAACAAAGTTTTAAGCAAGATCTTAAAATTTCTATCAACAAGGGACAGGGCAGACGAATACCTGCAATCTGCCAAACGGGGCCTCTCGGCACTGCCATCTCTCCAAAGTCCCGTTCCTCCAACACACACATTCATGCCCAGAGATGCCAACATACTGGTTATTGTTTCTCATTTGTTTTTGCGTTATATACAGTGGTACCTCAGGTTAAATATTTAATTTGTTCCGGAGGTCCATTCTTAACCTGAAACTGTTCTTAACCTGAAGCATCACTTTAGCTAAAGGGGCCTCCTACTGCCGCCGGAGCACGATTTCTGTTCTCATCCTGAAGCAAAGTTCTTAACCTGAAGCACTATTTCTGGGTTAGCGGAGTGTGTAACCTGAAGCATATGTAACCGGAGGTACCACTGTATTGTCATTCCTTATTAATGTTGAGAGGCACTTGGGCACCATTTTGTGGGAAAGTGACATATAAATAAACAGATGGTGGTGAAACCACACGAGCCATTGATACATGTGCCAACTTGAGCACTTAATACCCACTCTGCTTTTGCAAGACCTTCATCGTTTTGTGCAGCAGCACCTTAACTTTGGAACTCCCTGCCTATTGAGATCAAGCAGGCGCCTTTGCTGTACTATTCTCAGTGCCTACTGAAAACATTCTTGTTTAGACAAAACTGTTAGAGAATTGATTTATTGCTCAGATAAGCCTGAGGTCCGGCACACTTCCCCCATCGCAGCTCTGCATTCCAATGTCCATATCTGAGCATAGCAGAGTTCGTCAGCGGCAAGAGGAAACTGCAGGAAAAAAAAAACTCCAGTGCATTCTTCAGTGTGCTTAAATAAAGTCCACTCAGGATCTTAGCAGCTAAAAGCAGTTTTATTTACAGCAGGCTATCCATTATCTATCACAGCGAACAGCATCGCGAAAACACGTCCTCTCTCCTCAAAAGCGAAAGTAGAGAGAAAGAACAAAGACTTGAGTCTCTCGGAACTGATGTAGAAGTTCCCCCCTCCCACTAGTAGGCAGAGCGTACACACTGAGCTGTTTAACCCTGTAAGCTCAGGTTCTCCTCACAAAAGCTACCCAGGTGCTTAGAAAGTCGAGTTGATTTTAACCAGCTTTCATATTTTAACTTTTGCATGTTTTAAAATACAGCTGCAATTTCCCCCCCTCCTTGATTTTATTGTCTTATATTTTTGTAAATGGTGTTCAGGTGTCTCCTTTTTTAAACAATCAAGAAGTGCATAAATTTTACAGGGCGGGGGAATTGTTACAGCACCACTGTGGCGATCACACAGGGTCCCCGGACGTTTAACGGTTTATTGATCCCTGTGCCACCACTGTGCTCACTTCCCCGCTGCCACCAACCAGTTACTCTGGTAAAACACTGAGTCCAGTCAGTTGTTAAAAGTGAACTGTTAATTTGTGGGTGAACATATCAGACGACACAGTGATTCTTCAAACAGCTCTTCTTTAGTCAGAGGCCACAACAGAACTGAACTGAGGAGCTCAGTCAGCCTGCTTATATAGAGCTCCAGAACAACGTAACTGTAGCAGCTTTCTAAAACTATCCAATCACTGAACGTCACTTTCGATCCTTCATTTGCATAACTATCTACAGTATCCCCCTGCTGGCCCAGGGTGAGAACTTCAGCACATAACATGAACCAAAAAAAACCAAGTTTATTTTACAAACATTAACAAGTTTATGGTTTCTCAGATAATATTCCTGTCAGTATCTTAACTTTAGTTTCTTTACCGGCCTATACCTTCCTAATACCTTCTGACTGATTATCTCAACTGTTTGACTCACTCCTCTTAACAAATTCTCTCACTCTCTCACACCAGACTAGCCCAACCCACAGACTTATCTTCTCTGTTTCTTCTAACTCCAGACTGTCTTCTCAACAACTCTTAACTCTAACTCCCTAAAAAACCTCTGCGCTTAAACCTTATACACAGTTAACTCTGTCCCCTGGGTTCCCATTAATTAGTCATTCTACAATTAGTTAACCTTTTCCCTATGAACCCAGTATGATGTCACACATATAGGAGGGCAAACGCCACAACCACCTTCCCTCGGCACTGTGAACCCCGAGAGTTTCATGAAACCAGAGGCCGTGTTGCAAAGCTCCTACCTGAGAAGCTGCCTCTCTTTAATCTTGATCTGCCTCTCCTCAGGGGTGATCCCTCCCAGCTGCTTGTAATCACTGGTGGCGATTTCCAGGAGATTCTTTAGCTCTTCAATTTTCTGATAGGCTCTTTCTGGAAGAGATCACAGAACATCAGTGGAGCCTGCTGGACCAGGCGAAACCCCATCTTGCCTAGCACTCTGTTCTCACGGCGAAACTTCAAGCAACACCTGAGTGCAACCCTCCACCCTTCTCCACAGCTGGTATTCAGAGGTCTTCTGCCTCCAACAGCAGAGGGAGAACTAAAAATATGTTGAAATATACCGTACATTTATTAAGAAACCAAAAGCATTTTTACTTGGCATTGTAGGAGATGATATTAATAGACAGGATTGCAAGTTGTTTTTATATGCAATGACGGCAGCAAGAATATTATTGGCACAAAAATGGAAGCAAGAAGAATTACCGACGAAAAGAACGGCGGGTGAAATTAATGGACTATGCAGAATTAGATAAATTAACAGGAAGGATTCGAAACCTGTGGGACCAGAGATTCTTAGAAGACTGGAGTAAATATATGAACTATTTGAAAAGCAATTGCAATGAACAGATTACGCTAGAGGACTGCAAGAAGTTCTGTAAGGAGGATTATCTGAAATATTGCAAGAAAGACTATGAAGAGAATTACTAGTTAATGATAATTAAGAGTAATAGAGAAATTAAGAAATGCAGAGTAAGAGATAAAGAATGGAAAATCATCAGAGGTTGTTGACGGAAGTCTAAAATACTGTATAAGATAAGAAGTTATGTTAAATGACTGTTAGAAATGATATGTAAAAAAACAATAAAAATTTATTTTTAAAAAAAACAGCAGAGGGAGAACTTAGCCACTGTGTCTAGCATCCATTGATAGCCTTCATCCTCTTTTTTAAAGCCTTCCAAGTTGACGGACATCACTGCTTCTGGTGAGCGCAAATCCCACGGCTTAACCATGTGCTGTGTGAAGAAATTATTTTGTCTGTCCTGAACCTTCTGACACTGAGCTTCATTGGGTGGCCCCAAGTTCTAGCGAGTTCTCTCTAGGTATCTGGCCCAAACTAGGAGGCATCGTCCCCGATGCCTATTCCCTAGGAAAACCACCTTTGAAGGGGAAGGGTTATTGGGCAATGCAGGGAGAAGGGGTCTATCAGTGGCCGTTGGCTGTAGTGGCTATTTGGATCCAGCAAGGCTCTTCCTACACTGTTTGGGCGGGGGGCTCCAGAACTTCCATCTGCGTGCAGCTGTCATGAACTGGCTGGATGCAGAGGAGTGGTGGCAGGCAGCAGCTGGGAAACCCCCAGGGGAAGAAGGCTCAGAGCCAGGGGAGGTGGGATGACGATGAGTGATCAGAGGGAGCAGACTGGGAGGAGAAGGTGTCGGAAGCTAAAGGGGCAACAGTGTTTAGTGAGCAGGAAGAGGCTGTGGCAGAGAGCAGTCCAGAAGCGGAGGCAGAAGCAGAGGCTGGAGAGGAGAAGGGCCACAAACCTGGCTACAGGCCCATCAAACATGGCTGCCCACCTGCCAGCTGATGCCGGTCCACCTGCTGAACTTCCTACCCTTCTGTCCTTAGCCCTTTCTTCCCCCTAAACAGAGAGAGGAGGGCCCACAACTCACCACGACTATCTGCTCGGTCCTGTTTCTTGCTATACACGTCGCTCTTGCTGTCGGTGCTCCCTTCCACGCCATGACTTTCAAAGAACCGTGGGTCGTCAACGTCAATCTCCTCATCAGAGTCATTCCCCATCTTTTGCCTTAGGTACTCCACAGTGGCCAGCTGGGCAAACCTACGCAGTTCAGATTCCCGTTAGGAGGTCATTGGGGAACGTGAGACAGCAACTGGGGTTTCCGCCACCGATGGCAATTTGTGCTGTCTCCAGTTTAGCGGCAGCTCCCACTTAGAATCACAGAATTGCAGTGATGACCCCAGGGGTCATGTGGTCCAGCTCCCTGCAATGCAGGAATCACAGGTAGCCACCCAAACTCTGTTCAAAAACCTCCAACAAAGGAGAGTTCACCACTTGGAGAACATCCTCCCACCAGCATAGCACCGTTAATTGATTGAAGAATTGGAGGATCATAAAGGGTTAAACCACAGAACCTAGGGCTTGCCGATCAGAAGGTTGGCAGTTCGAATCCCTACGACGGGGTGAGCTCCCATTGCTCGGTCCCTGCTCCTGCCAACCTAGCAGTTCGAAAGCACGTCAAAGTGCAAGTAGATAAATAGGTAGCACTCCGGCGGGAAGGTAAACAGCGTTTCCGTGCGCTGCTCTGGTTCACCAGAAGCAGCTTAGTCATGCTGGCCGCATGATCCAGAAGCTGTACGCTGGCTCCCTCGGCCAATAAAGCGAGATGAGCACCGCAACCCCAGAGTCGGTCACGACTGTATCTAATGGTCAGGGGTCCCTTTACCTTTACCTTTAAAGGGTTTAGACCCTTTGTTCTTCTGGCTGCACAGCACAGCCTATACTGGCTGGCAGTGACTCACATAACTTTCCCAGCCTTAGCTCAAGATGCCAGGAATGTCGCATGCTGACAGCTTCTAGGAGCCACAAGTGAGAGCTGAGTGGAGGGTGAGGACCAAAGATGTACACGCTCCCCCAGAACATGTCTCCCAGCAGAGCTTTGCAAACTGGATCTTCAGTCTGGCAGAGTTAAATCAACCCTGGCGCTTTGGCCAGAACTGAAACCCAGTGGGATTTAGTCCAGATTAGCCAGGACAAATCCCAAGAGAATCCCCAGCCAAGTGTTATAAACGGACACCTCTTGGCAACGTCTTTGGGTGTCTCTCCGGCGTCGTTGGGAATGTTGCAGTCTGCTTCCCTGTTGATCAGCCACTCCAGGACATGCAAATGACCTTGTCCAGCAGCTACAGGGTGAAAGAGAAGGAAATAAAATGTTAACAGCGGCCATTTCCATTGGGTGCAGCCATGTTGGTCTGCGTGGCAGCAAAGCGACAAAGAATGTTGTGGCACTTTGAATTTACTACATCGTAAGCTTTTTAGGGACGTGGGTGGCGCTGTGGGCTAAACCACAGAGCCTAGCGCTTGCTGATCAGAAGGTCGGCGGTTCAAATCCCCACGACGGGGTGAGCTCCCGTTGCTCAGTCCCTGCTCCTGCCAACCTAGCAGTTCGAAAGCACATCAAAGTGCAAGTAGATAAATAGGTACCGCTCCGGCGGGAAGGTAAACGGCGTTTCCGGGCGCTGCTCTGGTTCGCCAGAAGCGGCTTAGTCATGCTGGCCACATGACCCGGAAGCTGTACACCAGCTCCCTCGGCCAATAAAGCGAGATGAGCACCGCAACCCCAGAGTCAACCATGACTGGACCTAATGGTCAGGGGTCCCCTTTACCTTTAAGCTTTTTGTAGACCACAAGCCCCTGTCACCAGATGCCTGAAGCATTCTCCTATACTGGCAAGAATTTAATACACATGGAAGGATGCGAGTGAGAGGGAAATTAAATGCAAGAAGGGCAGAAATGCAGCCGCTATGAAAACAGGAGTGAATGATTTCGGTAGGAAGAGAACAGCAATATGAAATCCACTAACCTTTGTGCAAGAGTGTGGATCCCTGATCGTCCCTCTCATTAACAGTGATGATACGGTTTTCCAGCAAGGTTCTTAATGTGTCCACGTCCCCTCTGAAAGCAGCATCGTGGCCTGGAAATGCTAAATCTATGCAGAGAGACAACAGAAGGAGCTGTAGTAGCCCTCCAAATAGCAGTTTAAGAGCTCAACTAGGTTGGAAAAAGGAGTTCTAGAAAGCCAAACATTTCAACCGAGAGTGATGGAGCCCGGGCAGTCCATGAAAGGCTGGATTCTCTGATCTGTGCAACTTAAGCAAGTTGATCAATTTTCACTGGGAGGGTGTGATTTAGTCATGCCTCCAAGGTGAATATGGCTTAGAATAGCATCTGAATCAATGGCTGCTAGTCACAATTGCTATATTCTACTCCTGGAAAACCTAGAAGCCATGTCAAACAAGCCTCCCCTTCCCTCCCTATCAGGAGAGAATTTAAGGTGCCCTGAGCCGACTGAAACAGAAAAATGGCCAAACAGCTTAAGGAATTTGTTTTATTTTAGTGTATTATTAAAAAAAAATACTTTGTATTCGGTATTGTATTGATAAGTATAGTTGTACCTTGGTTGCTGAACGGAATCCCTTCTGGAAGTCCGTTCGACTTCCAAAAACATTCAACAACCAAGGCATGGCTTCTGATTGGCTGCAGAAGCTTCCTGCACACAATCGGAAGCCGCGGAAGCAGTGCTAGACATTTGGGTTCCAAAGAACGTTTGCAAACCAGAACACCGACTTCTGGGTTTGTGGCATTTGGGAGTCAAAACGTTCAAGTTGCAAGGCGTTTGGGATCCAAAGTACAACTATATCAATAAAATAGGCCTAAAAATAATACAGTGGTACCTCAGGTTACATATGCTTCAGGTTACAGACTCCTCTATCCCAGAAATAGTACCTCGGGTTAAGAACTTTGCTTCAGGATAAGAACAGAAATCACGTGGCGGCAGCACGGGAGGCCCCATTAGCTAAAGTGGTCCCTCAGGTTAAGAACAGTTTCAGGTTAAGAACGGACCTCCAGAACAAATTAAGTTCTTAACCCGAGGTAGCACTGTAATTCAAAAAACCTCATGGTTGACTGGGACCAGGAAGAGAGACTTTTCAGTGTTCATTACCAGATTCTGAAATTCTGGCCCTTGCCCCTTCCTTGATGATCTTCCATCATGGTGTAAAGACCTTCCTTCTAGGGAGGCCTTCTGTGATTAGTAATTTCAGTGACAGGTTTTTACTGTTGCTATTATGACCTTACATATAATGATTATATAAAGTGTGTGTGTGTGTGTTGGCTGTCAGGGATTGAACCTGCAACCTTGTGCATGCAAGGCAAATGCTCCACCGCTGAGCTATGGCCCATCCCTCGCAACCAGGTACTCACAGTCCCCCTTTTGCAATTCGCCTTTCTGTTTCTCCAGATCGTCAATGTAGTTGACCACACTGTCCTTGTAGAACCTCTCTGCCAGGTCTCCTGGGGTGTCCCCGTGGTCGTTTCTGGCTTTCAAGGCATGGAGGAGTGTGGGCATCTTGCTCACCAGGAACTTGAAGCAATGCAAGTGACCCTCCATTGCCGCCAGGTGAACTATTAGGAAGATTGTTTTGACTGTTAATATAGTTTACATAAAAAGGCTTCTTTTGTACTGCTTTTCTAGGCAGCGAGGTTTCTCAAGGTGCTTTACAAGTTAAAAATCTGCATATTTTTTTAAAAATGCAGTCAACTAAATAGCAGCGTTAAACATTCTCTTTCAACACACACACACACACACACAAAAACCACCTCTGTGACAGTTAAAACTACAATTAGCACTGTTACTCGGTGGAAAGTAGAGTGAGGAACACATTGGTGCAGAGTTCTGCAGATTAGATGCAAAAATGCATTTAACCTTATGTGTAGTTTGTCCCACAGACCAGCAAACTAACAATATTCAAACAGAAAACATCTTCTCCAGCACCTGGATACAATTTATGGGATTTTTCCCAGTGGCAGCAATAACATCCACCTATAAATTGAATGGGGTGTATGGGGTGTTAGGGGAAGGATAGTACCCTGGTGGGGGGACACATCATGCTCCTTCTGGGGTAGTTTGTCCACCTTTGGTCCCCACCCTGCACTCAGATCTCACCTGTGGCCCCTCAATGCTATCAGCATGCGACAATAATCACACCCCAGGAAACGGCTCTGACTGGCCGGCTAAACCAGGTGAGGGTAGCCGATGGGTCTCAAACACTCAGGGAGTTAGGGGCTTCCCATGCATGCAAAAACAGGCTCCGGTGGGTTGAGCTTGCAAGACCAATAGTAGGTTCAACGGTTAAGAAGCCAGTTTCTGCACAAGCAGAAATGAGGAGCAGGGGAGGCTCATCAACCTGGGAAGGGAGCCCATCTAGGAGATCCTAAACCTCTGCTGCCTTGTGGGGTATCTTCAGGAAAAGGCAAGGCTAAGGAGCAAACCCTACACAAATCCGGAGCCAAGTCCCTAAGACGGTTGGTTAGTGCCTTGTACGCCTCCTTCCAGCAACTCCTGCATCCCAGCTGATGCCAAATATCTGGATCTGCTTTCCTTTGGACCACATCAGCAAGGCCGAAATGGGAGTCTTGTTGTCTGGGCAGCCCAGGACCTCCCTACACACTGGCCAGGCTTGTTGCCCCAGGGAGATCACTTCAGTACTGCTAATGCAGCAGTTTGACTTCACCCCCGGAAGTGCACTCCATTGTCTCTTGAGACCAATGGATGCAAACAAGAAGAAAATGAATTGTTGTGGGTTGTTGAGAAGAGAAGGAGAAAGATTATTACCCAAGTGGAATTCTGCTGCACAAGTGGAGGGGCAGCATTGGATATGACCCAAATTTTGCAAAAAGTACACATAGAAACATTGCACTTTCCACCATCACTGACCCAGGTTATTCTCGCTATCTGTCTCTCTGTAACAAAGAGATTCCCCTCTTATCATTATTCCCCAGTCCATTACAATGATCATCTTCCCCCACCCCCTTTCTGTACCTGGAAGATTTCCATTGTTGTCCACATCATCTAAAGTAGCTCCCCATCTAAGAAGAAGCTGGACACAGCCCAGCCGGCCGTGAAAAGCAGCCTTGTGAATTGGCTTCCAATCGTGCCTGTCAGAAACGTTGACATCCTGGTTTCAAAGAGGAAAAGCAGATTCTTTAAATCTCCAGATTTTAAGTTGGGGAAGTGGATTTTGGTAGACCTCAAAGAACTGGGCACGGAAGATGCCACCATGCCCAGAAGTGGGAAATTTCAGCCTGACATCTAAGCCTCCGGAGGAAGGCCCTGTTGGGATACTGCCAGGGAGACAAAGTCCATCATGGCCCCCAAGCAGGCTGCCGGACGATCCATCGATCTCCCGTAGTCACGCAGTATCAACAATTAGCGACATGAGTTTCTAGAAATAGCTTGCCACATTCCAGAGCTCATGCACACTCTTTATCAGCAGATAATGCACAGCCAAAGTCGCACTCAGGAGAGCATTATTTACAAGTTTTATTCTGCGTTGATCAGAACACAGAAAAACATGACTGCCTGCTTTAGTGTCTACGACACACAGAGAGAAAACGAAAGCTATAGCAAACATAAACATCCTGTGAAAACAGGAAATACGCAGACTCTGATTCACAAAGCCTGCTCCCTTTTAAGGTGGAACGGAAATATCCTAACAGGCCCGCCCCCAAAATGGGGGTCAGGCCACTGCAGAGCCCAGACCACTGAGTTTCCCATAATCTTGTAACAGAGTGGAGCTTGTTACAGCCCATTCCCCCATGAGGTCAGAGCATGAGACCGTAAAAGAGTCCTGCTAGATCGGACAAAAAAAACCCTTAAAAAAGGCTTGCTAGATGTGCCTAAAATTACTATGCAGGCCACTTCCCATATTGGCCAACCAAATGCCTTCAGGAAGTCCCAAAGCAAGACGTCCCAATTTCATACACCCCCACCCACCCAAAAAACACTTTCTACAAGGCAGCAATCTTAAGTGGCACCCCAAAATGCACCCCAAAATTCCGGGGTGGCGCCATCGGCAATGGCGGACTCCCTCTGAACTGGAGGGACTAGCTCCGCGGGAAACGGGTCTTCTCCGCTACGGCGAAGCGGGGACCCTTTCAAAAATCACAGGCGGATGAAGCCTGTGACCATGGGACTCGGGCACCTTTAGCGCCCCCCCCCAACTCGCTAAGGAACCCACTAACGGGCTCCGAAGTGAAGAGGGGGAAGTGGCGCGGTGCTGTGAGTCAACTGCTATTTCCGTGGAGCGAAGCCGCATAGCCGTTGCCGGAGAGCGCTGCCTTTTTCCTGGGACAATTTGGACTCTAAAATAAGCACCCGTGAGTACTTAGACTTTGAACAACTGGACATTAGATGGGGACTTGCGAGCAGAAAGGAATTGGATCTTAAAAATCTATTTCAATTTGGTACGGAACGGGAAGGTCTAAACAGGAAGTCAGCCTTCCGTTCTTCTGTAGACAGAATAAAGCAAAGACAACGTAAACTAGAACTCAGAAAATCGCTTTTAAAGGATTGGATTTCATCATTTTAAATTGTGGAACCCCCCTTCGACAGCAGGAGAAGAAGGGGGATCTTTTTTGGACTGTTTAAAGTGAGTTTAAAGTAAAGCAACTTTCCTCCGTCCTGATCCTGGAGCGGGGTGTCAGGACTGACGTTTGAAGTTCATTGACCAGAGACAAACGTTTTTGACAGATAGCTAAAAGAAGAGAAACATAGTGATTCCACTGTTTCCCTTCGCATTTCAAAGGAACAAATATTGACAAAGTATCTCAAAAAGGGAAACTTTGTTGCAAGATCAAATAGAAGTTTTCCCCCTAGAGGGAGACTGTGAAACTGTAACCAACTCCAGGGAGCCGGCAGCTGTTTACAGATTATAATCGTGGGAATAGGCATTTGACCTTGCAGGACAATGTATTCAGAAGCTTTGTTGTGTGCTTTCTACAAAACAAATGCCCTACTGGAACAGTTACATGAGAAGGTGAATTTGATGACGACTTCGACTAGAAATTTTGAACAGGCAGTGGGAAATTTTGAACAGACAGTGGGAAAATATGTGGAGCCCACCCAGGAATTAAATCAGGAGTGTGTCCTGACAGAACAGGCCCAACAGGAATATGAGTTTTCGGATTTGACAAATGAACTTGGAAAAAGCCAGATTTGGAAAGAAAAAGTTTGGTTTGGCTTGGAAATGGGGGACTGGATTGACCCCCCTATGCTGGGATGTTTGGACTTTTCAAATCTGGCAATGGGCTGTGAGATGTTTGGGATTGTGGGGGCTCTTCATTTTGGAGGGTCTTTGAAACATGCTTTTAAATACCATATGGAATTCAGTGCTGAATACGGAAAAGGGGCTTATATGTCGAGAAGGGTTAAAAATATTGCCAAGCTGGAGTTACCACGAGCAGGAGACAAGGGAAAATACAGTTACAAATATGAAGAAGAGCTGCGAAAGGGACATGGAAGAGACTTGAGGGCCTCGGATATAAGGTTGCCAGGTTAATGGGCCAGATCGATGGGATAATAAGGACTGACAAAACCCGGAACCAGGAGGAAGGGACGTTGGATGAAGATTGGATCTGTTTGTATTTCTTTTTTTCTACCATTAGAACTGTTTTATAAAATTGATGAATGTTAGAAAAATGTTGGAATGAAATTACTCGGCTTTAGTAAAGATGTTTAAAGAATTATGAAAGAATATTATGGTTATGAGAAGTTGGTAAGGATAAGATTTAAGTTTTAAGCTTTAAGGTTTATTTTCTTATAGAAAGATAAGATTAAAACTGTTTAGGGTAATGTAATGACAGAATATTATGAAATATGGAAAGGATTTGCTGGGATAATTAATAACTAGGATACAAAGAAAGGGAGGAGGAGGAGGTCAAAGAAAGAAGGTAATGACAGTTGAGGATTCGAGAATAATGAATTTGTTTTTAAATGTTCTTAAATTGTATTTTTGTTTTTCTTTCTGTCCTTTTTTCTTATTTTTGAATTTGTATTTGTATGGTTGGAAGGGGTTTGTTTTTTTTTCTTTTTCTACTTTGTTAACTATTTTTATTTTGTATTTTCTTCTGCTTTTTTTATGTTGTAACACTTTGAAAATTTCAATAAATATTTTATTAAAAAAAAAACAAAACACTTTCTACAAGGCAGCAATCTTAAGTGGCACCCCAAAATGCACATTTTTGGATGCTGTGCCCCAAAAAAGCACTTTTTCCCCCCAAGGGGAAACCACAGCATGAAATCAAGGCATCCAAAATGGCCGCCGTTCTCTTGCGAGAGAAAAATGGGAAGATGGCGGCCTGGAAGACTGTGTCCTGGATTTGACCGTTGAGGTGTTATTATTAATCACAAAGGAGGGGCAGACTTTTCGCCAGGACTGAAAGTTAGGTAAAGCAGGCTTAACCCTTTCCTCCTCTTCACCCCCACCTTCCAAGGTCCCAGCAAAAATTTCCAGTAACACCTTTTAGCCACAAGAAGAGATCATTTTCACTGGGGGCACAGTAACAGGCAGAAGACTTAACTCTTTCCTCTCCTCAAGTGACAATCAGGTCTCCTGTTTGGTGGCTATTAAAATTTTTAAAACAACCATGGCATTTGACGTGGCATGTTTAGCGTCATGTTGACTTTGGCCCTCTGCCATGAAGACCAACGAGTGGCCTTTGGCCAGTCATGATCTCTCAGCCTTATCTACCTCACAGGATTGTTTTGAAGATAACTTGGGGGAAAGGATTGACCTTTTCGGGTGCTTTGAGATCCATTTAGAGGAAGGGCAGGCTAGAAAGGTATAAGTGAGTCAATGGAAATAGAAGCATGGCAATCCTCAGGAGAGGAGCGGGGAAAGGGCAAGACGAGTGTTTTTCTTACTACTCCGCTTCGCAGAATCGTTTGCAAAGTGTATGACTGCCCGTGGGTTGCTGCCAGATGGGCGGGAGTACAGCCTCGGTCATCTTGAGTTCCAAGATCTACTTCATGAAGAAGAAGGGACTGTGAATACACAAAGCAAAGTTCCTAGTCTCAAATTTTATCCTGAAACACAAATTCCTTAAGCTAAATTATAGCATTTAGTAGAGACACTTTGATGTTATACAGTAATAACCAAAGAATACCCCTCTTGTGGGCTTCCCAGAAGCATCCTATTGGCCACTCTGAGAACGAGTTGCTGGACTAGATGGGCCATTGGCCTGATCCAGCAAAGTGCTTCTTATTTTCTTATGTTGTTGTTGTTGTTGTTTAGTCGTTTAGTCGTGTCCGACTCTTCGTGATGCCATGGACCAGAGCACACCAGGCACTCCTGTCTTCCACTGCCTCCCGCAGTTTAGTCAAACTCATGCTGGTAGCTTCGAGAACACTGTCCAACCATCTTGTTCTCTGCCGTCCCCTTCTCCTTGTGCCCGCCATCTTTCCCAGCATCAGGGTCTTTTCCAGGGAGTCTTCTCTTCTCATGAGGTGGCCAAAGTATTGGAGTCTCAGCTTCAGGATCTGTCCTTCCAGTGAGCACTCAGGGCTGATTTCCTTCAGAATGGATAGGTTTGATCTTCTTGCAGTCCATGGGACTCTCAAGTTTTCTTATATACTTTGTCCATTTTACAACATAAGAAAGCAAGATAGATAGCTGTATATTGTTCTTTTTTTTCTTTTCTTTTTTGATATCATTTTATTAATTTTCCAAATTCTCCTCTGTCTTGCGGCCTTCCTCTGGGCCCTGACCTGCTCTCTTGGAGTGCTAGCCGCTGTGGAATAGGCTCAGGTCGGGCCTGGGCTCAGCCACGTGTCCTTGCCCTCCCGGTGCTCTCCTACCTCTTGTCCTCAGTGGCACGGCAAAGTCGGGGCTCCCCTCATTTTTCTCCTTCCTCTTTCTCTCTCTTCCTTCTCCTCCTCTCCTCCTTCCCCCTGCGTCAGCCCCAGAGTACTGCTGAGCTGTCGGCTGGGTGGCCCGGTGTTCCCGCTCCTGGCTCGATTTGGGTCATGGGGGGGGGGAGCAGTTGCCCCAGTTGACGCGGTGGGCGTCCCCGGTTCCCCCTCAGCAGTGGTGGCGGCAGCAGCAGTCTCAGCAGCCTGGAGCCAGCCTGGTAGCGCAGTTGGCTCTGGCTGGCTTCAGAAGCTGCTCGCTGCCGTGGCATCCACCATTTTGCCTCGCCAGAAGTCCCCATATGATGTGTCTTGTGCTGCTGAACCAATCACACACCATTCATTCCCTACTAACAAATCTACAGCACTTAAAATATAAATCCGGGGACGTTAAATGAAAAATGGGGACGGATTTTGTCCGGGGACAGATTTGTAAATCCGGGGACTGTCTTCAGGAAACGGGGACGTCTGGTAACCATAGGCTAGGGAGAGTACCAAGGGCCAGATAGACAGGCTTGGGGGGGACGACACATTTGGGCCTGAGATTCCCCACTCCCAATCGAATCCACTTACAAAGCCATCAAATCCTAGTGGCCACCACCACATCCTATGGCAGGGAATTCCATGTGTGAATTGTGTGAAGCCATCCTTTCTTTAATCTGCCCCGAATCTTCTGCTATCCATCGTCACTGGATGAGCCCACAGCCTTATATTTTGAGAAAGGAAGATGCGTTTCTCTCTATCCACCCACTCGAGACCAAAACCCCAGAGTTTACAACAGTGGCAAATGTGAAACGAGAAGGGGTTTATAAACCCCCTTGTCTGAATCCAGCCTCAACCATGAGTGAACAAAGACGCTTACCTGCATACAGGCATCCTGACCTTTGATGGCAGCAAGGTGAGCCGCTGTCCAGCCTCGGCCTGTCACCGCCGTCTTATCAGCTCCATTCCAGAGCAGCCACTGAAAGCACTGCAAGGACAAAAGATTTGCAACCCTTGTAAGGGATGCTGGGCATTGCAACTCTGCAAAGGGCTAAACTACAGTGCCCAGAATTCCTTGAGGAAATAATGTGCTCCGAATGTGCCTTAAAGGGACACGGGTGGTGCTGTGGTCTAAACCAGTGTTCCCCAACCTTGGGTCTCCAGCTGTTTTTGGACTACAACTCCCATCATCCCTTGCTAGCAAGACCAGCGGTCAAGGATGATGGGAATTGTAGTCCGAAAACAGCTGGAGACCCAAGGTTGGGGAACACTGGTCTAAACCACTGAGCCTCTTGGGCTTGCCAATCAGAAGGTTGGCCATTCGAATCCCCGTGATGAAGTGAGCGCCCGTTGCTCTGTCCCAGCTCCTGCCAACCTAGCAGTTCGAAAGCATGCCAGTGCAAGAAGATAAATCGGTACCGCTGCGGTAAATGGCATTTCTATGCGCTCTGGTTTCCGTCACAGTGTCCTGTTGCGCCAGAAGTGGTTTAGTCATGCTGGCCACATGACCCAGAAAGCTGTCTGTGGACAAACGCCTGCTCCCTCGGCCTGAAAACGAGATAAGCGCCGCAACCCCATAGTCGCCTTTGACTGGACTTAACCGTCCAGGGGTCCTTGACCTTTTACCTTAAAGGCATAATGTGTATGCAGCCTCAGTCTTTACCCTGGCAAAGCCATAGGTCTCTTTGTTGTTTTCTCAGACATTTAGTAGGGTCAATAGAGACTGCATAATGATATCCCTTCTTCCCTTCACAGTAACCTGGGACAATCTCTTACCTCCAGGCTCCCAGAATGGGCTGCCCAATGCAAGGGTGTAAAATTGTAGACCGGATCCACTTCATTAATGCTCGTTCCACATTTCACCATCTCCTGAAGTTGTTCTACGTTCCCAGCTCTGACTGCATCATGAATGCTCTTGAACCTGGGCTTCTTCTTCGGAGCTTCTGGAGAAGAGCAACAGACCCCCTACTCACTAAGTAGCACAGTTGGGGGGGGGGAGACAGTAGAATGGGGCAAAATTCAGTGGTGGCCGTTGTCAAGCCATGACGAATGCCCAACTTTCCTTTGACTCAATCCATCACCAGAATTCATAGAATCATAGAATCATAGAATCATAGAGTTGGAAGAGACCACAAGGGCCATCGAGTCCAACCCCCTGCCAAGCAGGAAACACCATCAGAGCACTCCTGACATATGGTTGTCAAGCCTCTGCTTAAAGACCTCCAAAGAAGGAGACTCCACCACACTCCTTGGCAGCAAATTCCACTGTCAAACAGCTCTTACTGTCAGGAAGTTCTTCCTAATGTTTAGGTGGAATCTTCTTTCTTGTACTTTGGATCCATTGCTCCGTGTCCGCTTCTCTGGAGCAGCAGAAAACAACCTTTCTCCCTCCTCTATTCATGGAAGTGGTGGTGGTGACTGATATTGATATGGACACTGAGATCCAGCGCCGAGGGCCTTCTGGCTATTCCCTCATTGCGAGAAGTGAGGTTACAGGGAACCAGACAGAGGGCCTTCTCAGTAGTGGCGCCCGCCCTGTGGAACGCCCTCCCAGCAGATGTCAAGGAAATAAGCAGCTATCTTATTTTTAAAAGACATCTGAAGGCAGCCCTGTTTAGGGAAATTTTTAATATTTAATGCTGTATTGTTTTTAACACTCGATTGGGAGCTGGGGAAACTCAGCCAGGTGGGCTGGGTATAAATATATTATTATTATTATTATTATTATTTTAAGTAGTAGTAGTAGCAGCAGTAGTCGGACCTACAACTAAGGATATAAAATCATAGCATCATAGAGTTGGAACCCTGAGGGTTATCTATCCCAACCCCCCACAATGCAGGAATCTCAACTAAAGCATCCATGGCAGACGACCATCCAACCTCTGCTTAAAAAGCTACAAGGAGGGAGACTCCACCAGCAGAGAGTCCATATCAGTGGTGCGGAATTGCAGTGAAGACGAGAACAATGTTTTTGTTGTTTCCTGGATTTCTTTCTTCTTTCTAATGCTAGAGAATTTAAAGGAAAGTGTATGCCCCACTGGGATACACTCTGTACATGCTCAATGCACACATAGTTTCCTGCTGGAAGGTGCAGGTTCTGGAGATCCATTGGCACACTTTGTCCAATGGCCCATTAAAAAAAAATCATTATTATTGACTCACATACTTATTTTTTATTTTGTTCATGAATTTCTCCACTGCCCTTCAGCATTGAGGGGTTCTAGGGTCACTTAACAAAGAGAATAAGAAAAGCAAGGAGTGGATCCAGACTTTGTCCTTCTTAGCACTGAAATTAACAGACACGGCTAACTTTAATGGGCCTCCTCCGAGTAGGACAAACATTGTCTACAACCTACCATAACAGAGTCAACAAAGCAGTAATTAATAGCAGGGTTTGTTTGTTTTGAAGGGAGGGAGAGACATAGCGAACCAATCGATCCACAGAGGGGGAAACGTACTCTGAATATGCTCAGAGGAGCTTGACAGGAGGAGGTGGAATTTTTTTCGGAAACAAAAAGGGGGTAGCCCTCTACAGAGTAGGAAAACAGGAGGAGGAGGATATATTTTGGGGTTGTTGCCCACCCATACCCACACCCCAAAATATAGGAAGACAAGGCAGGTCTCACCCGCTGGGGTACCCTCATCAGGCATGGTGCTTTGTTCAGGGCAGAGCCTCCCCAGCCCTCAGTTATCTCAGCCTCCTTCTTCCTCCTCTTCCTGGCTCCTTTGCGGTTGCTGCTGCAGGAGCGTTGCCATGGAGACAGTGTACACTTCCTGCGATGCTCCCTCAGCCTGCTGCCTGGGCTCAGGGGAGCTGTGGGGTGTGTGTGCGAAGATGTGGGGAGCGAGAAAGGGAATCAGTTGGCACCAGCTAAGCCTCAGGCAAAGCAAAAGCATAGCTTTCTCTAGTCAAGGGACAGGAAGTCGATTTCCTCGCCTCAACCCCTACAGGGAAAAGCCAAAATGATCACAGGTGGCTCACCTGTACGGGGCTTCCTTTCTCCATCAGTCCTTAGTGCAAGCTCCACAGGTGCATAGCTGTCAACCTTCCCTTTTTTTGTGGGAAATTCCCTTATTCCAGTGCCGTTTCCCGCTGCTATTCCAGATTGTTAGATATCCCGTAGACTGTCCCCGGGACAAGTGAGGCTGCTGATCCCTTATTTTTGAGGCTGCTGATCCCTTATTTTCAAATCTGAAAGTTGACAGCTATGCGCAGGTGGGTTGCGGTTTTTTTGCACCTGTGCCAAAATTCAGGGGGCCCTCTGAAGTCGATTAGTTTTGCTTTGTTTCAGTCAGATAATTGTTCTTGCAAATGTTGTCAGCGTCATAAACGCACACTCACACAACTCCTCCCCTATCCTCTATCCGGAAAAATAAGTGGCTTTATCACGGTTCAAAGACACCTTTCAGCCCAGGCCAAAACAAAACGTGTAGTTTTGCTTGCTCTCCTCCCACAGAATTGTTGTTTATATGATTCCCCCCCCCCCATATTGTCTTTTTCTGCTTATTTTCATTACTTCATTCCCAACTCTGAGATTGAAAACGCTGTTAGTACTGCAAATAACACTCCGTTTTATTTATTCACATCCCCACCTTTCTCCCCCCCCCCATTTGATTTTCAAAATAAGCCTGTGAGAGTGAGTGCTCTGCCTAGGGTTCATGGCTGATTTGAACCCGGGTCTTGCCAGTCCTAGCCCAACACACTCTTAACTACTACACCCCACAAGACTGTGTCCTTTTTGGTGTCAGTTGATGGGAGACTTCGAAGGCTAACTCTACTGGGACAGTTTGGGGAGCTTCCCTTAAGTCCAATGGTTCTCTTAAGTCACCTCTAAGACCTTCTTTGGTGTTGAGCTCTGTAGTCGGCACCCCAAACAAGTCCAGCTTTTTAAAATAAGTAGGTTCCTAGTCCTTATTGCTGTGATGGGCACCTCCAACACACAAGAGTCGAGACTTGGCGAAAACTTAAACCTGAGAGGGGGTTGCCAGTTGCCCAAGGCCAATGGCAGAACCCCACTTGTAGCATCATAGAATTGTAGAGTTGGAAGGTCATCAGTCCAATCCCCTACAGTGCAGGAATCTTTTGCCCAGCGTAGGACTCGAACTCGCCACCCCAAGATTAAAAATCTCATGCTCTACTGAGCCTGCTTCTTCCCCATGTGTGCTAAGAATATAAAGTGGCATGCATGTATTCTCAACAACTTGGGTCCAAGAAACTTTAAGAGGAGCGCTGTTAGCGGTCTTACAGAGGCCCTACTTGCCTCAGCCGGAAGTTGGGCATTTAGTGTCGCTGGTTCATGCCGTTGGACACTTTCAGCAGAGGTCCAGCTGCCATCCTTTGCTTTTGACTTTCAGGCGCCCCTTAAAGATCTTTTTTATGCCAACAGGACTTAGCAGTTTAGCTGTTTTTGATTAACTAGTCACCTTCATGATTATCTGTAATTTTATTTTTATTTTATATACCACCCTGATGTTTTCACCGTATAGCAGCATGAAACACTTTTATATGTAAATTTAAAAAATCCAGGAACCAATTTTGGCTTTTACTACTGAAGCTTCTGAGCAAGGCGTGTTCAGGAAACAGGATTCGGCTGTTTACATTGCAGAATTGTGGCTTGGATGGGAAGAAAAAAACAAAAGCCATTATCGTTCACCCTTGGCAGTGTGGGTCAGCAAGAACTTGTGGGGATCTTAGATAAGACTTAATCTGATTGCAGTGGGTTCCTGCTGAGATTTCCTCCGATCCTTGTGCAATGTGTTTTAGCTCACTTCCAAATTTTCCCTCTGAAGGTTGACAGTACAGCTGTGTGTGGAGAGAGCATGCCTTTGTTAGCATGTTGGCCACCCCATTGCCATTTTTATATGCAGTGGTGCCAGAAATGTTTAAAGATCTAAACTGCTAGATTATTCCAGTACATCTCCTTAGTGAATTGAATTTAACCAGTCTAGAGCACTGCAAGATTTAGTGTAGGGGTAGGCAACCTAAGGCCCGTGGGCCAGATGCGGCCCAATCGCCTTCTCAATCCAGCCCGTGGACAGTCCAGGAATCAGTGTGTTTTTACATGAGTAGAATGTGTCCTTTTATTTAAAATGCATCTCTGGGTTATTTGTGGGGCCTGCCTGGTGTTTTTACATGAGTAGCATGGTCTGAGGGACGGTGGACCGGCCCATGGCTGAAAAAGGTTGCTGACCCCTGATTTAGTGGCTATCTGAAACAGCTACATTCAAAGGTGCTTTCACAAGGCACTGACTAGCTTTGCCCATTCCTGGAGGTTTTAAACTTTAAGTAACTGACAACACAACACAGCAGAACTGAACTATGTGCATAAAGCAATGGGAATTTAATTTCTTCAGTCACTGGGACAAGTCAAAGCTAGGAAGATCTTGCAAAGTAAAAAGGCAAGTTATGTGACTCAAACTGTACATCCCTTTCCTTCAGCAACAATGTACCAATCAAATTCTTCCCCATCTCCCCTAGGCTACTTCCAAGTTTTTGTTTCATTAAAATAAAAAGAGACAGGAGTTCCTGACTTCCAGGAGCTTTTACATCATGTTGTTGGCCTTGAGGCTTTAAGAAGAAGAAGAAGAAGAGTTTGGATTTGATATCCCGCCTTTCACTCCCTTTAAGGAGTCTCAAAGCGGCTAACATTCTCCTTTCCCTTCCTCCCCCACAACAAACACTCTGTGAGGTGAGTGGGGCTGAGAGACTTCAAAGAAGTGTGACTGGCCCAAGGTCACCCAGCAGCTGCAAGTGGAGGAGCGGAGACGCGAACCCGGTTCCCCAGATTATGAGACTACCGCTCTTAACCACTACACCACACTGGCTCTCTAAAACCTGGAAGCATTTCTATGTTCAAAACAGTGGAGGTTAAAATACATCTAGTGAATTTGGCACACACCTGTTCACATTCAGTGCGTCGTTATAGGCATATGTTTACAATCTTTCCCAAAGCAACCCAAGAAATAAAGAGATTCACACCGGTATATGCTTCATTCTAATTTATTACACGAAATAAATATTAACATCTCATGGCAATTCTTTACTATCTAGACCCAAGTTATAAACCAACAAAAAATGTTAACCATGTTGCAACCGAGCAATCGTACATTAGTTTTTTTTTTCCTCTGTAAAATCCAAAGAAAATTGGTTTGGTTTGTACTACGCACTTGTATATTTGATGACTTGAAAAAATTAGGAAAATCTGAATCTGTTTTTGCTCCCAAGCTGACCCTGGGTTTTGCTGTGAAATCTTGGCACGTGTCCGAAGTCAAGAACGTTATTTTGTTATGTATCCTTCCTAAGCTTTCATTTTAAACATATGGATGTGAATGCAGGTTAAGAAAAGCAATCCAATGTTTGCAGGAACATCCTCTGGAACAGCAGTTTTCGCCTTAACAAGCTTTCTTCCAACACCAAGAAAAAAGAAAGAAGAAAACACATCTCCAATTTCCACTGAAAAGTCAATTTAATTAAGCACAAGGCTTACACTGAAGCCTAAGTTCGATTCCATCTAAAACACGTTCGAAACCGAAATACTTTTATTGTTATTGGATGGTGTGCATAAACATTACACTCCATAGATAGCAAAAATATCTTTTATTTATAATTTACATTTCCACAAATGAAAAAATCATACAATTTTCCTTACATATACAGTCTATTCCTGTTAAATTTTGTATGCCTTCTACAGAACTTCCACACAATAGACACCTGACACTGTGCAGGCAATAAGAAATTCAAATACAAAAATGTATTTATTAACCAAATAAGCAGCTGGGGCCCTGCCCCAAGTGAACACTTTATTCATATAAAAATTATTTGACTTCTAGAGTCAGCTAGAACACAGCAGCTCTTCCCTGGAATAGAAAAAAATTAGTTTAAACTGACTCAACCTTCTCAGGCTCTGTTTTAATTTCGGCCAATGTGGGTGAGCTCCCCTCCATACAATCATCAGCAGGCGTATCCTCAGGCTCTTCTTTTACCTTGGGACTGTTACAGGAATCCTGTACTTCTTGCTTAACAATATTCAACATAATATTTAGCGGGTTCTCTACAGGTGTCTTGCTAGGAGATGGCGTTGAATCAAATGACGAGGTCTATAAGTAAAAATTAACACCATATACATTAATTTGCACTACCAAAACATTTCAATGGTAGCTTTTAAAACGTGATTTGAAAGTGGCAGGTGCAAAATGTTGCTTCCACAATAGGCATGCTTTTTGTGATGATACATCTAACTCAAGCAAGAAGGAAAAGTTTTTAAAAAGCAACCTAAAGCCATCAAACCCAAATTCATTGTTATTGTTATTTTTAAGTAATATTATTTTGAAGAGCTGGTTTATTATTTGCCACACTTTGGAAATAATGATGCCTGTCTGAATATCTTCCTCTTTTCATGAATGAATGTGCTTTACAGCACATTTAAAACACAACATTCTATTTTTTTCAATCTATAGACTAACCTAACCAACACATTTAGCAGATCTGATACATAAACCTACAGAAAATAATGCACTTACATTTTGATAATCTTCGTAGCATGACGGATGGTATATCTGGAGAGAGAAGACAATCAATCTTAATATCTACATACTTTAAAAGGCATAGAAGAATACACTGCAAAGCAAATGCAACTTTCTTTTTCATACAATTACAAATTTCACTAAAGTCACTGTACACAATACTCTATAGTTCTTCTGCACAAACTCAAGTCTTCGGCCTCCATTTGCTAATACAGTGGTACCTCGAGTTATGAACAGTCCTTCTTACAAACGCTTCAGGTTATGAACTCCACAAACCCGGAAGTAGGTGCATACGAATGCAATCCGCTTCCAGGTCGCGAGAAGCCTATGTAGGGAATGTTAAGTTAAGAAAGGACTTCCGGAATGAATTAAGTTCACAACCTGAGGTACCACTGTATTTTACTGTGTTTGGCACAGCTTGCTTTAAAAGTGCAGTCATTTAACCATTTCTAGAGGGGCAGCTATGTTAGTTTGTTGCAGCAAAAGCAAGAGTGTGTCTTGGGCACATGAAAGACTAACAAATTTATTGTGGCATAAGCTTAGTGGACTAGTCCATTTAATCGGATGCACAAAAGCTTACGCTGTCATAAATTCATTGAGTCACAAAACGAAAGATTATTTAGCCAAAACCTGGTAGTCAAAGTCATTGTTTTTCCTCGGTGCTGCCACCAAATATATATTCAACATTACCTTCTCGTCTACTCGAATGGCATTTTTTAGGTGCCACTCCTCCTCTTCCTCATCCCAGTATTGCTCAAATTGCTCCTGGCAGATTTCACAGCTCTGAAATGTAGGAAAGCAGTTAAAAGAGCAGTATTTACATAAACAGCGCACTTGTCCTTTTACTCTCAGTTCACCAGAGAAGTTATGACAAGTAAAAGGTAGGTACAGTATAATTGCAACAATTCTGGGTCCTGCTATTATCAATATATTAAGACTGCGAAATTCTGCTCTTTAAATGTATGAAGTGGTATCAACCCATAGTGGCCATGCTTTTGAAATTACTGCTACAACCTTAAGAGGAATAAATAGGAATGTTTTAAAAGGGATTCTCAAGAACTGGGGGTGGGGATCAGGAAGTTTGGGTGAATTCACATTTAGCTTATAGAGCTTTGCTGTCAACTCATCCTTCTTACCATAAACCTGCATCTACAAAGAAAGAGCTATCTTTCGCAGTAGATTTTTAAAAATAAAATACACTTGCACACTTCATATCTTTATCTAAGGCAGAATGTTGGAAATATAGTTAGGAACAAAAGTAAGGATTTCTACAGAGTCAAGCCAGTCCCAAGAAGCAAGTTTACCGAGGGCAGCTTACCTCATCTGCTCCAGCTGGGCCAGCAGGGACACTTTGAAACTCCTTCTCCTTAGCAGCTTCTTGTGTTTTCAACACAACTTCTTCATGCACCTTCTCAAAGAACTGGCTCTTTGCACGTTCCTCTAAATCAGCTATTTCTTCGAACTCTATCCAGTCCTAAAGAAAAAAAATATTGACAAAGCCAATTTAAGATCCTACGAGTTCTATCTTTTACTCTGCTCACTCAACTTTCCACAATACAGTTCTGCACAAATCTTTAATTATCCTCTCTGGTTCTGTTTCTTAGGATCCGGATCACAGCATATAGGGCACAGTCTTCCGAATCCTTACTCTTGTAAGAAAACAAAAAACCACTAATCCATCACCATTTTAAAAATCCTCAATCCATTAGAGCTTCTTGAGCAATACGCTAAACTTGAAGGGCGTGCACAATTCACCTAGTAACACGTCGGTGACAAGCTTTTCATAAATCTCACGTGCAGCACAGATGTCAGAATCCACCCACTCACGTTTGTTTATGCCAAAGTCTACCAGTAGTACAACACCTGTGCACAATTAATTGAGGCATGCAAGGGAAGAATATTTATCTCTGTATGACTATTTCCTTAGTCACAGGAATCTCAGATTTTCATTTTTTGTTTTGTTTTAATATTTAACCCCTGCAAGTGCAAAGAGGTTCCTGAAAACTCATCTGCAAACACGAGACTTTAAGAAGCGGACACTGTGACATCTGACCACCAGAGGGCAAACTTGTGACGCTGCTCCCACACTAGCCAATATAGGGAGAAAAGTGTGTGAAGCCAAGCAGGAAGCTACAGAGGCAGAACACAGGCAGCCAACTACTATAAAACAGGAAGTAGGTGCCCTCAAGGATCTAAGAGGGGAAGGTTTATAAAAAGGATCGAAACTACAATTTGTGAGGGATCTGGTGACATTTCGAGGCAGAGGCACTGCCCAAATGGAACTCGGTGCCTCCAGAAAGCTGAGCTTTCAGAAGCAGAGAGGGAATTTAAGATAGTGTTTGAAGGCTCATGCTGTTTTAAGTGCATATAATCTTGGTAGTTTGTTTTACTGTTATGCACCTGAATCCTTTGGAACAGGGCAGGCAATTAATTTAACATTAATTCTGTACCCTGAGGTGAAACAGACTGAGCCGTCACTTACTGTTAAGCTGTAGTACCATCTTCTGTGAGTGACTTTCCGGCTGACATCCTTTTCCGTGCGGTTCTGACGATAGTGCCAATCCAAATGGTCTGCATATACATCTGTCTGTGAAGTGGTGAACCTCATTCCACAAGAGTAACATTGAATGCCAGTATAGAGCCGGTTTATAATGCTATCATAACGCCTGAAAACAAGTCAGAAACTAGTTAGCAGCAGATTATGGCAATTAGTTTATGGAGAAAAAGTCATGCAAGCTTCAAATAATTCTGTTAAGCAAATATACAAGACAAAACACCTTTTCAAGTTGGAAGATTGCTAAAATAATTTCTAATTTAACAAGCACCAATCAGTAACTTGCATGCTAAGGAACAGGCTCTAGGGCAGGAGGACTAAGAACTCTGCCACCTAAGTTAAGAAAAAACTGGGAACACCTTTCCCACCCAAGAAATAGAGGTCTTGTTCATTTAGCTGGGGTTGGGAGCTCATGAAAACAAGGCAGGCTATGCACATCCATGAATGAGAGAATAAATGTGTCAGGAAGAAGCCAGTCAGCACTTTCAGTATATGGAACTGCATTAGGAATCAAGACGCTGTCACACAACTTTAAAAAGGCCCACAATAAACCTTGAAACCTTTTTATCTAGATCAGAGACCTATAAATCCCAAGATACTATCAGTGGTTAATTCTGAATTCTTTAATTAATATGCTTGACATACCAAAGTTATATTTAATACTTATCACACACATAAATATAGCACTCTCACTGTCCTTAAAACAGCAATTATTTGACTTTCACAGTTAAACTCAAGTTAGATCAACAGTTTGATCTAAAACTGTTAAATGGCTTACTTAAGTCAACATGACATGCCTAGGTACATTCTGTGTTACCCACCCGCCCCAACAAATATACTTACTGCTTTAGTTCTTCTATAACGAAGTTAGTTAGGTCTGGGACATCTTGATCCTCAGTCTGGTCTTGATCCTCCTCTTCCTCCTCTGGAGCTGGCTGGGCAGAAACTTCACTGACTTCTAAACAAATGAGGTACGTTGTCAGTACTGGGCCAAAGCGTGTGCTTTCAAAACTGCATCGTTGTCAAATTAATGCAGGCAGGTCTAAAACACGACAGTACTTCTCTGTCCCTAGTGATTACTGTATTGTTAACAGGGGACGGGGAAGTGCAAAGTGCTCCACAGAACTATCAACTGACGTCAGGTGCCAAGCAGGGGGGCCGGGATAAAATGGTCTGGCAGGCCTAACCAGACCCACAAGTCAGAGGTTCTCCATCCCTGTATTATAGCAAGGTTCAGAGTCTCCACCCCCATCACTCAGCCCGGACACTGAGATCCAGCTCTGACGGCCTTCTGGCAGTTCCCACACTGCAAGAAGTGAAGCTACAGGGAATCAGGCAGACAGCCTTCTCAGTAGTGGCGCCCACCCTGTGGAATGCCTTCCCATCAGATGTTAAGGAGATAGTAATTATATAAAATTTAGGAAAAATCTGAAGGCAGGGAAGCTCTTCAAGGTTTAATGTTTTACTATGTATTTATATATGCTGGACGCTGCCCAGAGTGGCTGGGACAACCCAGTCAGATGTGGGGGGTACAAATAAATTATTATTTATATTAGTAACACACGTGGCAAACTTCTTTCAATTCCTCCAACTTTGTATCTTGACTTTAAAAAGCAAAACACAAAAGCTATTCCCAATTATATGCCTTTAAAACAGGATGCACTGGATCTATTTCTCAATCTAGACAGTTCTGAGTAGCAAAGGAGGAGGTCAATACTGCTGATTTTGAACAGCAGCTGCTATTAAACCCATTAACTGTTGCAAGATGCTTAGACAAAACATATGTAGTATCATACATACCAGCTTCTGTCATAACAGCCTTTAACATTTTAACTATTCCTCACAGAACAAAAAGGTAAAAGTTATACTTACGAGCTGAAGTTGAATCAGTCTGTAAAACTTTGAGAATCCCTGTAGAAAGTAGTTTTGAGAATAATTCATTTACATCAAGTTGTCCAAGATGATTATCAGGATAGGAAAGCGGAGCGTTCCCTAAAAATGGGACAAAAAATGACACTACTTTCAAATAGCTCTAAGACTTAAACAGGATCATATGGTTCACAGTCCAAAACATTTTACGTTCCCTTTCCTTATCTTTTATTTCAGGATATAGCTCATGAGATACAGTAGGTAACATTCCCTAACCAAGTGGCAACTGTTCTGCACCTGGTTCCCCCTCCTCAACTCCAACCATTATTTTGACATGGCTCCAGTTGAGTAACTTTGGGGTTATAGTAAATAGGGAAGTAGCCCTGGCAAATCTGAGGTTTGTTCAGGATTGATGCAAAATCTCCTTTATTTGGCTCTCCAGATATTGGTGGACTACAGCATTCATTAGCCCCGGCAAGCATGGCCAATGGTCAGGAATGATGAGAGCTGTAGTTCAGGAACATCTGGAATGTCAAAGGTTCTCCACAGCTGCCTCGTTGGCAGCTGATAAACGTTTTAGCAAAAGGACAAAAAACAACAACTCACCCTTTAAATACTGACCTGGTTGATTTTGGACAAAGCTTCCAGGATTTTGTGCATGAGCTGCTAAGAGAGGCTGCCCTGGATTGTAAGGTACAGGTTGAGTAGATGCTACCGACATAACAGGAACCTGCCAAGAGGCAAATGCTGTTTTAGTCAGAATATTCAGCTATTTCACTGTTAAATTCCAAATCAATGAATGGTGTTTGGTTTTGCATTTAGTTACAACACAGCACGACTCTATTTTACAGAAGTAAAATATCAATGAAGTGAACAGTATAAAAATAAAACTTTAAGCATTAATACTAAAACCAGATTAAATCAACCCACTTTCTGGGACAAAGTGCTCCATCTATATTAATATTAAGTATTTCTTTCAAAACTGCTCATTTTATCTTTATTTGGTAAATTTTAGTACATCTACTTATTTTTAAAGTTTGATTTGATCTGTATTTTTAATTAAAACTTTGTACTATTTTATGTAAACCATTTAACAGGTTTTTCTATTAAGTGGTATATTCTATTATATACATATATTGTATATGTTATCATATACATATTGTTAAATATGTTAGCAAAATATTGGCTTTCGTTGTGCTTCCAAGAAGTACCTCAAATTCCAAGAGCTATACAAGCACGCTGGTGCTTAAGAGTGTTGGACTAGGGCACGGGAGACCATGATTCAAATTCCCAGTCTGCTATGAAGATCACTGGGTGACTTAAGTTAAGCTGAGCCTAAGTGTCAGGCAAGAGTTGCTTGTGAGGATAAAATGGCAAGGGGGATTATGCCACCCATAGCTCCTTACAGGAAACGTAAGATATACATGTAATAATAACTAATTTGACTATCATTATTTGATTTCCCCCCTTACACACACACTCTCTCTCTCAATAACTTTGGCCAAAAACAACAAAAACTCAACTCCCCCCCGCAACCCCCCCCCCCAAACTTTTGAGTCCACATTTTCACCTTCTAAAATATGGCAACCCTAACTTAGCCCTACCTGCCATGAACAAATATCTATATCTACACACACATATACATGAAACACTCTCCTGTTACTGAACATGCAGAAAAGAACAAGCATATTATATATGAACAAGTATAAGATCAATTTAAGTCTTGAAAGCCCCTTACCTGCTGAGGCTGCTGAACATTTCCCGTCATACCACTGAAATTTCCATACTGAAGGTTCTTGTCATCATAGTAAGGTCCAGGTGCCCTGTTAATAGTGTTAGGAAAGTTCTGTGCTCCAGAACCAGGTGACCCATTGAAGTTTGGTCCTTGCGGGTTATCAAATATTTGCTCAGTTCTCTGGAATTGCATTCCTTGTGATGGCGCATTATAGGGTGGCTGATTGGGAGGTTCATTGTAAGGGCCAGTTTGTCCATAAGGTGGTGTTTCGAGTCTTGAGGCAGGATGATTAGCTACATTTTCAATTCTTTGACCTTGATGACCAAGAGGAATATCAAATCGTGTTGCCTGCTGGTGTTTAGGATCTTCAAACCGTTGAGGTATTGGTGCATCAAATCTTGGGGGTATCTGCTGACCCGGAGGACCATCAAACCGAGGTTGTGTCTGCTGAGCAGGGCCCATTTCAAACCTTGGACCAGGTTGCACATGTAATCCATCCAGTCTTTGCATAAGTGATGGCTGACCAGGTTGACCATCAAATCTTGAATGACAGCCATCAAACCTTGGCCCTGTTTGGTTAATAGGTCCTTCAAACCTAAGTCCACCTCCAGCCTGGCCTGAAGGCCCCTCAAACCTGGGACCAATCCCAGACTGACCATGAGGCCCCTCAAATCTGGGACCAACACCTGGTTGACCATGTGGCCCTAAAGGCTGCCCATGTGGCCCCATAGGCTGTCCATGAGGACCTTCAAATCTTGCTGGCTGCCCATGCGGACCCATAGGCTGTCCATGTGGACCTTCAAAGCGCAAATTGCCTCCTGGCTGGCCAAGAGGTCCCATTGGCTGCATATGAGGTCCTTCAAATCGCATGCCAGCCGCTGGCTGACCATGAGGCCCCATAGGTTGGCCATGGGGGCCTTCAAACCTCATTCCACCTCCTGGGGGACCATGAGGCCCCACAGGACGGTCATGAGGCCCTTCAAACCTTATCCCACTTGAAGGCTGGCCATGTGGACCTTCAAACCTCATTCCACCGGAAGGCTGGCCATCAAACCTCATAGTACCTGAAGGCTGATCGTGTGGTCCCTCGAACCTGATCCCAGATGACTGACCATGTGGTCCCTCAAACCTAATCCCAGCAGATGGCTGGCCATGAGGTCCTTCAAACCTTATCCCACCTGAGGGCTGACCATGGGTCCCTTCAAATCTTATACCACTCATCGACTGGCCTGTGGGCCCCTCAAATCTCAACGCTCCCCCTGGCTGTCCCATAGGATTCTCAAACCGTATAGCAGTCCCTGCACCAACTTGCCCTGAGGGCCCTTCAAACCTCAAGGGACCACCACCCATCTGTGCTGGTCCATCGAACATAGAACCTTTTCCTCCAGATTGTCCTGGGGGCCCGTCAAACTGAGATGCTGGCTGGCCTAGGGATCCCTCAAACCTTAAATTAGTCTGTGGTTGTGGTGCTTCAATTCTAGAACTTGCATTAGCCAGCCCTTCAAAGTGAGTTCCTTGTCCATCTCCACCTGCCCTTGTTCCAGGATGTCTAGGGGAGCCCTCAAAATGAGATCTTTCCTCCATCAGTGAACTAAATCTTTGCTTTCCATCCGAAACCCCAAATCGTGATCCTGTATTCTCAGTAAATTGTTTTTCTGGTTCTTCGTATCTTGCTCTCTTATAATGTTCATTGAATGGAGACCTCCGCTCATCTCGAATACCTTTAAAACAAAACAAAACAGCACTGTTACTGCCTGAAGGCAGTAGTATAGTATAGAAAGCGTAGTATACAAAGCAAATCTACAGCACTGTGAGAAGTATTTCCCCAAAATTATCAAACCTGAAAACTCCAGTATATTTTTGCTGCACTTCTACTGAAAACCAAGAAAATATTTACAGTCTCTTGATTTTCCCTAACTATAATACAGATAATGGAGGTATTTTCCCTGAAGCTCCTTGTACCTTTGGAGGAGTTGGACTCATCGTGTCTTCTCCGGCTGTCATGAGGTGAATTTTCAGAATATGGTCTGTTACTACCAACAGGGGAATGCCGCCTTGATCTTTCACTGAATTGACTCCCCGATTTGCTTTTTGTTTGTTCGCAATCCATTCCAGAAAGAAATGTCTCATTCAAGTGTCTCTCAAGTAAAATATCTTCAGGATCCATCATGTTGAGTCTCGGAAATGAATGCTGAACTTGCGTTCTTTTTAGCTTAGCTTTATGCTCATGATATATTAAATCTGCATCAGACAACAGGGGCTTCTTTTTCGAAATTCCCTTTTCACCTGTGGGACTATCCCAAACATTGCACCTGTGTTTTCCTTCCTGATACTGGATAATTTGGCGAATCTGATGGCACAGAACAAGAAACTCATCTTGCGTTATTTCTCCAGATGACAGTTGTTCATTAGCCTGTGACAAGAGAAAACGTTAAAGAGTTAAATTTGGAAGGCTGTTAGGAAAGAATATGTGAATCTATAAAAAGTTAATACATGTTACCTTCTTAAGTAACTCTCTCTTGTTCGCCAAGTCCAGTTCTTTCGGAATCTGCAAATTCGCATCCACACTTAATCTATGTTGCTGCTTTGGTGTGCGAGGTGATGTAACTCCTTTACTACTGGTTGCCCAGGTGTCCCTGTGCCTCTGATGAGGTGATTTAGAAAGTCCTTGGTGTTCTTCAGTTGGCTGGGGGCTGAAATCCACAGAAGCAAGAATGTTAACTTGACACAATCTCCCAACATAGTGTGATAAAAACAACTATTTCACTTTTGCTTTAGCATCATACCAACACGGTTATTCTTTGGCAGTAACTTCAGATCTATACCTACGATGGCAAATTAAATTTGCCTCATAAATGCCAACTTACTTTTTATTTTCTTGCCAACCAGATTTCCACCTTTTATTTGACTTGGAACTTGACCAGTTCTCCACATTCTCCTTAGGTTCCGAGTTTGCTTTTGAAGAATGCAAGTTCATTCCTTCCTGCGGTCGGTCTTCATGAGTTTTCTTCGGCCTCCTTGAATCTCTCACTTCCTGCTTCCTTTTGTTAGAGCTCCTTTCTTCCCGTATTGCCTGCCCAAAGTCCTCTGCGTGGGATTGCTTTGGTCCCGACGCCCGAGACTTTGCAGTTTTAGGTCCAGGAGAGAGACTCCTGAGCCGTCTTTTGGGTGACCTCCTGTCTCTTCGTTTTGGAGAATGGGAAGATGGTGACCGAGATCTAGGGGAACGTGACCTTTTCCTGGTACCCGACCTTCCTAGCTTTCCAACCTGTTTCTCTGACTCTTCAGTATTGGGATCTTGCTTTTGGACAATGCCATTAATTATTTTGGTTCTACCACTGACTGGTCTATGCTCTTCTTTGTCTTTTCTCTCCATGCATCTCCTCTTTTCTTTCAGATCATCATCTTTACCATCTGGCTTCTCTAGAAGATGTTTTTTCAATCTTGGATCTCTCTTGCTTATTTCAGATACCCTGGTGTTCTCACTTTCTTGGTTTCTAGTATCTTTAGCATGAAGCAGCTTGTTCTGCAAGGGAGAAGGAGACTTCAGTTTTGAATCAAATTGATCAAACTCTTTCTTTTGAGATTTCTCATTCTGTTTTTGTCTTTCTTGCTTTGATGTACTTTGTTTTTCAGCCTGTAGTGTTTTGCTGACCTTTGGATCAGCCTGATTGACTGGACTAACTGTAAAATCTTTCCTATGACTTTGATCTTTAGAATGGGAAGAATGTTGACTTGTTCTATTAAGACGAGGATCTCTGTTGGCCGTTTTGACATCATGGAGTGGAGAGAGACGGGTTTTTTCAGGTGGCAGACAAACTTGATGAGGAGCTTTAACTGGCATGTGAGATGGTTGTGGAACATGTGGCTTCACAGATGCTTGACTCAAGCTGGATCCACTTTGCTGACCACTAAGAGAAACCGCCTGAAACATAAGGTAATAAAAAAGGAGCAAGTATTTACAACAGTAGCACTTAAAAAACCTTACCTACTGTACAGCATAAAAATTCAAGGATAGGTTTGAAAGTATGGACTAATTCTTGAGTTCTAATTATATAGAAAAGAGAACTTGCAATAAAAGGCATATAAGTTACTAGCTTTTTGGATAAGCCTCTCTATTTTAGAATTTTCTTGCAATACTCATGATGTCTGTGAATGTGTTAAAGAATATACTAATCATTTCCTATCTCAGATTGTAAGGGTATTTTAGGTTCCTTCAACTGAAGGTCAATAATTACAAGGTATGAATCAATAAACGTCCATTGCCCTATAAAATTATGGAAAATTATGCAGTATTTCCAATATACGTATTTTTAAACCATTTTAGTTTTTTGATAAATTATACTTAAAGGGCATAAACGGTATTTCTGTAGCCGACATAAGCATAGTATAGAAACCTCTTGACATTAGAACATGCTCTGCAATCCTGTCTTCAAAACAGGGATGGCAGGGAACATGTGGCCCTCCAGATATTGAGACTACAACTCCTACCATTCCTGAGCATTGGCAATGCTGGCTTGAGGCTGATGAGACTTGGAGTCCAACAGCATCTGGAGGGCTGCAGGTTTACACCGCAAGCAAACCATGAACGATTAACACATCACAAAATATGACACCACACACAAATTGATTCCGGAAGAAAACCCTTTGTGGTTACTTGTGAGCTAGTCTATACGTGACACTTGCTACGGTAATAAATACCTGTGGGGTATCAAACCTCTCCCATGGTCATGTATTTGATGTCAATGCTTTTCACTTGCATGGAAGAAAACTCACAATGTGATGGTCCCAATCTCAAGCCCTGGGTTCTACTAAACAACAGCCAGGGGTGTGGAATTTGCTATACACGGAAGTGCGATTCACGGACCAAGTGCAACATATACGTTTTACCATGACAATAGAGGTAGTAAACATTGTGTCCTCAAGGTTGAATGGCTATCTGTCATGGATGCTTTAACTGAGATTCCTGAATTGCAGGGGGTTGGTCTAGATGACCCTTGGGTACCTTCCAACCCTTATGATTCCATGAAGGTGTTGCTACACTACAACTCTCAGCCTCCCTTGCCATTGGCTATGCTGGCTGGGACTGATGTGAATTTTGTGGAGGGCGCTAAACCATGTGTCCAAATTAATGATAACCTCAAAACATGGTAGAAAAACCTATTCCTATTTTTATTAACTTGTTGAGCGTATGAAAGAAAGGTTACAATCTGTATTGCGGCTTGCCCCACAGATCAATCAAATTTAATAGTCTTAACAAAGGCTCCACCAAATAAAGACAACTGAAATGGGCTAGTGACAAACACTGGTCATGTTTTGCTTTGCTTGCCGACATGCTACAGCAGTCATTTCTATCCTACTCACCAGCTGTGCTTTAGTCTGCTCTAGTTCCAGTTCTAATTTTTTCTGTTGAAGTTCTAACAACTGTTTTTGTTTTGCTAGTAGCTGTTGTCTTATTAGCTGCTCTTGAGTCAAATTCTTTTGTATTTCAGGAACAACTGGAGTAGCGGACACAGCAGAACAGGACACAGGAGGAGGACAGACTGCAGGGCTAGGTGCAGGTGGTTCCTCAGGCTACCAAGAAAATGGTAAAGAACACGATTCTTATTTGTGGGGCAAAGCAACCAGCAGTTAACTCAAAGCTAGAAATGTTCCATTGTTTTAAAATTCTTCATTTTTGTACATTTAAATTAGAATGCATAAGTAATGTCAGACTTTTAACGTAAGTTTAATGCTTTCACCTCATTTATGTTTTGAAAGTACAATCCCTACCATAACTACCAGTCCTTTCTTGTCACCTCAAAGCATGCGAAATTCAAAGGCCTGAACACAAACGCATATAAACATAGTTTAAAGCAGCATTTAGTTGTCGAAACTTACCGATTTATTTAAAAACTTAGGATTCACATGGATGCTAGAAGTATTCACATTAGGGGGTAGAGGTTTAATTGGCCAAGCAGGGTCTACTGAATTCACCCGGACATCAAGGGCATAGAGTTTCTTCAAAGGGAAAATTTCATCCCACGTGGAACGCAATTTAAATAAACTTTTCCTAGTATTTTCATCCACCTAAGAAGAACAGAACAATTCTATGGCTTGTTAAGTTAATAAAACATTTGTTATGCTTCTTTCTACAACTCAAGACCAGATACTGTGTTCTAAAGCTGTACTCCTGCTCATTTGTGTGTACTGAAGTGCCACTGAAATTAGTAGAAATCAGGTGCACACAGGTGAACGATGGACTGTGGGCCTCCATGTAACGGGATGGATTAAGAGATAAGCACACATAACAGAACTAGCAGCAGCCGATTTCCTTAAAATGCTATGGGTTAGGGAATCACGCTGAATGAGGTGGGCTTAACCGTATTTCTTCAATCCCCTGTGAACAACCTATCCCATTCAGCAGGGTTCCTTGACCCTCATTGGAGTATTTTCTCGACATAGAAGTCAGCTTCTGCCAGTACCGTGATGTACTTGCCCCCAGGTCCAACATATTGTGATTTGCACAGTACCATATACATTTGAAAACAGTAAACCCTCCACATGTGTTATAGACACAGCCATGGTATCTTTTTATTTTTACATTTTGTATTATCCCAACTCAACCATCAAGGCAGTTCACAGAACAAGTTCAATAGTATAATATGCAGATAATTTTCATTTCCCAATGTTTTCATACTGCATCTACTATTCCTGGTAAAGATATAAATCCAATACAGGCAATTCAGTGACTACTGCGTTGATACAATCTTATGCACTTACTCCCAAGCAAATCCTGAAGCTGAAATATACTGAGCAAAAATGCCTAAGATTAGGCTGTTAAATAGCTCAATCTTGTCTCAAAATATATTAATTCTTCTCCAGCTAAAGCTCCATACTACCAGTCAGAAAGTATGTATGGCTTAAACAGGGTCACAAGGGTTTGTCTCAATTTTTATTAGTATCATTAAGAGATTTAAGATTAAACAAAACTTGATAAAGGGAAGCAAGCACTAATCCAATTGTTTTGAGCAATTCCAACCCTTTATTAAACAGCACTGGGGAACGCTAATTAATTCAAGTGGCATATTCTTATTTCCTTTAATGATTTATGTAAAACTGTTCACATAAAAATTATAAATATGCATTCTGTATTTTTTTTTTAAATCACCCCAATCCTCTGGCCAACCCAGTTTGAGAAATCCCAGCCACAAGCAATTGCTCAGAAATTAAAGTGAAACATAAAAAGACTGCAGAAGTGAAAAGGTTGGGAGTCAGATAATGAAAGGTGCTCATTATCAAAATATAAACTTTCAGAACTCTTGGCAGGCAGGTTCCATTTAAGTATCTAATGTTTGCATACACTACTATAAATGAATGAAAACATAACGTATTGTATAATCAAAACGACAAGTGTTAAGAGTGTATGCAAACACACACAAGGTCACTGATTTCTCTGCAAGGCTAAAATATCTTATGCATGAAAAGTTCAGCATTGTAATAAATGGCAGAGCTAAAGATCAAACAGTTTTCTAATACAGGCCTTCTCACTCTGGATATGCTCTACACATTTCCAACTATGTACTGCTACACTTTTTTAAAACCTTGTTTTCTTAATATAACTGGAGTGTGAATAGTCTAAATATGAAAGGTCCTACTGCATTCTTTGCACTTAGTACCCAAGAAAACCCAAGACTGAGTGTCAAGTTATTTATTTATACAGCAACAATTTTGAAAACGATTATAAAAGCACATATATATGTATATATACCTTTTCAAACACATTAACAAATGTTGCAACTAGGTTTTTAGTAAACGCAGCAAGATATTCTCTCCCAACATTCTTGACAATGGAGTCCATAAGGTACATAACAGGAAGTTTCTCATTAGAAGGAGCCTGGAGTAATAAGAAGAAAACTTGAGACTTTTAGTTAAAACAAAAACATGTTGATTTCTCTTTTAATTTAGAGTTACCATTCCCCAACCCACCATATCTTTATTTTGGAACAATTATTGTGTAAAAGGTTGTTTTCATAAGCTAACAAGCTCAACACCGCACCGCCCCCCAAAGAGTTTAGCTCTATTTGGTAGAGTGTTTTTTTTTAAGAGGAGGGGATACTCAACCTCTGCAATGGCAGAAAGAACTGGCCCATGTTATGGTTAGGGGTATCCAAACCAACCATACTATACTCTATTTAAACACACACTAGCTTCTGCTGGGATCTCTAGAAGGAAGGACATGGAATAACTTAAAAGATTTGCAAGTCCCATAAATAGGGGGGATTCCAAGCACATGGACCAATGGTGAATACCGATGTCTGAGTGAGCCATATCTGGAAGTTACTTTGCTGCAATCCAGAAAAAATGCTATGTCACCAAGTCTGACCAGTTGAAGCAATTCGACTCAGATGCTCTCAAAGCTATATTCAAACCATCCAACCCGAGCCAAAAAAAGAAGAGTATAAATCCATAATGAAGCTATGGTGTTGAATAGTCGGGATTATAACTGGAACCAAAGACTGGCACGGAAGGCAGTCTTCAAGTCTGGACACTCTTCAATGCCCAAGGAGCCAAGTTGGATTTTTTCGCCATACATAAGACGGGCCCCAAGTCCGTGCAGCGCAAACTGTGTGCCGTTGTGGCTGCATGTCCAAAGAAAATGGAAGCCTTCTCAAGTTCTGTTCAAAATGAATGTTAATGTCTCATCCATATCAGGAAATGGCAGCAAGCTTCCAGAAAGCATCAACGTGTATTTATAAAGACTTGTTGGGAAGGATAATTGCTTATTAACTGTCTTCCGTTTCAACAGGGGTAACTTAATTCCCATTTACCACCCAACAACTCTTAAGAAAAAAAGCTAGTATTTCTGTGCAGTTTAACATCTGGCAACTCACAGGGTCTGCAATAACTGTAAAAATTCCATTGTCCAAATGATATTGTCCTTGCCTGTCCTTAAAACTAGCATTTTCCCCACTAAATTGTGAAGAAATTTGCAGAAAACTCTGGCAACTTATTTTTTAAATTGTGAGAAAACCTGAACCACCCTTGATTTATCTGCACCCTTAAAATGTGTGGCTTTGAGTTTTTTATGCCCAAAGATATGGAAACCATTTCATCTGAAATTTGCTTCAAGGGAGAATTATACCAGTAAGTCTTCAACCAGGTGGGGCCTCTACCAAATTGCATATAGTGACAAAATAATAATGGAGGGAAGTATGCCTTCATATGAAACACAAGACCACCAGACAAGGCATACAGGGCATGTAAGGATTAACTCCCCAACAGCTTGGAAATGAAAACTGGGCTATGTACATAGAGATCTGATTTTACGCGCTACAATAGGGCTTGGGAAGGCACATGGGACACCTGTATCCTTTTTAAAACCCCGTATGTGTTATCCTCAGACTTCCAATGACAGCTAGCAAGGAAACACAGCTGACTTTAAAGTTCTTATTCCCAAAAGTTATGTTCTATTTTCCATCTTTAAATATGAACAGCAAAACTGCTGCATATGTATAATATGTCATCATATGCTCACACGTGGTGTGAAAACAACATGTGAAGCTATAGTGAAATAAGGCAGCAAGCCTGTAACAGGATCTGGTTTTAGGAATTAGGAAGCAACCCCCACCTTTTAACGAATTGAATGCCACTTTTGCGAACCATACTTCAGTTACCATACTTCCCCATTAGTCTCTAAAAGAAAGCGCAGTGGGATGTTGGAGGTCCACCCCTCAAATAGAGACAAACCCAAGTTAGAGATTATCCAGCAGTTGCAGAAGGCAGGAAGGCAACACAAACCACTAAGAAACTGAAGGTAAATTAACCTCAAGCCTATCTGCAGTGAAACCATGCCCAGAGTTTGCAAAAGAATGCTTGCTGCACTCCTTCAAACGTCATAAATGAGTGTTGATAATGTGTGGGTCTGTGTATTTTTGATGGACTTCACCAAAGGTTGAGCCTTCCTCATAACTCCATTGTACCCAGGCCGTAGAATAATTTAACACTTGGAAACAGATTCTGCACTACACCCGGTAAATAAAAAGACAAATACATATTTCATACATTTTATTTACATTTTAGGAATACCAGTCACACATTTCAAAGTCATTTATTTAAAAATGTAATAAAAACCACTCTGGTTTACACTAAATAGAAACTGTCCCCAGACAACACTTTCCTTCAAAAGTGGTTTTCAGAGAACTCAAATCTCTTGTTTCATCCTGGCCACTAATGACAGCTAGGCAAATCTAATTAGAAGCACAGGTTGTAGATATCTTTAAATACACTTAAGGGGTATGTAACCACCCTCACCCCACTCTAAGATAACAGTACTGGAATTGATAGTGTGTTACCTAGTTCCAGTCATGAACAGAGAAACCGAAAACATTAAGAATAAGTATGGGAAAGTGTCTGGAGAATACGATGTAGTTAACCAACCTACATTTTAAACAGCCTTCCCTATTAGACCTTTAAATTTTACTTTACTTTTAAATCATCTTAAACCCCTGATTAAATTAGCAATTAAAAAGCCCAGTAACCTAGAAGAAGCCAAGGGAGGTGGGAGGGAGAGGAAGATGAGCAATAACTGAGATTAACTGGAATAGGGATGTTACTCTATCACTATTTAAAATGAGGTTTGAAAGGGGCCCCCCAGGGAAAAGGTGTTATAAATCCTAAACCACATGTAGCCAGCTGACTTCTATCAGAAAATGACTGGATTGGGAGTCTACTCTTTCTTTTTGTATAATATGCCTCACTGGCGCCATGTTGGGATTGTACAGGCAGCTGCGGTTCCTTCAGACAGGGTGGAACACTTGTTTCCCTGCCTTAATGAATGGGCTGCTCTAACAAGGAGTGGATCATACACACAGGCACATGCATCCTTCTAATTTGGCACACCTCTATTACTCAGAGCAATTCAGGAGCACCCCAACATCATCTATTTCAAAAGAATAAAATAAAGGGGGCTTATGTGATATAAAGGAATCCTTGATTGTAAAGCCTTATCTCCTTTAGCCTGATTACTGCTAAACGATTAAGAAAAATGACAAAATATTGTGGTGCAGCTAACTTGAACTAAGGTTGAAACATGTTACTTGTGGAGGCACAAACTGCAGGGCAAAGCACGGCTATCGCTGCACAGTCACTGCCAGGCCGCCATGTTGTGAAACCCAACAAACATTTCCTGAACTGCTTGAGGGGGATAGGGAAGGGAATCAGGCCTTACATTCAAATTTGTGGTGCTCTTCCAGATTTCCTTGCACTCTCTGCTACTGCCAATAAACAGCTGGCACTCCCACACACACACACACCTGACTTCCCTCTACCAGGCTGTTTCATTTCCCCATATTCCGAAGAAGGCTTTACCTTATGCTTCACTGTCTTTTCACATCCCTACCCCCCCATTTATCAATATTCCTCTTTACGTTCAGCTAATATTTCCTTCTGTTTCAATCCAGCTCCACCTAGATCTTTTCCTACCTTTCTAATGCTGCCTTCCTCAAAACCCATGCCCTATCTTTCTTCCCAAAGCTGGGAGGGATTCCCTTTGCCACAATTTCAAAATGCCCAGACTGTCCACTATCTGATCCTAATCCCAAAGCCACCTTCATGTTACCCCCAAGCACTTCCTTGCAGCTCCCCCAATCCGACTAGATCAAGAGCTCTCCCCACCATAACCCACCCCCCAGGATCTACGGCTGACACGTTCACCTGCCTTTAGCCTATACTAGAGTGGGTTTTCCCCTCCCCACTCCGACTTCTAGAATAAAGCTTTTACTATTGGCTTTATTTGCAAAAAATTTAGAGCCAATTTTTTATTTACTGCAGCCTCTTTTCGAGGGAGGTACTTGGGCTAAAGAAAACACCACGGGATCGTCATATGCTCTTAAAATGCGCGTGAGTAAATAAACTCGCCCTCCCGCAGAAAACAAAAAAACAACCACCCTTCCTCTGACCTTTCCTTCTCTAAGGTATAATAAATACTACTAAGGTTGGCTGTACCCCCCCAACAGCCATAGGCCGTTGACTTCCTTCCCCTCCCGCAACATACCCAACCACCCCTCCCCCCACTGCTTTTCCTTCCTAGGCCTGATCCCTAGTATGCCTTCCCCTTCCCATTTTCGCCACTAACCCCGGGGGGGGGGGGGAAATCCCTGAACTCTATCCTCTCATACACACGACACACACACACACACGAGGTCTAGAAAAATAATATGGCGGTGTGTTTGTTTGCGGGGTGGGGGTGGGGTTGGGTTTTTTGCTGAGATCTGGCCCTAGAGCTATGGCAGGAGCCTTGGGTGGGTAGGTTAAGTAGCTAGGTAGGTAGGTAGAGGGGGTGGGGGTAGGTAGAGAGAGCGTATTCGGCGTAGAGTGTATAAAAACCTTGGCGACTTGCGCCTCGATCAGCGAGACGATGTCCTTGGCGTGTTGCACGTTCTCCTCGGCCAGGATGGTCAGCATGTTGATGTGCGGCTTGCTGTTGAAGGTCAGGTCCTCGAGCGAAGACTGGTAGTCGCGGCAGGCGTCTTCCCCGCTGCTGCCGCCGCCGCCGCCGCCGCCCACGGGCCCCTCCGAGGCCGCGCTGGAGCTGCTGCTGGAGCTGCTGCTACTGGAGCCGCCGCCGCCCGACATTATTCTCTCGTCCCCCACACGCCAGAGGCCGCGCGGGGGGAACGGGCGAGCCCCTCCGGAGAAGAGAAAAAGGAAGGGGGGGACACAGGCCGACCCCCTCACTCTCTCTTTGCTTTTTCTCCCCCCCTCACACACACACTAAGCGCCTCTCTCCCGCCCCTGCGGCTGTCGATGTCGCCGGTGCCCGCTGCTACTCCCTTGCCGGCCTCTTCTGGCTCATCCTCCGCGCCGCCGCGTCCTCGTCAAGCAGGAAGCTTCGCAGGCCGCCGCCGTTTTCCTCCGCCAAGCCGCTTTTCCTCCGTCTATTTCTCTCTCAGCCCACCCGCTTCGCCTCACAAACGCACGCACAAAATGGCGGCGGCTCCCGCGGCTCGCGAACGCCTTCTTCCTCCGGCTCCAACCGTTGCGTCATGCGAAAAACTGCGCCGGAGGGGGGCGGGGGCGGGCAAAAGCGCCGGGAAGCGTCTTTTGTTCGCTGGCCGAGCCGCCATTGGCCGCCGCTGCCTCCCGAGCCTGATCCTGATTGGAGCAGGAGGGACTCTCCCTTCTGATTGGGCCCCGCCTCCCTCGGCTCGCCGCTTGATTGAGCGGCGTCCAGGCGAGACGCGATTGGCCCGGCTCTCCACGCGCGCCGTGGATTCGCTGAGGGCGCAACGGTCCCGCCTCTCTTTATCTCTTTTGATGTCTGGTTGGGCCTTCCGAATAACAGCCCCCGCCTCCTCGTAGTAGTGTGACGTTGGGAATGGTTTGTTCTTCTCCGCCTGGATGTCGGCGGGTTCGCTCTACCCCTCCCGCTCGGCGTCCCTTAAACTTGTTTGGTCAAAGGCCGCGCAGGAGACCTCGTTTCCTATTGGTCCGTTCGGTTGCTCAACTGTTGCTATGGGAATGAAGGCCTTCTGGGGGTTTACCTAAAAGTCACAAGGCTACATTCCGCACTACCGTATAGAAAACACCACACTAGGGACCGTTACTGGCATTTGCTGAGGTTTTGTCAATGCTGCTTAATATTTTGGATGCCTTTTGCTGATAGCCAATGTAAATTCATTACACATACAAATGCAAAACCAGTGAATTAAAGTAATTCCAAATAGGCCCAAGTAGGCTTTCAATAAACTCCAAATTACAGTGGTACCTCGCAAGACGAAAACGCGCAAGACGAAAGAGTTTTTCGTTTTTTGAGTTGCTTCGCAAGACGAATTTCCCTATGGGCTTGCTTTGCAAGACGAAAAACGAAAACGTCTTGCAAGTTTGTTTCCTTTTTCTTAAAACCGTTAATACCCTATGGGAAACCGTGCTTCGCAAGACGAAAAATTTGCAAGACGAAAAAACTCGCAGAATGAATTAATTTCGTCTTGCGAGGCACCACTGTATTTCAAGGAACATTGATCTCTGAATTAGATTAACGCTGCCATCTTACTGTTGACATTCATACGTCCTGGTAATGTGATAACTCCCATGGATACACAAATACATTTCATTTTCCCCTAAGGACAAACGGTTTCGTCTCTGTGGCATGGCATGTGATGAAACCTCCAGGAATACGTCTAGCTAGGCAGACCAATCTTTATTTAAAATTCAACCGAAACAAACTAATGACCTTTCCCAGACAAGATGAAAACCCACACGGGACCCATCTTGAAGTTGTGTGGGGAAAAACAGGGTCATTTCTGTTGTCTGGTTAAAGGTGGATGTGCTCCACTTTTTTCAATGACATGCACTCACAGTCCTTAACCATTTATATAATATTTATTTTATAATGTATAATTTACAAAGTGCTTTTTTTAAATAGGCAAGCAGTTTCACAATCCATATTTACAATCCGTCTTTATCATTCTTCCCCACTCCCTCAGCAGTTGGGCCACCTTTGTTTTTATAATGTGTCTGTTTGGTGGAGGGCGTGACCTGAAATCCCTCAGGCATTGAAAGTGTGCTTTGTTTGTTTTTAGGGGTGGTCATATCCAGAACTGCCTCCAAATGTGTAAAAGATCTTGTGCATATGTTGTGTTATAATAATTCTAAGGTCTCAAATATATAATAAATATTCATAAATGCACATGTATCTAAATACAGCGGTACCTCGGGTTACATACACTTCAGGTTACAGACGCTTCAGGTTACAGACTCCGCTAATCCAGAAATAGTACCTCGGGTTAAGAACTTTGCTTCAGGATGAGAACAGAAATTGTGCTCTGGTGGTGCTGCGGCAGCGGCATTAGCTAAAGTGGTGCTTCAGGTTAAGAACAGTTTCAGGTTAAGAACAGATTAAGTACTTAACCCGAGGTACCACTGTACTAACCTTACTGTAGTTGTATTACTAACCTTGCTTTTCACTGGATCCTGCCTCCATCCATTTTCTCTGACCGATCATGGACATAGGGGACTTGGAGTCCCATAGGGAGTTGAGGAGTGAAAGCCAAACCCCAATTTTTACATCAGTTGGTATGTGTGAAGGGCAAACATCTGGCTGGTGGATGGGAGGAACTTCTTTCAGTGCACAAGGGTGGTTAGTGAGAAGAACCATGACAATGTGACTGGAGAGGTAGAATATATATATATATATATATATATATATATATATATATAGTTGATTTTTATTCTATGTATTTTCCTTCTGCTCTTCTTCCCAGAGTGACTCACAAAACTGGAAGATCAAAAACAAGCAAAACGACAGCAATATAATAGTTAAGAAGCAGCAGAACAGTAAACTCAGATACTAAAACGTGAGTCAAGTGCAAAGCGTTTTATTAAAACTGAATGAAGTGAGCACCGCACAAGCCTCTGTCAGGAGGCATTTCACAAAGGGTCACCACTGATAAGACCCTAACTTGGTTCACCACCCACCTTGCCTCCAAACTGGCCTTAATGTGGTTGTTTATTATATCCAATGTATTTATTCTAGCTGCAGTTTCTTCTCTAACCCACTCCCTTTGTAAATAACCCTGGCCACCATTTTTAAAAGGGGCAGAAAACCTACACCAGACACTACCAGCATTTTATTTATTTAGAAGAATTTATAAACCACTTAAATGTAATTCCTAAGAGGTGTACATAAAGCGATTTGAAACAATGGTCCGTATTCAAAAAATTGGGGAGGGGACACATGTACAGTATATACAACTTGTTGGGAGGCTTAAAAAAAATCATTTTAGCAGGTAGCAGAAACAGCACAATTAACTAATGTCAATAATCTGGGAATTTCAGAACACAGGAACTATGATGCGTGCAAGAGTGCAAGTTCCACACCTTGAAGGAGTTGAGCAAGGTGATCCCTCAGGTAAATTGGTCCCAAGCTACTTAAAGCAACACCTTGAACTTGGGCAGGTAGGAAGTCAGGAGTCAGTGCAGATCATTCAGCAAAGGTGTAACATGCTGGCAGCATCTCACTCCTGTCCTGTCAGCAATCATGATGCACTGACTACACCTTCTGGAGGAACCACAAGAGAAATCCCACACAGAACATATTGCAACAATCCAATCTGGAAGTTACCAACGCCCAAACGAACAGATTTAGGAGGCACACAGGGAGAGGAGGAGAAGGGGAAGTGGCAGTGTGAAGCCACAAATCACCACACTTGCGGAAACTGCTCTGAAAAGAATGGCATGTCACTTGGAGACTCTCTATGGGGCAAGTGGCTAATACGTTGAATATTATCAGTATCGCTGACAAAGCCTAATCCAGGAGCACTCTCAGACTGGGATCTTGCTCTTTCAGAAAGTGTGTAACCCCATGCAGATCAGGCAACGGGCCAACCAGCCTGGCGATTGAATCTGACTTTTAACATTGGCGACATGACAGTACAGTGGTACCTCTGGTTAAGAACTTAATTCGTTCCGGAGGTCCATTCTTAACCTGAAACTGTTCTTAACCTGAGGTACCTCTTTAGCTAATGGGGCCTTCCGCTGCCGCCACGCAATTTCTGTTCTCATCCTGAAGCAAAGTTCTTAACCCGAGGTACTATTTCTGGGTTAGCGGAGTCTGTAACCTGAAGAGTCTGTAACCTGAAGCGTCTGTAACCCGAGGTACCACTGTATCGTCTCCTCTGGGCGTGAGGGCATCAGGCTTGTTTGGGGCATGAGACAGGCTGTTTGGCATTCGACAACGGCGGCAAGAGTCTTAATAGCACAAGGATGGAAGAATGAGGAAATCCCAACCAAAGAACTGTGGCAAGAAAAACTGATGAACTATGCGGAATTGGCGGAATTGACACACAAACTACGTGATAAGGACAACTGTGACTTTAAAGAAGAATGGGAACCTTTTGCAAAGTACTTAAAGAAACAACAAAATGAACTGGATTCCTTGGCAGGTTTTGAATAAACATACACAAACTTTTTATTGGTAATATATTGATAGATTAATTAAGGATCTTTACATTTTTATAATATGCAGAGAATAACATGTGCTGAGAAACCAGAGAGAAGATCTGAGGGAAGTCTGGGGGGAAGGGAGGGTGGATCTTTCTTTGCTGAGACACTGCAGAGCAGTGAACTTGGACGTTTGCAGGAGAATGAAGAGGGGGCTCATGGCCCCAAGAGTACCTCTACCTGCAAGCATCACCTCTTCCAGGATATGAGCAAGACCCACATTATGGGTTGGCATCACTTGGCACCTTCAGAGGCCCATGCCTCAGCAAGGAGTCTACTGTGAACCCCAGGTACCCCCTTGTTCTGCTGCTGTTTCTTCTTGCTGTCAGCGCCTATTCACCTTCCCCAAGAAACAGGAACCAAAAGGGGAACTGCTCTCTCCTTCTGGGAGGCTGAATGGATTGGGCACAGAGGAAGAGGCAAAGCAAGGTGGACAGTGGGAATAGTGTAGGATGATGTGGGCCTCTCAGGGTGCATAGATAGATGGGAAGCTCACTTAAGGTCACTTGTTCAAGGACTCTCCCTGCGTGCTCCCCCCCCCCCCCCGCCGCCCCAAAAAATAATTCCTGGAGCATTCACTCAAAGCTATTTGTAACACAGTTCGAAAACCATCATCTCAATGCAAAGGTGGGGAACTTCAGGCCAAGGGGTCAAAATTCACCCTCCAGGCATGTTCCATATGGCTTTCAGGACACTCCCAAAGGCCACACCCCTTATCTTTCACACAATCCATTAGTGGTTTTGCCTAGATAAGGTGCTGATGACATTATCCCTCTCAAATTACATCCACATTGGTGACCATCACAGCCTCCCAAAGTTTAACTATGTGCTCATGACCCACAAGTACCTCAGTCCCACTCCACAATATGTGGGCAGGTATTCATCAGCTGTCTAAACCAGTGGTCAGCAAACTTTTTCAGCTGGGGGCCGGTCCACTGTCCCTCAGACCTTGTGGGAGGCTGGACTATATTTTGGGGAGGAAAATGAACGAATTCCTATGCCCCACAAATAACCCAGAGATGCATTTTAAATAAAAGCACACATTCTGCTCATGTAAAAACACGCTGATTCCCGGACCGTCCACGGGCCAGATTTAGAAGGCAATTAGGCTGGGTCCAGCCTCCGGGCTTTAGTTTGCCTACCCATGGTCTAAACCACTGAGCCTAGGGCTTGCTGATCGGAAGGTCGGTGATTCGAATCCCCACGGCAGGGTGAGCTCCCGTTGCTTGGTCCCATCTCCTGTCAACCTAGCAGTTCGAAAGCACGTCAAAGTGCAAGTACCGTATTTTTTGCTCTATAAGACTCACTTTTTCCCTCCTAAAAAGTAAGGGGAAATGTGTGTGCGTCTTATGGAGCGAATGCAGGCTGCACAGCTATCCCAGAAGCCAGAAAAGCAAGAGGGATTGCTGCTTTCACTGCGTAGCGATCCCTCTTGCTGTTCTGGCTTCTGAGATTCAGAATATTTTTTTTCTGGTTTTCCTCCTCCAAAAACTAGGTGCGTCTTGTGCTCTGGTGCGTCTTATAGAACGAAAAATATGGTAGTTAAATAGGTACTGCTCCAGTGGGAAGGTTTCCATGTGCTGCTCTGGTTCACCAGAAGCGGCTTAGACATGCTGGCCACATGACCCAGAAAAACTGTCTGCAGACAAACGTCGGCTCCCTTGGCCTGTAAAACGAGATGAGAGCTGCAACCCCAGAGACGTCTGTGACTGGACTTAACTGTCAGGGGTCCTTTACCTTTTATTCATCAGCTCTCTCTTTCGTCCAGGGCTATTCATCCTGGCTTTTGCCTTAGCCGTGAGTCTTTGGGCAACCTTTTATCCCTAAGCGAGATTCTAGATTGTTATGGAAAACCTATAAATCCAGTCACTCCAGATTCCCTGATATCACTCATGCTTTCAGCAGGGATCTGGCCATAAATAATTCACTGGTTCTGCAGTCCTGTGATCTTTGCTCTGAGATTAAAGGGTTGAAGGAAAGCAAGAGTGATTAGATTAGCTGCCATCCCTACAATATTGAACAAAAGGTGACACACTGTGTTGTAATGTCTGTTTTTTAAGGTTAGTGCTATTGAAATTGGTTTGTTTTTTTTCTGCTGAGGATATTCTTTCGAGAGAGACTGCAATGCAACCCCCCTATCAGGTCCTCTTTCATTATGTTAGCCACATTTCCTGCTCAGGTGCATGTGTTTATTTAAAAATGCACAGTGCGTGTGTGTTCTATAGCTGCCTTCCTCACCCTTGTACCCTCCAGATATTTGGGGCTTCAACTCCTCCAACCCAGGAGTTTAGACAGCTGCAGTCTAAAACATCTGGATGGCACCAGGCTGCAGCAGGAGACTTTTGGAACCTGAGCCATTTGGAGCTCTTACTCTTTTATTTCATTTTAAATCAGATATGAGCTGCCTGTACAATTCTACATAAAAATATTTCTGAACTGAAATGTTTGGGGTATTTTTATTTTTTACAAACACCAGCCCTTTTAGCACCCGTTGTTTGGGTGCATGTGTGAATCGCTGCAATGCAGCCTTGAAAAGCAGGAATCCAGCGTTCTAATTCAACTGACATTCTCGCTTTCAGCCCTCAGGCTCTTTGTGTCTTGTCTCTAAACAGACACACACTTCTTGCAGTGTGTGGCTGGTATGCTCCATCTGCCGTGATGCTCACAAAGCCATTTACTTTCCAGAAAAGCTAGGTTAGTGCCAACTCTGGGCTCGAGAGGGTCCTTGGCAAAATGCCCTCCCTCTGAGCCCTCTCCTGTCTTGGTGAGTCTCTGCAGCTCCCACAATGCCCTGGAGGAATGCTATGCTAGGGCATTGTGGGAAATTTAAATGATGGCTCCCAACCTTCCTTTGTTTAAAGTGGGGAGGGGACAGAGCAAGTGTGAGGGATGGGTCCTGCCAGGGCACTGGGGCCCCAGGAGTAGTCCAGGGATGTTGCATGTTGTGTACTGGATAGAACGTTGGACCTGGGAGACCAGGGTTCAAATCCCCGCTCAGCACCAGATGCCCTTGGGCCAGTCACTGATTCTCCACCTAACCTACCTCACAGGGTTGTTGTGATGATAAAATGGGAGGGAGGGGGAGATGTGAACACCTTGAGCTCCTTAGAGAAAAGACGGGATATGCATATAATAACAAAGAAATCTGCCTGCCTGCCTTCTGTGACCTTCCCAGACATCCTGCCAATTCTTCCACTGCCATTCTTTGCAAATTCTGGACCCGTTCCGCTGCGTCTTATAACAGAGCTTGTCGCCGTCAGCCAGCTGCCAAAGGCCACAACCTGCAAGAACCTGCTGGTCCTGTTCCTTCTGTTCCTCCCTGCTCACCTGCCCTCTTGCACAGGGCCGGCTCAGGGTATTTTGCCACCTGAGGTAAAGGACAAGATGGCACCTCCCTCATTCCATGCACAGAAGCCACTCATGATGGCAGTTGTACCTTACCTCATCTCTCTCTGCGTCACCTACCCATCCGGCAGCACCTGTTGCCTCAGGCAGTTCCCTCGCTCTGCCTAATGCAGGCATGGGGAACTTCAGGACCAGGGGTCAAAGGTGGCTCTCGAGGCCTTTCTGGCTGGCCCTTGGGACTCTCCTCAGGCCACACCCCCTCTCCCCAGCTCTGCTTTGCACCCTCCTGGAGTGTTTTTGTGTAGCTGGAATGCACCCTTCAATTTCCTGCTTCCCTGGATAGATGATACACAACTATGCAAATCTATGATCTACATCCATTGCTCTTAGGGACATAGGAAGCTGCCTCATATCAATACAGACCATTGGTCCATCTAGTTCAGTGCTGCCTACTCTGACTGGCAGTACCTCTCCAGGATTTCAGGCAGAAATCTCTCCCAGCCTACCTGGAGATGCTAGGGATTGAACATGGGACCTTCCACTTGCAAGGGAGACGTTCTGCCATTGAGCTCAGACCCTCCAAGTGCCCCTATTTTCCAGGGACGTCCCTGATTTAGAGAAGCCAGCCTGGTTTCTGATTTGATCCTGGAATGTCCCACTTTTCCTTAAGATGTCCCTATTTTCACTGAAGAAATGTTGGAGGGCATGGAGTTATCCGACCCCCAAGCCAACACCGGGCCTGAGAGATCTGCATTGGCTCCCAGTACGTTTCTGAGCACAATTCAAAGTGTTGGTGCTGACCTTGAAAGCCCTCAACGGCCTCGGTCCTGTATACCTGTAGGAATGTCTCCACCCCCATCGTTCAGCCTGGACACTGAGGTCCAGATCCGAGGGGCTTTTGGCGGTTCCCTCCCTGCGAGAAGTGAGGTTACAGGGAACCAGACAGAGGGCCTTCTCGGTAGTGGCGCCCACCCTGTGGAACACCCTCCCTTCAGATGTGAAGGAAATAAGCAGCTATCTTCTCTTTAAAAGACATCTGAAGGCAGCCCTGTTTAGGGAAGTTTTTAATATTTAATGCTGTGTTGTTTTTAACACTCAATTGGGAGCCGTCCAGAGTGGCTGGGGAAACTCAGCCAGATGGGTGGGGTATTATTAATAATAATAATAATCTGAAGGCAATCCTGTATAGGGAAAGTTTTTTTATGTTTAATGTTTTTTTATGTTTTTATATACAGTTGTACCTTGGAAGCTGAACGGAATCTGTTCTGCAAGTCCGTTCATCTTCCAAAGCATTCGATAACCAAGGCACAGCTTCCGACTGGCTGCAGGAGCTTCCTGCACACAATCGGAAGCCGTGTCGGAAATTCGGCTTCCAAAGAACGTCTGCAAACCAGAACACTCACTTCCAGGTTTGCGGTGCTTGGGAGCCAAAACATTCAATTCGCAAGGTGTTTGGTTTCCAAGGTAGGACTGTATGTTGAAAGCTGCCCAGAGTGGCTGGGGCAACCCAGTAAGATGTGTGGGGTATTAAATAGTCAAATTATCATTATGGAATGGGACATCCCTATTTTCATCGGAGAAATGTTTGAGGGTATGTGAGCAGTGGCTCTTCCCAATTTTCCTTCTGGCCCTACCCTCCACTGGCAGAATGCTGGCTAGATGGGAGTGCCTGCCTCAGGCACAAAATTTTTTCCCCAGCCCTGACTTATTGCCAGAGCCAGCCCTATCTTTCCAAGTATGTGAGCGGTAACAAGAGCAAGGAGGAGGAACAGGAACAACCTCCTCTGTGCTGTGGTGAGGACTGGGCGCATGATCTGGACCCACTCAAAGAGGGCATATTTTCCCCCACAAACCTGGAACCTACATGGTGACCCAACTGCCCACACCCTAGAACTTAAAACAGAAAGACTGTTGAGTGCCTCCTAAGAGATACTTCTAAACAGGTTCTGCCTGTCAGCCAGGAGGACCAAGAAGTTCAAACACAGCTTGACTCTCCCACGTTGCTCAATTTATGCTCAGCGACTGAGCTGTAACACACTCTGCTGACGTAAGGAATCACTTTTTCCTTCTGGACTTGCTATGGGCTCTAACCAATGTTAGTCCTGCTCAGCATAGAACGATTGAATAAATAGACCTGACTTAGGTCCATTGATTTCAATGCACCTACTCGAGAGTAGCCTAGTTGGATACAACCCTGAATTTTTAAACAAAATGTACATATCATTGTTTTATACCAAATATAAAGAATGACGGCCCATTATCAAAAATTGGGTGTGGGGGAGGAACTATCTTCATTTCTTACACTCTAAAATGTGAAGTGGGGTTGGGACCACCATAGACTGGGTGTGTGTGTGTGGCAGCAATCTTTTACGGGGAATCTGATGTGCATAAACTTAAGTCCATTCAGTGACGTCCGACTTAGACTCAGAAGACCCCTTGAAATCAATGTAACTAAAGACAATTGAATTCAATTATCTGCTCTGAATATTACTAACGTTGGATTCCACCAATTTCAGTGGGTCTTCCTTGAGCATGACTTTACTGGACACAATCCTCATTCCACATTTGTAAGAAATCACTTTCTTAGTGTGGCAGCACCTACACATTGAGCTCCCTGTCTATTGACAGCAGGCAGGCGGTTTCACTGTACTCTTTTCATCAACTGCTAAAACACTTTTGCTAAGACTAGCTTACACAAATATGTAGAACTTTGACACGTATTTCCATCGATTTTTTTGCTTATTGTTGATTTCAGTCATGTCTGAATGCTTCAAAGAGCGGTTTATAATTGCTTTTACTGATCATTTTATTGTTTTCATAAAACACATTGGCGTGTGTTTTTTTTTTTTTACAATCAAGCGGTATACAAATTTTATGAAATAAAAACACAATCTTTTTTTTTTTTTTTACTGTTATGATGTGGCACAGTTTTTGCAAACCTTTTTGAATTCACTTGGTGGGTAAAAGCAAGTGATATTGAAAGGAGGAAAGAAATGTGAATTGCACTCTTAATCCCCCCCTTCCAAGTTTCTTTCTTTCTTTCCTTCTTTTTAAAGGATTTGGAAGGGTTAGATCACTGGATGCACTAGTCAAAAAATATGCAAAGCCTTTGCTCGTTTTCTCACACACAAACGTTATGTAGTAGCCAAAGCAAAACATTGCTTGTAATTACATTATCTCCTGATGCCATCATCAAATTGCTGAAAAGTCGCCTTTTGTCTCTGATGTACTCATTCATCTAATCATGAGAGCCTGCTCTACCTCTGGCTCGCCTGTCTGAACAAGAAATGTGCAAAAGTTTATTAAACGTATTGCACAAATGGTTCCATAAAGCAACATGCCATAGAACAAGCACCTTGAAAACACCTTTTTTTGAACCAGAAGAATGTACACACATGGCTAGCATCCAAAACAGTTCAAAGGAAATGAAATGGTGTCGATTTCTGTACGTCAGTTTAAAAAGTAGTGACTGCAGGCTGCATGGCATTAGAAATCTGGGACTCTGCTTTGGATTTGTGTAGGATTTACTACTTAGCCTTTTCTTGAGTCTCCGTCAGGGAAAATGGTGGAGTACAGATATGTGATAATAAAGCTTCATGGGACAAACTATATTATTTACAGCGGGGTGTGGGTGTGTGAGAGAAGGCTATTGAAGACCACACTTTGTGCAACTGACAATCTTATGCCACAATACATTTATAAAGTTACAGGTCCTTCATAGTTATAGGTAGGTAGCCGTGTTAGCCTGCAGTAGTCGAAGCAAAATAAATAAAATCCTTCCAGTAGCACCTTAGAGACCAAGTAAGTTTGTTATTAGTATGAGCTTTCGTGTTTCTGAAGAAGTGTGCATGCACACGAAAGCTCACACCAATACAGTGGTACCTCGGGTTAAGTACTTAAATTATTTCGGAGGTCCGTACTTAACCTGAAACTGTTCTTAACCTGAAGCACCACTTTAGCTAATTAGGCCTCCTGCTGCCGCCAGAGCACAATTTCTGTTCTCATCCTGAAGCAAAGTTCTTAACCTGAAGCACTATTTCTAGGTTAGCGGAGTCTGTAACCTGAAGCGTATGTAACCTGAAGCGTATGTAACCCGAGGTACCACTGTAACAAACTTAGTTGGCCTCTAAAGTGCTACTGGAAGGAATTTTTTTATTAGGTCCTTCATAGTTCTCTAGTTCTGACTTGATCCATGGCTCCGCTCTCCTATGACTCTTCGCAGTCAGATCTTTGTGCGGAAAAATATCAAACCCTGCTATCCATAAGCGAACTCTCAGGAATTCTTACATCTGCATAGTGCTGCTGGGGAAACTCCATTCCATGGGGCATCCCGCCACACCACACAAAGAGAACGCCCTAAATCTCCAAGAGCTGTCATTGTTGGCCAAGCTTGAAACGAGTTCTGAACTATATAGGCAATTAAAATGCCCAGGCCCAGGAGAAGAGAAAAGAAGCCCAAGGGAGCATTGTGCAGGGAGCATTGTCTTTCAGGGAACAGAGAGTGCAAGATTCCAAGTCACTGGGCACCACCAAACAGATCTGTGATCAATTGGTTGTGGGTGCTCTGTGCTCCCAGACACTGCAACAATTGTTCTGCTTTTTGCATTTCCTTCTACAAATGTGGCATGCAGTTCTGTACTTCTATTTTGATTCAGGGAAACAAGTCACTGTGGTTTGGTTGCAGGGTTTTGTTTCTCTTGCAAAGGCAGCCCTGAATCGGGAAGTTTGTAATGTTTGACGTTTTATTATGTTTTCTCTGTTTTGCTGGAAGCCACCCAGAGCGGCTGGGGAAACCCAGCCAGATGGGTGGGGTATAAATAAAATAAAATATAGTAAAAGTGCAGAGACATCACCTTGCCAACAAAGGTCCGTATAGTTAAAGCTATGGTTTCCCCAGTAGTGATGTATGGAATGAGAGATGGATCATAAAGAAGGCTGATCGCTGAAGAATTGATACTTTTGAATTATGGTGCTGGAGGAGACTCTTGAGAGTCCCATGGACTGCAAGAAGATCAAACCGATCCATTCTGAAGGAAATCAGCCCTGAGTGCTCACTGGAAGGACAGATCCTGAAGCTGAGGCTCCAATACTTTGGCCACCTCATGAGAAGAGAAGACTCCCTTGAAAAGATCCTGATGTTGGGAAAGATGGAGGGCACAAGGAGAAGGGGATGACAGAGGACAAGATGGTTGGACAGTGTTCTCGAAGCTACCAGCATGAGTTTGCACAAACTACGGAAGGCAGTGGAAGACAGAAGTGCCTGGCGTGTTCTGGTCCATGAGGTCACGAAGAGTTGGACATGACTAAACAACAAAACAACAAAAACAGTAACACTATGGTGTGTCGTTGTTGTTTAGCCGTGTCCGACTCTTCGTGACCCGACTAAACAACAACAACCGGCCATAGTATCACTCCTTGAATTAGGGCCAACCAAAATGTCATCCTACTGTGGCTTTTTCTTTTTTCGAGGGACCAGCTTCTTAAATTAGAAGCATTTACATAGCTGACTCAAGACATGTTGCTGAGATGAAGAACCAGATGTCTACACAATGCCTCCACCCCCATGCAAAATCCCGAAAAACCTGACTGTTGCCTCTAAGGCCACATATGTACCACACATTTAAAATGCTCTCGTTATCAGTCATGGTTTAACAACCCACCGTTCCTCCCAAGGAACTCTGGGAATTGTAGCTCTGTGAGGGAAATTGGTGCCTCCTAACAACTCTCAGCAGGGATGCGGGTGGCGCTGTGGGTTAAACCACAGAGCCTAGGACTTGCCGATCAGAAGGTTGGCAGTTCAAATCCCTGCAACGGAGTGAGCTCCTGTTGCTCAGTCCCAGCTCCTGCCAAACCTAGCAGTTCAAAAGCACATCAAAGTGCAAGTAGATAAATAGGGACAGCTCCGGCGGGAAGGTAAACGGAGCTGTCCCTATTTATCTACTTGCACTTTATCTACTTGCACGGAGTGAGCTCCTGTTGCTCAGTCCCAGCTCCTGCCAAACCTAGCAGTTCGAAAGCACGTCAAAGTGCAAATAGATAAATAGGGACAGCTCCGGCGGGAATGTAAACGGCGTTTCCGTGCGCTGCTCTGGTTCGCCAGAAGAGGCTTAGTCATGCTGGCCACATGCCCCGGAAGCTGTATGCCGGGTCCCTCAGCCAATAAAGCGAGAGGAGTGCTGCAACCCCAGAGTCGGCCACAACTGGACCTAACGGGCAGGGGTCCCTTTACCTAACAACTCTCAGCACCCTTAACTCCAGCTCCTAAGATTTTGAGGGGGAAGCCATGACTGTTAAAATGGTACAATAGTGCTTCAAATATATGGTGCACTGTCCAAACTTCAGCAGTAGTGATGGGACAACCTCTGCCACTGAGCTTGAGATCAGCAGGGAGATATTTTGCCTGAGAGAACCACCTCACTCAAACTATAGGACCAGCCCTAGTAAAAGCTGGCTATTCCTGAAATCTCTATTCGTTCTTTTCTCTTTTATTGAGAAGAGTCAAACTAGTGCAAAGGTTTTCAATGCGCAATCTGAATTTCAGAATAATGCCAATATTCCTATTATTCCGGGGGGCCACTTCTGTGTAACACACTTTCAAATCACAAGCAAACTTTTCAGCATAATCCTTTTGGGCTGGGTAATTAATCCCATCCGTGTTTCTCTCAGGAATTAGAAGCTTTGCAAAGAAGCAAGCCATCTAAGTGGTGAACCAGGTTCCATTTCTCACAGACGTAAGATCTTCTGGGAGTCTGCGTCTGGATTTTGAAAATTATTGTTTACCGAGTGGAGGGATGAGTCAGATTGGCTAATGGCCCTGGTGCGTATGTTCCTGAGTCAAGCCAGAGAGGGCATGAAGGGAACAAAATCTTGATAATGCAGACAGTCAAAATGTACCAATTTGGTATTCTGAACTGATCTGGTGAGAAGAAAGATGCAGAATATTAAAACTGAGGATTTTATCCACATTTCATCACCAGACCTGAAGCAAGATCTAAATGGATAAGCAGACAGGGATCATCGGGGGGGGGGGGAGATCCAGTATAACGAGGGCTATAATGGTAGAAGTGTAGAGTTAGAAGGGACCACAAGGGTCATCTAGTCCAACCTCTTGCAATGCTGGAATCATTTGCCCAACGTGGGGCTTGAACCCACAACCCTAAGATTTAAGAGTCCTATGCTCTACCAACTGAGCTATCCCAGCAGTCAAACTTCCAGGGTGACTAACTCTGTCTCAGCCTAATCTACCTCCCAAGGTTGTTGTAAGGTCAAAATGGGAAGAATGAGGTATGATTCATGAATTCCATGGGGGAAGGATGTCCTTAAGCAGGGATGGGCATCCAGGCACATATAACATTATTGTGTGGCAGTGATGACAGCAAAGAGGACCACCATTGCATCCCCCAATAGAGCTTTTCTGAGTGGTGCAAGGATCGCCAAAATCTGGCCCAAGTGGAGGTGCTGGAACCCTCAGAGGCCTGTTGGGACAGGTTTGCAAGGAACTTTGGGAGCAAGGTCGCTCATTTTCATTCTGAACTTGATGTTACTATCGGCAAGGATCCTATGGAGGTGTCCAGTGCACCACCTAGTCAGATTGCGTAGGATCAGTTTTAGTTATTGAAGTCTTAGGATGCCAATAAGGGTCTGGGAAGAATCCAACTGACCACGTCCATATTTGACTCTTGCTCTTTGTGGTTAACATCTACTTGGAGGGGACTGACTGGCTAGGCCCAGGGGGTAAGTAATTCATCATTGCAGGAGGGGCGTTAGCCACTGCCCTGCCTAGTTTTAGTACAGAAAAGGCCCATGTCACCATAATGAATGACTTCTGTTTGGGAGTGTGTCCCTGCCCGCTTTCCTTGATCTCTCAGCAGCATGTGATGCCATTGGGGCTGGCATCTTGCTGGATCAGGTTGTTGGGTTGGGAGCAGATGCACAGCGATATAGTGGTTCCACCCCTACTTGCTGGGCTGATCCAATTTAAGGATATTGACAAGCTGGAATGTGTGCAGAGGGCGAACAAGATGATCAAGGCCTGGAAACCAAGCCTTCTAAGGAACAGCTGAGGGAGTTGGGTATGTTTAGCCTAGATAACAGAAGATTGAGAGGCGACATGGTAGCCATCTTCAAATATCTAAAGGGCTGTCACATGGAAAATAGAACAAGCTTGTTTTCTACTGCTCTGGAGGGTAGGGCCAGAACCAATGGATTCAAATGATAAGAAAGGAGACCCAGAGCAAACATCAGGAAGAAATTTCTAACACTAAGAGCTGCTTGCAAGTAGAATGGGCTACCTTGGCAGGTGGTGGGCTTTCCTTCATTGCAGGCTATTATTTTATATCCCACCTTGAAGAAAAGTTCAATGTAATGTTCATGGTTCACCTCATTTAATGAGGTGAAGCAGAGATTAAGCAATTCGCCAAAGTTCACCCAGTGAGCTTCATGGCGAGTGGGGATTTGAACCCATATCTTCCAGGTGCTAGCCAAACACTTTTTACGTAGGCACATCCAGGCAAAAGGATTATTGTCATTGATCTTATTGGGCTAGATCCAAAGAAATGCACATGGGACAAGGCCAGCAGAACCAGATTTCCTTATTCCCTGCTCTCCAAGGGTTGAGGATCCTACTGAATGGGAATGTAGATAGCTGTCTTATAGAGTCAGAAAAGTAGCCCATCTAGCTCAATACTGTCTCCACCAGATGTAGGGAACCTTTGACCTTACAGAAGTTGCTGAGCTACAAGTCCCATCAAGCATGGCCAATGACCAGGGATGGTGACAGCTCTTAGTCAACAACATCTGGAGGCCCAAGGGTTCCTCACTTCCTGCTGCCCAGGGCCTCAGGAGCAGGAAAAGTGTTAACCCAAAACTTCTGGCTTTAGAGATTCAACAATACATTATTCACTGTTCGGCATGTCCTTGTGGTCATAAGGTCCAGCATCTTGCTAAAGAGCGAGCAAAGTTTCTCAGGAAACTTAGTTCTACATTCTGTGCTTTCAACATTCACAGGCCAGAATTTAACTTGATGGGAGCTGTGGTTTGGCAACATTTGTTTGGCACATGCCATATGTGATGGTGTAATCAGCAAACACACTTTGTTTTTTGTGGGGGGGGGGAGGCTGTGATAAAAGGTATCAGCTAATGCAACAGCCTGAGCTTTTGGATTTGCACAAATGCATCAAGCCAAGTGGAACTGTGCCTAGTATGTAGAATGTGCAAAGGATAAGATCAGAGATCCGGTTATGGCAAATGCTACGTTTCTTCTTCTGGGAGAGATGTAATCTCATTTGCAGCACCTCCCGGATGGTTTCCAGTTGGCACTGGAAGGAACATGATGATCTGATGCCATCAAGCAGGCAGCAAAGAAGATAGCATGAGTCACAGCAGGTGAGGGCATCGAGAGCAGAACTCAAGACAATAGGCAGAAACTACACTTTTCATATATAGAATAGGCTGGGATAAATGAGCTCATGCTATTTAGCTGGGGTACCACAGAGGCAAAGCTAGCAAGAGCAGAAAAAAACCCCATCTTTCAGTCCTTCATCTGCAGGAGGCAAGTGATAATACTGGCCTACTCTACAGTGTTGTTGTAAGGGACTGCAGGGACGCTGCATGTAGTTTACAGCACTTGGGACCCATGCTAGATAAATGCTGAATATTAAGTCCCAACCATCTCTCCTCCTATCTGCAGGAAAAGCTGGGGGCAAGGCAGAGAAAAGAGCCACACCCCACATCCTCTGCCAACCTGCAAGTTTTGGACCACAACTCCTATCAAGCCCATCCAGCTTTGCCATGCTGGAACAGGGATTATGGAAGTTGCTAGTCCAAAGCGCACAGAACATACAGAAGGATAAAGGGGACAAACACCTGCATTGCTTTTGCTTACCTGGGGACAGTTAACAGCCACTATATGACCAGCTGAGCTACTCAGGTTAGCTTTTGTTAGAAGTGAAGAGCCACCTTCCTCCACAATTTATCGCCAACTTTTAATCCTTGCTCCCAGCGATTTAGCATTTCTGTAATGACCTGTGGCCTCCAGATGTTGTTGGACTACAAATCCCACAATCCCTGCATGTTGGAGGGCCACACCCCCCACTTGATTTATAAGGGTGCTTTGATGTTCCAGTTCCCAATGCAGTTAACACTACCTGCACAGTTGGGTCTGCACAGAAGAGGCGCCATCATCTCTCCTCCACTGCTAGGGCACCTATATCTTGCCCCTTACGCAAGCAACATGCGTTTGCCTGACGAACGGGTGGTGACGTATTTGGAAGACTGGAGCCTTTAACAGCATTTGCCGACTTGTGACTAAGTGCACCAGCCTGCTCCTTTGCTCCAAAAACAACAGCCTGGGGTGTGTGACCGTTTTCCTGCCATGCACGCAGAAAAACGATCTTTCTGACACTGGTGCATTTTCGATTCACTGTGCCTGGCGTCTCTTTCTCCCCCTACTGGACGAAGAACGGTGCTGAACCTCAGCTCTGCACATGTCCTATTAATAAGGGCAGATCTAGGTTTCTGCTAAGCAGCTTACGATCCACTGAACAATTAATGAACTTTCCAAAGTGACAACCTCAGGCCTGCACTGGTGGCAGCTCTGAAAAGCAAGTCAGCCGATTTAGGTTTATCTTGACTTCCCAGTCCTGTTTTGCCATTTGCATTGCAAGAAGCGGTTCCTGGGCCTCCATCAAAGCACCGACTGACTCTGGCCTTTTAGGCTGAAAAGACAAAAGATTAGCATGAGTGTAGTTCTAGCAGCCTATGGAGAAAAGAGTTGGTTACACAGGCTTGTTGTAAGAGAAAAGAGCTCTCTTCCCAGCTGAGTCATGGTTTTCTAATTTCCTGTACAAGTTGTTAAAGCCTGTGTGAGTCACTTAAAAATGTATTAAGAAATGCTGTTTCAATTCGACACAGAAGCAAATGCATCTTAGCTGTACAGATAATTGGGTCACGTTTTCCTGATTAACGCTTTGCCTGCTCCCATCATGCGACGCAAAACGCCGTGACACACCCTTATTCAGTTTTCACCCATCCCAGTTTCCTCGGAAGGTTTTGTCTTTCAACAGCAAATGACCCTAAGGAAAGGGAACAGGAAGGCAAGATTTTTGCCTACGGAGAAACAAAATTATGAAACAGATGGTGCTCCTTTTGAATGGATGCGAGTGCAGCTCTTAAAACACAAAGCCCTGAAGGGAAACAGGCCCTAACCCCACCTCCGGGATATATTTACCTATATACATCTGGAATGTAAAAGGGACCCCAACTCGGTGCCAAAGCATCTGATATGCACACAGGAAGGCCCAGGACCACTGACAGCTTAAAAAGGATCAGGGGACTGGCAGAGAGATTTTTTTCCTTTGTCCGAGGCTCAGGAGAGCTGACAACACCGGTTTAACAAAATAGCACAATTTGCTGTTAAGGAGCACGCAGGTGTGAAATATTTCACACTGGAATGTTGTTAAGCCAGCAAATGCGGGTCACCATTGCATCTGTAGGAGTGCTGGGAGGATCCTTAGGCACGCAAGCTCTCTACAGGCAATTCCAGTTAAATGCTGTTCTCAACTTGCTTGTGATTACTGAACCTCCCTCACTCCATAAACACCAGAACCAAGGACCCCTTCTTGGTTGGATGGTGACATGTAGCACCTGTCCATTCATGGCCCAAGCCAAACGTACCTGACTACAGTATTACACAAACATTCAATGGCCCATTTAATTTTTGCACAAAAATGGGGCAAAGGAGCAGGAAGAGGGACGCTCAACCCTTTTGCAGATCCTACTCATAATCCGCCTGCAGCAGCCTTGGGGGGCAGGCAATCTTCTCTCGTACAAACATACAGTGGTACCTCGGGTTACAAACGCTTCAGGTTACAGACTCCGCTAACCCAGAAATAGTGCTTCAGGTTAAGAACTTTGCTTCAGAATGAGAACAGAAATTGTGCTCTGGCAGCGTGGCAGTAGCAGGAGACCCCATTAGCTAAAGTGGTGCTTCAGGTTAAGAACAATTTCGGGTTAAGAACGGACCTCTGGAACGAATTAAGTACTTAACCCGAGGTACCACTGTATTTCGAACATGACTTTGAGGGTGGAAAAGAAAAGCATTCCTACAAGCTGGAGGAGTGAAGGCTGGCTCACTAAGCCTGTTAACTAGGCCCGGCCCACTGATGAGGCAGGGTGAGGCACTCACCTCAAGTGGTGGAAGTCCAAAAGAGGGCACCTATCTTGCCTCTGCTGGCAGCCATTTCCCGCAAGACCTGGCCGAAATCTCGTGAGATCTCATGGAGAGCATGAATCTCATGAGATTTCACTGGAAACTGCTGCCGCTGAGCAGCCCAGAAAAGAGGCACAGCGATGGGGTGGCAGCAACACCTGCCATCAACTTTTCCAAGGTGTCACAGGATTGTTTTTTGATGCAAGAAGCTAACGTTCTGGAAACTGCCCATTCGTATTGGTTTTCTATGCAATATATAACAGTATGGGTCACTTGTTCCTGCCATCTCCTCCTAGGCTTCTTCATTCTCTTGCAAGACTGGCAATGTGGAGCCGTGGTTGGAATGTTGGACTAAGACCTCGGAGACCAGAGTTCAAATCCCCTGCTAAGCCAGGACGTTCACTGGGAAAGCTTAGGTTGTAAGGGAAGAGCCACTTGGGATAAAAATGGGGTTAGCAATGCTTAGCTACTTGACTTTGCACTCACACCTGTGATGACAGTCTCTCCGCCTACCATTGGCTCAGTCGTTCCAACACATCTGCCAACCTTGGGTTGGGAAGAAAGCATCAACATCTTGATTTGATGGTCCACACACACACAGGGCCGGCCAAAGGCATTTTGGCACCTGAGGCAAAACACCCGACGCCCACCCACCAGGGAAGGGGTGAGTGAAGATCTACATCAGGAACAAGGCCGCTGTAGAGACCACATTCCCAGCCTTCCTTGCAGGTCGGATCTGCTAACCCTATGGATCCTGCTGCCCCAGGCGGCTGCCTTTAACTTGCCCCATGGGTGGGTCGGCCCTTCATGACCATCTTACCAAAACCAGACTCCCTCCTCTGCCAGAGCGTGACATGCTTTTATCCCTATTTTGTCAGGCCAAGACTCCCATCGTTCTCTGAACACTGTCCATGCTTGCAAAGGCTGATTGGAATAAGAGACTTCTAAACAAGTCGGAAGGCACCAGGTTAGGGGAGACTGAATCATAGAGTTGGAATAGACCACAAGGGCCATCGAGTCCAACCCCTGTGCACTGAAATCAGAAAGGAGCTTTCGAAGGACATTCCAGATTTCCTCAAGATAAGAATACTACTGTATCTGCTTCTACGGCACGAGGATGGCATCAGGCTTTCTAGAGGACTGTGGTAAGAAGCATTCAGCATATGGAAAACTGTGGAAAGAAAGCATCATTACTTGATAGTTATCCATGTTTTCTGCACATTAAAATCAAACCCTTCTAGTATGAAATTGTTGAGCATTAAATTAGCCACCAGGTTAAAATCTATCTTGTGTGTCAAGAAAGGGGAACCTATTGCCCCCCAGACTTCAGAGGGAAGCCAAATCCCATCGGACCAAGCCAGAATGGTCCATCAGCAGGGATGCTGGCAACTGTAGCCAAGTCAAGTCTGCGGGGACAAAGCCTCTTCACTCCTGCTGTGCATAATGGGTGCAAAGAAGCCTCTCTCTAGCAGTGTCAAACCCTTGTAAGTGGATAGGTCAGCAGCAGCACTGAATTGCTCCATTCTAAAAAAAAGCATCAGTGGCATGGCTAATGCTAAGCAAACGTATTGCTTTGGACACCTGAAGCAGAGACTGAAAGAAGGTCCACCTGGAAATCAAATTCAGCACATATTTGGTTCCAAGGGATAAAATAGTTAAAGGTATATGTAAACATAGCTTAAGAAAAGAAATCAAAGTCATTTGACTAGGCGGTTTATAAGATCTGGCCACAAAAGCCATTTGAATTGTCTAATAAAATTGACCCATGAAAATCGCAACTGGCCACTTCCTTGTACCTGGTAAACAGACCACCTGCATTATCTTTAGGAGCAGGAACCAAGTCCCACTGTGCAACCAACTGGATTTACTTCTACGTAAGCTTGTTATGATCACCGCATGAGGCTGCAGCTCGTAACTACACCTGGACTTAAGCGATTCCAAGTTGAGAATAAGTAGAAAATATGAAGCGTGCAAAAAAAATTCAATCTCCAGTATGTCAACCCCTCTTGAGTTTATATAATCTTGCTGATCCACATACTATGTAGGTGCTTTGCACAGTATTGAGAGACCAAAGTGCAACCGGACTCATTTTTACCTGGTTCCTGCTGACTCTTCTTGTAGAAGAAATTTTAAAAGAAGTCCCGTCTATAGGTCACAGACAATTGCTGTGAAATTAGATTGGCAGTTCACACTCCACTGTGCTCCTGTCCAAGTCAGAGCTTTAGTAATTGAGGTTGGAATGCCATCTCTCCAAGCTGATGCCCCTGTTGTGTGTAGACTGACCTGAACTCGTGGTCTGCAACTTACTGTGGGCTCAAATTGGTGCAGTCTTCAGCTGCAGATTCCTAGAACAATCCTTCCCCTCTTTAGATTTTTTTGCCTTTCCTCCAAACCCACCCACAGCTGAAATTTACTTTGCAAACTCTTCGGGGGTAAGCATCTGGCTGTTACTTTTTGCAAAGCCTCCTGTATAGTGCATCACTCTGCAGCAGACCGATGGGACTATTTATAACAATAGCACCATCCCAAAAATGTCGGAACAAAGTAACTCGGTTGTACAGGACATGCTTTGCATGCCCGAGGGTCCTGGGTTCATCTCTGGCATCCCCATTTCAAAGATCTCACACTGAAGGGTTTGTCAATACCTCTTAACCAGAGACCCTGGAGAACAACTGGCAGCCAGAGTAAACAATACATAGATCAAGGTTTGACTCTATAGAAGGCAGCAAAAAGCACCTAATTTGTCTGTAATAACATTTTGGTCAACGTTCAGTGAAACCTCTGTCAGATGCAGCTTTACAGAGACAAGATCCTGGCAGGGCTTTTCAAAATACTTACTGCCTTTTACCTATGAATGGATTTGTTGCTGTGGAGGAGATTCAATTTGACAAGTCTTAAAAACAGGATGTTCTGACACCCAGAAGAGAACATCCTGAGCCTACTCAGATTTTAAAGCCCTCCATAAACATTTTCTTCAGGTGCTACAGATCTACCTGCTGTGAAGGGAAAGGGATTGAGGAGGAACAAATAAGGTTTGAGTGAAGTGTTTGCAGAAGGAAGAACTTTGAATAAATTACCTCCACCCTCCCCTCCCAACTAGCCATGATAAAATGAATGCACTGTTGCTTCAATTCTTGCTGGGTCATGGGATAAGCAGCACGCCCTCGTCTTTCCAAGAAATTGCCCAGAAACGGCAGATAAAGCCCAGATCACAGAAATCTCTAGTATGACCCCATTAAGAGACGAAGAGGAGGCGTAGAAGTCACATTCTCTGCGCTGGCAGCTCCTGAAAGAGAACGCAGAACTGAACATTAAGCACTTTGCATTTCTCATTAGTTGCTTACTTTACAAGGGATGGGGAGACTGTGGCCTACTACAAGCCATCATCCCTATGGTCCACTCTGGCTGGGGATGATCGGAGCTAGAGTCCAGCAACACCTGGTAGGTCACAGGTTTCCCATCATTGCTTTGACAGGGGTCAGCAAACTTGCTGCGCCTCGGGCTGGTGTCTCCAGCGCTGATCACACGGCGGGCAGGAGCGCGTGCCCATATGCGTGCGCACACGCTATTTCCGGCGCACTTCAGGGTTGGAGGAGCACCGGAAATAGCTTGTGCGCATGTGCACGGGCCTCCTGACCCGGATGTGCACTGGAAATAATGCTTGCGCATACGCAAAGACTTGTGCATGCTCACAAGCTATTTCTGGTGCTCCTCCGACCTGGAAGTGGACAGCCGCGCAGCGCTGGTAAGAGGGGGCAGCAGCAGTGGGAGTTGCCGCGGGCTGGATAAACGAGTCCCTTGGGCCTTATCCGGCCCGCGGGCCTTAGTTTGGGAACCCCTGCTTTATGTCCTCTCCACCTGGGAAGAAACTTTTGCAAGTCGAAGCACTCCACTCTGTCCCCCAACAGTGTCTGCCAATGTGTTGCAGCTAAATATTCCTAGATAGGCTGACTAGTAATTTTGGTGGGCTTAAGCACAGTGTACCAACGCAGTGTCAATTCACTACTACATGTTTACTCTGAAATAAGCCTCACTGTGTCTAAGGGAGCTTTCAGCAGAAGGCTGAAACCCCAAGAACATCGATTTAGGAGTAAAGTCCCTTGGGACACAGCAGGGATTACTTCTGAGCAGTGCTTTTTTCTGGGGGTACGCATACCCCTAAACATTTTTTTAAGAAAAAAAAGCACTGCTTCTGAGTAAACACACATAAGACTGTGCTGCATTTCTGCTTTTAAGTTTAGAACTAGGGTTTCCAACGTGGCACCTGTGGGCACCAAGCAAAGGCTTTCACCTGGGCACATGCCCCAGACTTCATACTTTCATTCTTCTTTTTAGGCGTGTCTCCAGGCCTCCTAGAAATAATGTTATGGAGCAAAATGTTCAGCAGCAGGATCAGTGTACAGTATGTTTAAAATCAGTGCTGTTTGCATGGACATAGCCAGGATTCTTGTTGCGGGGGGAGAACTTTTGTTGAGGGGGGCAGAACCGATGTGACTGGTCAGTTAGTTAAGTATTCCTTTTGTTTTACTTGATCTGGGCCGGGGGGGGGAAGTCCCCCCCCCCCCGGCTACACCAATGGCTGTGTATCTCCACAATAGCCACAGGTAGGACTTCCCATGGAAAGCATAAAGTTGTTGTGGGTGGCTGTGTCTCTAATTTTGTATGTCGCCACACTCCCTGTGGCAACCATTTCGGGTTATCCTCCACCATCACCTCCCCCTTCCCAATTGCAATAGCAGCTATTTTGTGACTGGTGGCCTCCAACGTTAGAAATGGGCCCACTGGTCCAAAAGGAAGGCAACCCCTGGTTTAGAATGACCGTCACAAATGTTTATGTGACCAGATCACAAGCCTTACCCCTGCTCCCATTTACTGGCTAAGCCTGTGTATTAATATAATCTCAATCCCCAAATGTACGTTCGGGTGAGATTGCTTGGTGTGAACAAGGAACAGCTAGTCTTTTCTGGTCTGAGGGCCACACTGATGGCTAACCACTTTTCTGAAGGCCACATGCCGGTGGTGAAAGTGGTCAGTGTACACATGCATGGACACACACACAGCACAAACACTAGACACACTCTTACATAAATTTATCACACACAAAAGACAGGTGCTGATGCACACACAACCATCATTTCCAGCCCCCTCCCCACTACCCAGCACTTTGGAGGGCAATATCTGTGAAAAGTAAAATGCAAACTTTCTGATCTCAGCACTGTGGTGCTTAGCGCTAAGATCAGAGATAAAATAGCCCCCTGCCTGCTCTTTATAATGGCCCTTTCTAAAGATACGGTAATGCAGTACACTTCATCTCCCTATAAAACTGTGCTGGGGTAAGAACATTTCCTGGTGTTAGGAATATAAAAGGAATTAAAAAGTGGTTTTTCCCCTCCCTAAAATATACATGTGTGGACAAAGCTGATTTTTCAAACACACACACACTTATATTTCACAATGCTATATATGAAGAGTGAGTTTAACAATCCTTTTTTCCAGGGAACTCTGGGAATTGTAGTTCTGTAAAGCAAAGCAGTGGCCTAAATGTAGCATTTTGTAGTTCCACAGCAGCGATAAGAAAGCCAATGGACTCAAACTCTCTGAAGGATACACAGAACATGGTTAATACCAAAACTGGTAAGAGAACACAGCATGGAAATGCTTCTGAAGAGGCCCCTGTCCGTTTATTTATCTTCTGTTCAACAGCCCAGGTCTAGACAAACACCCATCTGCCCCAGGTAGCATGGCCATTGGTGAGGAATGATGGGAACTGAAGCCCAGCAAGATCTGCAGGGCCAAACATTCCCCATTCTTGCTCTGGAAGAAGTATTCATAAAAAAAGGGAACTCGTTTAACATCCACACATTGAGCTCTTTGACATCCGTCAATGATGCTCCATTTTTTGCCAACAATTCCCACAGAATGAAACAAATGTAATAGAATCGTAGACTTGGGAGACCAAGAGTCATCTATTTCCTGCAATGCAAGAATATCTTTGGGGCTTGATGGTTAAAGATGTGATTCTGCTGAATGCAAAACGAGGATGACCCTTATCGTTAATTTGTCCTTATACTTTCAACTACTGCCCTGTTGTGATATCTGTTTTCACTAGGCTTTTATAACGCTTTGTAAATAAACTTTTCAGCCACCTGGAATGTTTGTTGTAGAACAAAAAACAGGCAGGATACTAGCATAATAGTATATGTAGCAGATTAAAACAGGAAGGTTGAAACCTCACCATTTTAGGACTATGCAACCACAACCACTTGCAAACTAGCGCAATGAAGCTCCATTAATACTGCTCTGAAAATCCAACGCAATCTGAACTATCATAGGTTTGATTTATTTGTTACAGGGATTTCTACCTCACCTTTCAAATAAGATCCCAGAGATCTTGTCAAGAAGGAGAAAATTATTTTTAAAGCTGCTGTCCTATACCCACTTACCTGCAAGTAAGCCCCACTGAACTCAGTGGGACCTTTTGAGTAAAGATGTACAGAGTTGCACTGTTAAGGTATATCTTGAGTAGACCACAAAGTGCTTGGAAACAAGGGAAATCTGCAGTAGGAATTTTTTTGGGGGGCGGGGGAACTCCCAAAGTTAAAACTATTATAACTCTGCTGTCTTTCATCAACTTTATTGGGGAATTTGTCTAGATTAGGAAGCTGCCTTACCCTGAACTGCAATATTGGTTCTTCTAGCTCAACACTGTCTACACTGACTGGCAGCAGATCCCCTGGGGATTCAACCTGCGGACTCCCTGCATGCAAGTAAGTGCTCTACTACTTCGCTGTAATATTACAGCCGCAAGCTGGGCAGATTCTCAGTACTACATGCCACTAGGGCCAGCTCTCCTAGTTTTACAAAAAGCAGGATTTCCAGGCAGTGTGATGATTTTGCAAGTGGGAGGGTTTGTAGGCTGCATTAGGGAAGAGGGAGAGAAATAAAAACCTGGTCATTCCGTAAACTCAGTGAAACTCTAGTCCACCCACCCCAAACAAAGCCACTCAACTCAAAAGTAAAATCCCATTAAATTCAAGGGCTGAAAGCTCAGTCCTGGCCCGCTGCCAGCCAGTGCAGACAACACTGAGCTAGATGGACCTAAGTAAGTGTCTGGGGCAGCTTCCTATCCATGCCCAGGTTAAGTAGCAGGCGCCACTAATCCTGGCTCAGGGCTTGCGCTCTGCACTGGCGCCGCAGCAACCGATTGTTTCGGTGTTCACACTGCCATTAGGGGAACCCGGCCCGAGAGAGGCGCCCGGGAACCGAACTCGGGGCTCCCGGGGACGCGCGAAACGAGCGCTCTAACCTCTGCGCCACCCGCGGCAAAGCGCGGAACGCTGCGGTCTGGGGACACCTATGAAGGGGCGGGGAAGGCGCAGCCGCGCTCCCGTCGGGGGTTCCCACGGCAACACGCCGCCCCCGCCCCCAGCGCGCGCCCCCGCCCGTCACTTATCACGAAGGGGAGGGGAGAAGGAGAGAGAATCGCCAAACGCACCCGAGGACTTTTGACCTCCTCGCGCCCACCGTCGCTTCTCCCCCCCCCCCACCTCAGGTTGAAAAGCTCTCCTCAACCGCTCCGGTTCGCTTTATTCCCCCCCCCCACTCGCTCCCCCACCCCCTCCTCTCCCACCGCACCGCCACTTTAAACCCGGCTTCCTTAGGGCCGCTCCTCCTCTCCGCAGGGCGCCCGTCAAGAACCGCACTGCCGCCGCCGTCATCACCGCCGCCAATATGGCCGCTCTGAGGGAGCGAGCGGGCTCGGCTCTCGAAACCTTAAGGCCCTCCCTCTTCTCCCTCAGCAACTTTCTGAGGCCGCGCCGCGCGGGGCTTCACGGGAGTTGTAGTGCCGCGAACGACCAGACGCGCCTGTAGTAGCCCGGGGCGGAACAGCGCCCCGGGACTACGTTTCCCAGGGACCCAAGGGACGCCTGCCCGGAGGGGCCAATGGGAAGGCTCTGTCTTTCCTTTTCCCCGCCCCCCCTCCGCCTCCGCCCCCTACCGAGCCACAGAAGGATGATGTAATTGCAAAGCGGCTGAAGGGCGGGGCGGTCCTTCTGCGCTGCAATTCATTGTGCCAGACCCAGATCGGTGTGCAGCCTCCTCCTCCCTCCCCCTGCTGTTGCTGCTTCCAGCAACCAGAGCAGCAGCAGCACCAGTGGCTGAATCCCAAGCAAAAGGGGGCGGGAGTGGGTGGCTTGGTTGGTTGGGGAGGAAGCGGCGCACACACACGACCTTCTACAGTTTGCATCCCAAGGGAACTGCTTCGCAAGCTTTGCCCCGCTCATGTCTAATTAAGTGACTTGGTTTCCAACCTGGCCTCTTGGCTTATGTTCTTTGTAAAGGGCAGGGAGCAGCCGTCCCAAACCAGGTGAGTTGCGCGATGCTGTTTTAATTTTATTTAAAGCATTATTTTCCCTTCTTCATATCTATCATCTTGCTAGTCTGTCTAAAATCCGGAACGTGTTGTGGATGTATGCATCGGCGGCGGCGTGGGGAAGGGTTGGGGGGTGGAAACACGCTTTGTCTCCTGGTTTCTCTCCCCTCCCTGCTGTTTGGATGCAACATCGCCCAAAGCAAAGTGATAATGATAATGAGCCGCCTCCTAACTCCGAAGATTATTGATGAGCCCCAGCAACAAAGCCTTGGAGTTGTCTGCAAACCCGGTGTTTCCCCATCCTCCTCCTCCTGTCTTTTTTTTTTTTTTCTTTTTGGGAAAGGTTACATGTGCGGAATCCCTACAGAGACGGGCTTGCTTGCTGAATGCTTATCAGGCAGTGTTTCTGCCTGCCTCTCCTCTTTCTTCCCCTTTCCAGATGTTGGGGTGTGAGTGTCTGGGACGCTTGAAGCACCTAATTGTGGCATTGACTGAACATAGCCGGGTGTGTTCGTGTTTTGGGGGGCTGCGGTGGAGAGTCTTTGGCACGTTGAACAATTACTGGGTGCGAAAGAGATGATTTAATGCAAGCTTCGAAGACTTGAGTCAGCTCCTTCCCCATCACTCTTTCTGCCTCCTATTTTTGCAAGATCAGTAGAGGATATAAACGTATGTGTGTGTGTTTAAATGTCAGAAATGTTTACTATTGGAAATGGCTCTCGTCTTTTTTTTTTAAAGAAAAGATGGCATAAGCAATAGTCATAGGGGTAGGCGAGTGGTGTTTAAAATAGAGAAAAGATAATAGCCCTCCAGGAACCCCACGCCCTGGGTACATTTACTCAGAAGTAAGCTCCACTGAGTTTGATGGGGCTTAGGCTGCAGTCCTAAGCACCCTTCGACTTAGTGGAATTTACTTCTGAGCAAAGTGCATAGGATCACACTGTAATTTCCTATAGGGGAGGGTGCAGTCCTACTCTCACTTGGAAGTTTATCCTGTTGAATAAAATGGGACTTGCTCCCACCAACCGTATTTGAAAACATTGGTCTATAAGACATACTTTTGCATGCATGTATGGTAAGGCTGATCCTAAGCGTGCTTACTAAGAAGTAAGTTTCATTCAGCTTGGTGGGACTTGTTTCTGAGGAAGCCTGCATCCTATCCCACTACATAACCAATATGTTGCAATGAGTATTCCCACCTCCCAAAAAAGCCCACCCCATTCCCTACTCCTGTTTTTGCTTTTCCTTATGATGGTTGCTAACAGGCTTGGAATCTCTCTCTCTCTGTGTGTTTTCAACTCTGTAAAAACTTTGGCCACACACTAACGACAAATTCCAAATGACCATATGCAAGCCATAAATTGTCAGGGAAGCGGCTGTACTGGTCCAGTTTTATTCTCTTGGCAACCAGAACGAGTCACTCACTGTTCTTAATGCTGCCAAGATGCTCAGAGAGATGGAAGGCCCTGGGAATGTCGGGAGAAATGCCTGATTGGCGAGGAGGAAAGCAAACATTGACACAGCAAGGACTTGGGCTGTTCTGCTCTTTCTCCTGGGATGACTGGCGTCTTAAAATAGTCCGAAAGACTCCTATTGGTCCTCTTCATTTTTTTCAGGAGCCATCCTCAGTTTTGCGAAGGTGGGTCTATGTAGCCTGAGCCTCTGAATGTCAGCTTGGGAAGTAAGCATCACTGAGTTCAGCAAGTTTGCATAGCTTGCAGCTGTGTTTCAGATGCTTGAGCACCCTGATGAATTGAGTGCAGTCTTGTCAAAAGCCATACAAGTTGCAATACTTGCGTTTCTGATAAGGCTGAATTTTAGTTGAAGGGTCATCGTTGCTCACTCCCCCACCCCCAAATATTAATTTTGCGGACTGTGTGGGAATCTGCAAAACTAAATGTGACAGCTCTTTCTCTTCTCGAGGACTGAGAATCCAATGTGTGGGGAGGAGATTAGAAGAGGCAAGTCACCTTCCCCCCATCCCCAGTATGAAGTTGTGTGTGGGTAAGGGAGAATGAGTTAGGTCTGCTCAGCCCAGCAGCTTAACATATGACAAATCAGTGTCTTAGTCCCAGCCCTACTACATTATAGCGATTGTGAGGGTTTATTATTCTAACTTGCAAGAACTCCTGACTGCACATTCTGTGCTACCACCGGCAGGAATATGCTGCGCCGCAGGCGGATAAATGCTCCATGCACTGGGAAGGAGTTTTAAAAACATTGCGTTCCCTGCATACAGCGTTGTTCCTTAGGGAAGGGCTTTTCTACAGCCTGCATGCACTTCTATCAGCCCCATCACCTGTTGTTCCAGTGCAATCCGAAGGGGCTTATTTCCAAATAAACCTTCTTCAGATTGAGCCGTCAGTGCATTTGAGATGCGCTGGCTGCAATGGGCTTCTGCAGAACTGGTTTCAGGGAGCTCTTGGCATAGTGCCCTCCGGTGGAACGCCTCATGTGTCATTAGCTTCCCCCTCACCTGGAGTGCTTCCCTGGCAGGGGTGGGCAGCCATGGCAATTTGGGCTGCTGCTTTTGAATTTCCCACAATGCTCCTTAATGCAGCATCAGTCATGGGCAATGTGGGAAATTAAAATGGCAGCTCCCCACATGCAGTTGTCCAGGTGGGATCAAAGGCGTCCTGCTGGGGCGCTAGGACGCTGCATCTTGTCACTGGCTCTGGAGCCCTTATCCTACCTTCAGCGCTCACAATTTATTTGGGAGCAATCATAGGTTTTTTGGGGGGGTTATATGCTGCCAGAGTATATGTTTCTTACGCAAACATATAATCTGGCAGCATAAAATCCCCAATAAACCAAAGGATTGCTCTCAGATAAGGATAGCTCAGCATGAAACTTTTAATCTCAGGGTTGTGGGTTTGAGCCTTACGTTGGGTGAAAGATTCCTGCAGTGCGGGGGGTTGGACTAGATGACCCTCAGGGTCCCTTCCAATTCTGCAGTACTCTGGTTCCATGGTTTAAGTGTATTCTGGACTGTGGTTGGAAGAAAGCTCATTGACAAGCAGCAGGACTTTCTATTCAGTGCCCCACCCCAATAGCTACTGGGTTTACAATGCCTTTGGGGAGGGTGTTATGGGATTTGGCTAAAGAGTCAGGCAGTGGGGCTTGTGGCTTTTATTAAGAGACCCTTCCCTCCCCATCGCCTATAATTAATGCAATTGATGAAAGCACTATGTGGAAGAACAGTGGGATCCCAAGTTAAATCCCACTGATTTCAGCAGCTTGTCCAAGTAAAAGCATACAGAGGAGAAAAACTGGTGGGTGTGTGTGTGTGTGTGTGTGTGAGAGAGAGAGAGAGAGAGAGAGAGAGTGTGATCTGTCTTAAGTGGTTTGTGGATTATAGGCCTGGCGTCATTGTGTTGGTTCCTGTACAGAGTTCCTTCCCTGGAAGGGAACGGCTGGAATTGAATCCATATGGCCGGCTAGCTGCCTCTCCTCCGCCGCTACTGCATAGATTTGTTCCTGCGCTTCCCTTGTGTAACTGACACTGTTTTGTCCTCTGGCAAACTTTCATTGGAATCGCATTGCCCTGCGTGACATGAGTTCAGGATGAACAATGAAACCCCCTGTTCCTTGAGATCAACGCGTTTGTAAACACTGACACAATGGCCACAAAAGCCGATATTGCAGCACATCCTATTTGATATCATTTTCTTTAATCTTGCGAGGGCCATTCCCTTCCCGAGGGATCGACATTCCTCAGCTCAACCGCCTTGCATTTATATTTTATCTGATCTCTTTTCCTTCCTTTATTATTGTTGTCAAAGGAGAGCAACAATGCAGCGACAGCCCAGGTCCCTTCTGCTTTCCATAGATTTCTTTATTTCTTTTGTGCCTGGAATTGCTTCTTTTATTTTACCCTCCTCATCTTCTCCACCCCCACCCCTTTTTCTTGGCAAGTTGGGGGTAAAGAAATATGCAGTTTCCTGCACTGGCTATAAAAGCAGAGGTTCTTCTAGGAGCGGTTTGCCTTGGCCCAGAAGGACGAGCTTTGAAAGTTCAGCCTGATAAGTTTGTGCTGGGGGCTTCCTTGGTGAACTGGTGATATGTGAGCTATGAGAAAACTATGCAAGGACTTTAGGAAAAAGGGCGTGTTGGAGTCTCCAATCCAAACATAGCACTTTTGGAGCATATGTTGTTCATATAGTTGTTAAAGTCATTTGTGTTACTGTGGGCTTGTTCATTGTTGTTGCTGTTTTTATTTTTAATTGCCCTACAAACCATTGTTCCTAAGGTTTGGGCTGGGTGGGGTAACAATGCCATTATTCAAAATACAAATTGTAAACAATAACAACAACTCTTCATAGTTTCAGTTCTGTGCACCCTTACCGTGTTTTTCGCTCCATAGGACGCACCCGACCATAGGACGCACCTTGTTTTAGAGGGGGAGAGCAAGAAAAAAAAATTCTTCCCCTCTCTGCTCAGCGCCCCTTCAGCAAAGCGGCAGGAGAAATGGAGCCCCTTCCATTTCTCCTCCCGCTTCGCTGAAGGGGCTTTGCGTAGCTCTCCCTCTCTGCTGAAGCCAGGAGAGTCTTGCTCTCCTGGCTTCAGCAAAAGGAACCTGAAGCCTCCGGAGCATGGAGGAAGTGCTCCCTCTGTGCTTCGGAGGCTTCACGTTGCTATTGCTGAAGCCAAGGAGCCTGCATTTGCTCCATAGGATGCACACACATTTTCCCTTAATTTTTGGAGGGGGAAAAGTGCGTCCTATAGAGCGAAAAATACGGTAATTGGGGCAAATCACTTTTGGCCCCACCAAGTTCAATGTGATTTACCCCAAGTATAAGCATGCAAACTTAATTTTAATAATGGTGTTGTCACCCACCCACTGTAGCACTTTTCTGAGCCTTGCAGTCTAGTCCAATGCCCGTTTGTTCCAAACAGCCATTGGACTGGACTGTAAAGTTAAGCAAAGCACTGTGTTGCTGCAGGTAGTGCTTTATTCCAAGTGGAAAATCCACCCACTTAGATTCTGTAGAGAAGAAGAGCCTGTGCGGAAATAAGCTTTTGCAAGTGCAGCTGCCGTGGAGATACTTCTGGGTGCTCATTTGGGCCCCATTGAATGGCACTTTGTGGTGTAGATGTGCTTCTCCATCTGGGCCTGCTGTTTATTGCAAGCTCATGGAGCTTGGTCAGAGACATGGGATTGCTGGTGATCTCCTTTATCTCAGTGATTTCAAGTGGACAGCCGATTTGCAGAATGGACCCTTTCCAAGCTGCTTCAGAAGTCAGTTGAGCTGACCTACTGGGATTCAAACTAGCATGCCCACCCTGACATCTCAAAGACCAGACTCAGATAGCCTGATTCAATTATTTGTGGAACGGCCTATTAGTCTTTTATTTTCTACCACTAAATAATTAGTATGGCAGTATTTGCTCCTTTTGGAGGGCCTTTAAAGCAGGCATAGGCAAACTCGGCCCTCCAGATGTTTTAGGACTACAACTCCCATCATCCCTGACCACTGGTCCTGTTAGCTAAGGATGATGGGAGTTGTAGTCCCCCAAACACCTGGAGGGCCGAGTTTGCCTATGCCTGCTTTAAAGCGTTTGAGCAAAATGCAAAATATGTTATAAAGGATGGGCGGGGTGGGGTGAGAGCCTTTGCACTTCCTAAAGGTAGAGAGAGCTATAACTACAGACCCTCCAAGTGTCCCTATTTCCCCAGGACAGTCCCGGATTTACAGAAGCTGTCCTAGTTTCCGATTTGATTCTGAAAGGTCCCACTTTTCCTTAGAACGTCCCTATTTTCGTCAAAGAAATATTGGAGGGTATGGTGTTAGGCAATCACCAAGCCAAGGAGATAAGTAACTGTACATACAACCTTTAGAAGACAGCTGTATAGGAAAGTTTTTTAATGTTTAATATTTTATTTTGTTTTTATACGTGTTGGAAGCCGCCCAGATTGGCTGGGGCAACCCAGTCAGATGGACGGGGTATGATGATGATGATTATTATGAAATAGGACGTCCCTATGTTCATCAAAGAAATGTTGGAGGGTATGTAACTATAGCCAGCAAAAAATACATGCAAGTCATAGAGCAAATATGTTTATAGTTTGCGTTTAAAAGATATCCCAGAAACTGAGTTGCCTAGGCATCTAAATGTGTTATTTTTCTTCTTCCCTGCACAGCACTAGCATATTGATTTTTGGTTATGAGACTGGGGAATAAAAGTTTTTTTTATTTTTTAAAATCAGTTCTTATCATCTTATGTGCAAAATAAGATGGCTAGCCCTGATTAAAAAGCAGCCAGGAGGTCCAGGACTAAATTCACTTTCAGTGAAACTAGAATGTTTGTGACATGGAACTATTTGGCCAGCTAGGTTTAGACCGGGGAGGCCCTTTCCTATACAGCTGCCTGCTGGGTTGGTGGAACGTAGGTAGCAATCACACCATTGGTCCATCTAGATTAGTGTCGTCTACAGCACTAACTGTGGGACGCGGGTGGCGCTGTGGGTTAAACCACAGAGCCTAGGACTTGCCGATCAGAAGGTCGGCGGTTCGAACCCCCACGACGGAGTGAGCTCCCGTTGCTCGGTCCCAGTTCCTGCCAACCTAGCAGTTCGAAAGCACGTCAAAGTGCAAGTAGATAAATAGGTACTGCTCCGGCGGGAAGGTAAACGGCGTTTCCGTTCACTGCTCTGGTTCGCCAGAAGCAGCTTAGTCATGCTGGCCACATGGCCCGGAAGCTGTACGCTGGCTCCCTCGGCCAATAAAGCGAGATGAGCGCCGCAACCCCAGAGTCGGCCACGACTGGACCTAATGGTCAGGGGTCCCTTTACCTTTACAGCACTAACCGTCAGCAGATCTCCAGAGTTTCAGGCAGGGATCTCTTCCAGCTTGTTTCTGGAGATGCCGGGGACAGAATATGAGGCCTTTCTGCATCCAATGTAGATGTTCTACTGCTGAACTACATCTGTTCCCCATCAGTTATAAGGCTTGCTTCATCTTCTGAGATGATTGTTGGGTGGGATGGAAGCTGTATGTTGATCTATATCATAGAATCATAGAGTTGGGACAGATCATCTAGTCCAACCCCCTGCAATGCAGTTGTCCCATACAGGGATTGAACTTGCAACCTTGGCGTTGTCAGCACCATGCTCTTACCAACTGAGCTATCCAGGCTGATATAAGCCGCTGCACGTGAAGCCAGAGATTCTAGCCCTGTAGGTTTCTGTACCTGACTAACACATCAACTACTCACACTGTAAGCAAATTAACAGACAAGCAGTTTGGAAATAAATGTGGGAATTAGCAACACCCTGGAGGATTCTGCGGTGGCCTTTCTTGATGAATAAGGAGTCTTCTTTGTTGTGCTGCCTCCTTTTAGTGCAATGATTTAAATGGCGAAACGATCCCTTTGCAGTAACTGTACCTTGTTGACAATCCTATGTAATTTTAACTGAAACAGGGGTTGCGGACTGCCTGTTTTGTTCAAGTGGCATAATGGGAAAGTTAAGCTATATGTAAGGTCTAATTTTGTCACTCACTGCCAGCACTGGGTTGTAGGCTTCAGCAGCAAGAACTAACATGAGCACCTGCTGGATTTTGGGGTGACGGGGCTGGCATTGGAGCTGTTGGCCTGAGGTTCATGCAGAACATTCATGGTTTGGGGTCTATGCTGCAGTGTCCTGAAGTGAGCAGGAGGCAGCTGCACGGAGATGGTCAGCCAGACAGGCATGGCTTAAAATAGGCCATTGGCACAGGCAACACCGCAGCCGTGACCTGGGAGTATTTATGGCTCAGCTAGGTTAGGGAAGGCCGTAGGCTGTCTGGTGAGGACCAGAGCAGGATAGTCCCACCCCTATTTATTCACTTGTCTGAGAAAACGTTTGGTCTGCTTAATACTAGGAGGGAAAGACTCTAAGCAGTGTACATATAAACTATAGAAATAGCATAAAATCATTAAAAACGTCAGGAGAATATTGGAAACGCAGAGGCACAGAATCCAGGGGATCAGGGAAGTCTGAGCACAGTCATGTTTTCAAGAGGAGATAAGTAGTCTTCAAGAATGTGCTGTAAGAAATGCCAAAATGCAGTCCATACACAACCTGCTTCAAATCCTATTGCTAGTCATAATGGCCGTATTGACCTCCAGGCTTGGGTAGTTTAAAATGTGTGCAATCTGTCCTTGATATACCCGCCTAAACATTTCACCCTCCAGAGGTTGTTGAGCTACAGTTCCCATCATAGAATCATAGAATCATAGAGTTGGAAGAGACCACAAGGGCCATCGATGGCCCTTGTAGTCTCTTCCAACTCTATGATTCTATGATTCTATGAGTCCAACCCCCTGCCAAGCAGGAAACACCATCAGAGCACTCCTGACATATGGTTGTCAAGCCTCTGCTTAAAGACCTCCAAAGAAGGAGACTCCACCACACTCCTTGGCAGCAAATTCCACTGTCGAACAGCTCTTACTGTCAGGAAGTTCTTCCTAATGTTTAGGTGGAATCTTCTTTCTTGTAGTTTGGATCCATTGCTCCGTGTCCGCTTCTCTGGAGCAGCAGAAAACAACCTTTCTCCCTCCTCTATGTGACATCCTTTTATATATTTGAACATGGCTATCATATCACCCCTTAACCTCCTCTTCTCCAGGCTAAACATGCCCAGCTCTCTTAGCCGTTCCTCATAAGGCATCGTTTCCAGGCCTTTGACCATTTTGGTTGCCCTCCTCTGGACACGTTCCAGTTTGTCAGTGTCCTTCTTGAACTGTGGTGCCCAGAACTGGACACAGTACTCCAGGTGAGGTCTGACCAGAGCAGAATACAGTGGCACTATTACTTCCCTTGATCTAGATGCTATACTCCTATTGATGCAGCCCAGAATTGCATTGGCTTTTTAGCGGCCGCGTCACACTGTTGGCTCATGTCAAGTTTGTGGTCAACCAAGACTCCTAGATCCTTTTCACATGTACTGCTCTCAAGCCAGGTGTCCCCCATCTTGTATTTGTGCCTCTCATTTTTTTGCCCAAGTGCAATACTTTACATTTCTCCCTGTTAAAATTCATCTTGTTTGTTTTGGCCCAGTTCTCTAATCTGTCAAGCTCGTTTTGAAGTGTGATCCTGTCCTCTGGGGTGTTAGCCACCCCTCCCAATTTGGTGTCATCTGCAAATTTGATCAGGATGCCCTTGAGTCCATCATCCTAGTCGTTGATAAGCATGTTGATAAGCCCCTGCAAGCATGGCCGATGGCTTGGGATGATGGGAGTCCAGCAACATCTGGAGGACCAAAGCTTCCCCACACATGTCCTGAAAGGACCTGGGGCTTTAGAGCTCAGCACCAGCGTTGGCTGCAAGTTTGTTTCTGAAGATGCCAACAGTTTTTCTCCTACGCGGCAGACACCGTTTGAGCTGATTGCACTTGGTGAACTGTGTTTAAAGGCACTTCCAAGTGAAGCACTGTAATTGGATGTAGCAAGTTTGTGAGTCACTGATGGAATTTGCCTCAGATGGGAGAGAAATGGTGTGTTCGTGAGGGAGTGGGTGATGCGTATTGGGGGCATAGTTGTCAACTTTTCCCTTTTCTTGCGAGGAATCCTATTCGGAATAAGGGAATTTCCCTTAAAAAATGGGAAACGTTGACAGCTATGATGGGGGGGGGGGTGTTGGTTGGGCAAAGGGGTAGGTGGGGCCAGCGAGCGGAGCCCTTAGTGTGGGGCATGCGTGTAAAATCTTGGTGCAGTGGTTAACCACTGCTTCTTTCAAGGGGCCTTTAAATATGATGAACTTTATGATTAGTTGTGTTCAGTGCCTTGGGAAATCATCTGAAGCAGAGAACAAAGGACAAAGTGCTTGCAGAGTGCCATATTTTTTGCATTAGCATAGGAAAGGGTGCCCTGAGTTCATTTTTTCCTCCCATCCTTCTCAACAGTTCATGAAATTTCATCCTGCAGTAAATAAGCAGTTCAGTTAGTGGCGCAACTGTGTTGACACGAAGTGAACACTTTAGTTTTATTTGTAGCAACGCCTGCAGTTCTAATAGCTGAGCTTTCTGCTTTAACACTTTCTTTAGACATCATTTCTCCCTAACGAGCTTGGCGTTATTCACCAACCGAGCTATCCCTGGTCATTCAAAATAGGAAGAGTCTTTCTGGTAGTTCTCCCATCCTGTGGGTCAGGGGTAGGGAACCTGCAACCCATGGGCCAGATCAGGCCCGTCAAGGTGTTTGGGATGGTCTGCCCGCCCCTTTGTAGTTGTGCCTCTTCCTTTCCTTGCAAAGAGACCTCCACTTCCTCTTGTGCACTGGCATCGCTAACAGATTGACATGCTCTGGAAACAGAAAGGGCAAGGATGGGTAAGCAAGAGGAAGAAGAGGAGATTTTGCAAGGTTAGAATGGAAGACGTGGTTCTCTGAAATTTACACCCATTGGTTCCACTCCTACCCCCTGGAGCAACAATGCAAATCTGCCTCCTCTTCTATGTGGAATCCTTTTAGGTATTTGGAGGTAGCTATCTCGCCTCTCCTGAATCTTCTCTTCTCCCTGCTAAATGTACTCTTTCAGCTGTGCTTTGTAGGACTTGGTTTGCAGACCCCTTACCGTTCTGGTATCTCTCCTTTGAACACACTCCAGTTTGTCAATCTCCTCCTAAAAATGTGGCATCTAGAACGAGACACAGTACCCAGAGTGTCTCAGGAACTGTAGTTTGTGAAATGGTGTGCTGTTTGGTGTCCTAGGGCTCACTGATGCCAGTGTTTGAAATTAGACAGTGTTTGAAATTAGCCACGCACCAGGTGCATTTTGCACCCTGGCTATCGTCCCCTTGCAAGCCAAGTGAAGATGCCTGGGCACCATCCCTGCATGCCTGGGGATCACTGGATCTTGATTGTTTTAACACACTTGTCAAGGCTGCCTCAAGTCTTAGCTCACAAAAGACCAACGCCTACGTCTTCTTGAATACAAAGGTGTTTATTGCAGTTCATGGTTTGCTTGACATCTTAGGCGCGCAGCCTTACGTCTCTTACGCTAGACCGCCGAAGTCCCGTCTGAGTCAGTCCCTCCTCTGCACCAATTTAAGAGACTTGCGCTGCTCCACCTCTTTCTCTCCTTCCTTTTCCGCAGGGTCCTTCTACCCACTGGGGTTTCCCCCCTTCTGGATTCCTCTGACGCGGAATCAGACTGCTGCTCCCCCCTCCTGCGGGCTTTGGGACCTGGCTCCTCCTCCGGGCTCCCTGCACTTCCGTGCGCCTCTACATTTGAACTAGGCGCGCGCGCCAAACCTCTAACTTTCCTTTTGACAGTTACACTGCTCCCTTCACTGCTCCCCTGGCCTTCCGGGAGGGCTGCTTGCTCTGACCCCCCTCCTCTCTCTGCTGCTGGAGCTCCTTCCTCTGACACACTGGAAACTCCACCCCCTTCGCTGCACTTTGGTGGGGAGGCTGGTCCTGACGCCCAGCTGCCACTTTGGGATCCTCCGCTGGCACCCTGCTCCTGACATTTCCCCTGGGGCTCCTGGCCCTGACCACCGGCGCCCCTTCTGGGAATCCTCTGATTCGCTGGAAAGACTCATGGAATCCCTTGAGTCATTGTCGTCCTCTTCCTCGCTGGCTTGGAATTCCTCCCCTTCGCTCTCCATCTCCTGCCTACCCTGTGCCTCTCTCCCTGAACCCCTGACAACACTAATACCACATCCTGTAGAATTCTATCAGTTATATTTTATCTGCACAATCAGAATGAATTTCAGGGACCAAAAACCTTTTTCCTGTACATTCTGAGCAGGAGCAGTCACCATTAAGAAAAAGAGGCTGGAATAGGCCAATATATATGTGGACTGTCCTGCTATCTAGTGACCTTTCTTTTTTAAGTTCCCAAAGTTCTTAACCTAGCTCATGGTTGTCATCTGAACTAGCCAACTGCTTTTAACTGATAATCACAGTCGGTCCATCATTGCAGTTAAGTCTGCAACAGGGAAATGCATGTATTGGGTCCTCCTGATGGCATTTGAGATTGAATTCATTTTCTTCTCCTTCCGCCATGCTGTTCCTGTGGCCTCCCTGCTGCTTCTTCTTTTTAAATAATCTTTTTAAAGAACCCAAACTTTTTGTGCTGCTTGCAGTCAGCAATTGCGACCACGCTTCAGCAGAGCAAATCTGTTGAGTAAGGCTGTGCTGTTTGTACATAGTTACCTCCCGCTGTGCTTTTTCAAACAGAACAGGTGAGGGAGGTCACACTTTTAACAGTTGTGGTTCCTTGTCATGAATTGCTTGAGTGCCCGGTGAAACTTTTTTTGGCAGCAGAACCAGGAGGCCTAACTGCACCTCTGTTACATACAGCAGAGCTGCAGCTGGGCACCTTATCAAGTGGAAGACCTGGTTTTGTTTACTTTTTGTTTCTGGCACATCCGCTATCTGTCGGTGAAAACTGGCTCCAAGTTATGGTACATGAACTTGCCTATTACTTACAGGCCAGGAAATAGCAGACATGCCCCCAGGGAGCCGTCTCGCACCCATCAGACCCAATCCACTTCCTAATGAACCAGCCATCTGATAAGTGTCCATCTAAATGGATGTCATTAAGAAACTTCCCTCTCCTGATAGAACCATTTGCCTTGAGTCATTAACAACTCTTACCATCCCCATTGGCTGGGCCAGGAGCAGCTTGTGATGTGGAAACCCCAGTTAAAAAGCAAAGGAAGCCAGATCCCCCCCCCCCCATGACCATATTATTGCAATACTTTGACCAGCTGAATATTCACAAAATTATGTGCAAGCTTTTGAGTTCTCCAGAACTCTTCGCATAGCTGTCAACTTTCAGATTTGAAAATAAGGGATCAGCAGCCTCACCTGTCCCGGGGACAGTCTACGGGATATCTAACAATCTGGGATAGCAGCAGGAAGCAGCGGGAAACGGCGCTGGAATAAGGGAATTTCCCACAAAAAAAAGGGAAGGTTGACAGCTATGTCTTCGTCAGGCTAGGCAGTAAACAAAGGGGGGGAAAGCAGGGGAAGAGAAGTTTATTAGTGCTTGTATGCCTATCATATTTACACGATGGCACAAGTGACTACCTGCCAGACTAGCTGGTATGTGTCATATTTGCATGGCACAATAGATATCTGTCCTCTCCCCTCTTTTCTTGGTGAAGAGTTCTGGAGAACTCAAAAGCTTGCGCATGATTTAGTGACCTTTTAATTAGCCAAATAACAGTATTGCACTGATATAAATGTTTAAACCCCAGTTGGTAATGCCTGAGGGCAGAGTCAGAAATTGGTCAACCTAAGAAGATGTTGTCCACCATGATCCAGGTTTAAATAAGCGCATGATGATAGTATAATGATTTTTAATATAAAAAATCTAGTCACTTCTATAGAGCGTGTACAGCTACAATCAGTGCAGAGCCACTGTAGAGCTAGATGGACCAACGGTTTGAGACAGCTTTGTAGACTCAAAATCGGAAGAAGTCTGGCTGCCAATTAGCTACCAGGCTAAGTTTAGGGTGCCGGTTTTGGCATATAAAGCCCTATGTTTGGGACCAGGATACCTGAAAGACCATCTCGTACATCCCATTGATCACTGCACCCTGCAGGTGAGGGCTTCCCTCAGGTACCATCTTACCTAGAGGACCCTTTAGTGTTGTGATACCTACCCTTTGAAATTCTGCTCCCCTTGAATATTAGCCAGGCGCCGTCTCTGTTGCTGTTTCGGTGCCCCACTAAAGACCTTCCTCTTTTCCACAAGCCTTTTCGGTCGAGATTTATCCCAGTCTGCAGCTGCCTTGGAATTGTTTTTGGATGTTTTAAACCAGGGGTCAGCAACCTTTTTCAGCTATGGGCCGGTCCACCATCCCTCAGACCATGTGGTGGGCAAGGCTATATTTTGGGGGGGAAATAATGAACAAATTCTTATGCCCTGCAAATAAGCCAGAGATGCATTTTAAATAAAAGGACACATTCTGCTCATGCAAAAACACCAGGCAGGCCCCACAAATAACCCAGAGATGCATTTTCAATAAAAGGACACATTCTACTCATGTAAAAACACGCTGATTCCCGGACCGTCTGTGGGCCGGATTGAGAAGGCGATTGGGCCGCATCTGGCCCACGGGCCTTAGGTTGCCTACCCCTATTTTAAATGGTTTTTAATAATTGAATTTATACCATGCCCTTCCTCCCAGAGGAGTCCAGGGCAGCGTTTGTGTGTTTGCCTTCCTGGACCCCTTTTCAGAAGGGAAGGTGGGGAATATAAAATAAGTTAAGTAAGTAGTTTTTGCCTGGCAAGGGTTTGAAGGAACAGAAGCAACCGGGAGGGTGAAAGAATTGGGATTCCACATGTGTCTCATCCTGCCCATTTCTTCTCTCCCCCTAAACCCATCCTGCCAATGGAAGTTGACAGCTCTCAATTTTGATGCGCGAGGCAGCCAGCTGGGAGAGGCCTGGTGTTCGCAGGGCTGCCTGGTTCTGGCGGGGGCCGGAGTAGCAGCTCTCTGGCCGGATCTTTGATTCTCTGTTCTCTGGGGTTGCAATTTAGCTGCTGCAGGAGCCGTCACGTGGTCCCGCTCCGTGTGGAATATATCGTTGGGCCGGTCTCCTGCCCCTTGAGCGGCAGGCAAAAGATGGGGAGCGGAGAGTGATTGTGTTTGCAGCACAAAGAGGGAAATCAAGAAATGGGCCGAGGAGCAGGGAGGACGTGGGAGAAAAGCTAACAAGCTGCACCCAGCTCCAGGGTTTTGTTTTGTGGGGTGGGGGTGGCGGGCTGTATTTATTTAAGAAATTTATATGCTTCCCATTGTTCCAGAGGCCGCAAAAGGCAGTTTGCAGTATGGTGATTTAGTAAAACATGAGTTGCTTTGGGAGCAGAGGCAAGATATAAATTCTGCTAATAATGGGAATGATAAACATAGGGTTGTGTTATACGTAAATTCAGCTCAGAGTAGACCCATTGAAATAAAAGGATGTGAGTTCATCCTGCTGATTCATTTCGACAGCTATCCTGTGACTGGAGACGGCTCTCCATAACTCAAATAAAATTCAAACATTTAAAACACTTTTCATAAATACAGTTTGTAATAACGTGCAACACATAATAAGCACTTTTGGCAAGGTGTTGTTGGGGAACCTTTGTCCCCTGATTTTCTACTGTCAAGGTTGTTACTAGTATATTTATATCCTGCTTTCCCCCCAGATGGAGACTCAAGGGGGCTTTAGCTGGGGCGGGGGCAGGTTCTGTGGGACGTGTCTTTTATTTGTATAGATATGGTTCTTGGGTTTTATTTTTCATCTGTATTTGCAGTTGGCATTAGTGTTGGCAGTTGTGTTTGTAAAGTCACTTTAGGTCACTTTGTTGTGAGCTGTCCCTCCAAAGGGGAGGCCAACAAATTCTGAAAAGAAATATTCTCCCTCATGTGCTGGATAGCTTGGGAAGCACAGCTCTGGTTTCTAGTAGAAGGAATAGGATCTTGCAGCCTGGTGTGTGGGTTTATTATTATTATTTTTTAAAGAAAAATTGGTTTTCCATTCACATGCTTCTAGCACTGTGGGTTCTTGTAAGCCTCTTCTGATTATTCAGCAATATTGTCCCATTACGGCTTTGAAACCTCATTTCAGCACAATCTTTTCAGCCTCGGGGTTTTCACATGCCATGAAAGCACAAGACAGTTTATTACATGTTTCTGTGCATCTGGGGAAGGCCTCCCCCCCCTATTTTTTTCCTTTCCGGGACAGGCTGTAGCTATTGAATTTCAAGCAGTCCTGCATGAAGTCTAACTGATCCAGGAGAAAGAAGAGAAGCCTTTGTGTGTGTGTGTGTGTGTGTGTGTGTGTGTGTGTGTAACTATTTAGGAAGGAGAGGTTTTGAGCCTTGAGGATCACCTTTCAGCATGAAGCCAGATTTTATTCGTTTATTGATGTCTTATCCCTCTCTGCCAGGCATGTATGGGGTGTTAGGGGAGGGGCAGTACCCCTGATGGGGGACACGTCGTGCTCCTTCTGGGGTAGTTTGCCCGGTCCCCATGCTGCACACAGCTCTCTCTTGCGGCTCCTGGAAGCTGTCAGCATGTGACAGCGGCCATACCCCAGGAACAGCTTCTAAAAAAAAGGAAAAGGAACCCTAACAGTTAAGTCCAGTCGCGAACGACTCTGGGGTTGCGGCGCTCATCTCACTTTACTGGCCGAGGGAGCCGGCGTTTGTCCGCAGACAGTTTTTCTGGGTCATGTGGCCAGCATGACTAAGCTGCTTCTGGCGAACCAGAGCAGCGCACGGAAACGCCGTTTACCTTCCCGCCGGAGCGGTATCTATTTATCTACTTGCACTTTGACGTGCTTTCGAACTGCTAGGTTGGCAGAAGCAGGGACCAAACAATGGGAGCTCACCCCGTTGTGGGGATTCAAACCGCGACCTCCTGATTGGCAAGTCCTAGGCTCTGTGGTTTAGACCCCAGCTAAACCAGGTGAGGGTAGCCAAAGGGTCTCAAACTCTTAGTGAGTTAGGGGCTTCCCTTGCTTGTGAAGACAGGCTCCGGTGGATGGAGCAGATGAGATCAGTAGTGGGTCCAATGGTCAATAAGACAGTTTCTGCAAACTGTGGCAAGAGAAACTGATGGACTATGTGGAATTTGCGAAACTGACACACAAACTACGTGACAAGGACAACTGTGGCTTCAAAGAAGAATGGGAACCTTTTACAAAGTATTTAAAGAAACAACAAAATGAACTGGACTCCTTGGCAGGTTTTGAATAAACATTCACAAATTTTTCTTTATTGGCAATATATAGATAGATAAATCAAGGATTTATACATTTTTATAATATGCAGAGAACAATATTGTTGAGAAATCAGAAAGAGGAGCTGAGGGAAGTCTAGGGGGTGGGCCTTTCTTTCTTTGGGGAGGGGGAAGGGGAAAAAGGAGGGGGGAAAGAGGATGATGATGTATTTTTGATAAATTCTTATGTTGAAATTCCTAATAATTTTTTTTTTTTTAAAAAAAAGACAGTTTCTGCACATGCTGTAGAAGGAAGTGGGGGGCAGATGCAGTTCGCCCCCCTGTCATGGGAGCCCATTTTAGAGAAGGGAAACTCTGACCCTAAACCTCCACTGCCTTGCGGGAGATCTTTGGTAGAAGTAAAGGCCAAGGTGTAAACCCTACACAAATGCGGTGGAGTCCATAAGATGGTTGGGTGGCGTCTTGTACGCCTCCTTCCAGCAACTCCTGCAGCCAAGCTGGTGCCAAACGTCTTGCTCTGCTTTCCTTTGGACCAAGGTCGAGAGGGGGGTCTTGTCGTCTGGGCAGCCCTGGACCTCCATACACACTGCCCAGGCTTGTGCCCCAGGGAGGTCACTTGGGTGCTGCGAATACAGCAGTTTGACTTCACCCCCAGAGGCACACTCCGTTGTCTCTTGAGACAGATACCAACAGTCCCTCTCTGCCTCCTCTCGGGGCAGTGCTCCTGGGTCTCTTGAGGTCTAGATTCAGGTTTCCAGAACCTCCTTGCTAAAGTGTCCCACTATTGGGCTGCCTGGCCTCTGCCTCACCTGGCAGCAGCAGGCCCCTGTTTAAATTTCCCATTATGCCCTAAGCTCAGCTGATTTCAAACCGTTCGCCGTTGTGAAGTCAGGCCATTGACAGGTTGGCAGCCCTGCCTGCCTCTCAGATTTTGTCAGCAGAGGCGATGGGCGTGAGGAGGGGAAAGAGAAGCATCTGGCCAGCAGGCAGGATTCAAATTCCCACAATGCCCCAGAGCAACACTATGCCCACGGCATTGTGGGAAATCAAAATGGCCATGTGCTGCTGCTGCTGCTGCTGCTGCCATCAGGTTGCAGGAAGGTGCAAGAGACTGATATCAGGCACAGCTGGTTGGCTGGAGTGCTGCACAGGAGCGCTGCAAAATTTTGTTGCAGGCCCTACTGGTCACTACAGCTGCCAGGAACAGTGACCATTAGGTTGGCTGAAAACAAAATGCTGGTTTAGGTGGACTGTGTATCTGAACCAGCAAAGCAGGCTCTCTCACCCAGATTCTTAAACCCACAAAACCATTTTTATTTTTTTTACCAAAGAGAGATTGTGGTATCTATCTCCAAGGCAGTGCCTGTTTTTTTCCCTTTTTATCAGAAGGACTCCTTCCAAGTCCCTTAAAACTTATGGTCTGTAGCAGAGCTGGGATTAGACGTTGATGCCAGCCTTGATTTCCGCTTCCTAGAGCAGCGTGTGAGCCATGAAATGCTGCACGTTCCCTGTGTGCCAGAATGCAGTTGCATTAACACCTGTGCGTTTAATAGAGCTCTGCGGAGAAAAATTCCCCAGGGGGGTTGTCCTGCTTGAGGAGGCTTGCTTGCTCTGCGCTGGGCAGAGGCATAAAATAAGCTCCGCCATGCATCCTAATTAAAGGGCCCGAGTCTGCTCCTTTTGAAGCCAGCGACATAATCAGACCAAGGACACTGAGCTAACACCTGCCACCCTATATTGCTGCCTATAAAATGCAACTTGCACCCACAGGGTTGGTAATGTGCTGGGTTTTGCCATCGAGGCATCAATTTTTTATGTCTTGGAAGAAGGGAAAAATCCATTTTTCTTATCTTCCCAATCTCTCACCCCGCCCCCTCTTGTTCTTATTCTTTCTTCCTCGTTTTAGTATCTGTTTGCATTGCAAGTCTGCACGAAGGAACTTTGGCTTTGAAATGAAAATACAGCCATTTATTTCAATTCAAAGGAAGTGACCACAAATCCCTTCCTTCACTCATTCACCACAGGCAAGCCTCTCTCCCTTCTCTTTTGTCTGCTGTCTGGGGATAAAACTGACCTTCCTCACAGGGCTGTTGTGAAAGATTGATGGGCGGGTTAAAAAGTAGGTGGGGGGGGGTTGTCTAGGGGGCATGGGGGCACACATGCAATTGTCCCTTCTAACATCCCTGCCCTGCATGCAAACTCCTAACCTTCTTGGCCCGAAAGGGTCTTCTCAGAATGTTCATCTGAGTTCATTTGGAAGCTCCTTTCCAACCTTCATGATTCCATGTGCCAATATCTTCTGTGAGAGTAATGTGTGCCTGACTCCACAGCTGTCTTCACACATTCACTTTGAACATGTATGTGCGTGTAGAGGGCTTTGCTTCTCTGCATATCTGCTCACAATTAAGCCTCCTTTCCAGCTGTTGGCTGGGAGGTCCTGTTGAGCAAGAATGCCTGGAGGGGAATTCTAAGCACATTGGGCTGGATGCACTTATGAGCCTCTCTCTGTACCAGAGCACCCCCGTCATGCTGGTTTCCTGATTGCGGGGAACGTTCAGACTTTTCTGCTCAGTCTGGGGAGGTTGGTAGTGCAGGGGACAGGCTGACATGTGTGTGGGGACATTTGGGGTAGGGCTGGTGTCTGGGGTCCTACACCACATGATTTGACATACTACCATAGCTCTGTTCCTGAGCAGAGCATTGCCATAGTGTGTGCTGCCAAATACAGCAGTTCTTTCCAAGGATATCAGGTCAAAAAGGATTGAGGAGGTGGAAGGGGAACCAAAATAGTTTTATTAACAAATAAACAGCTGGCATACAAAACATAACATAAAACATACCCAACAGGGGCTACCCAATCTTCCCTTCAGCTGCCTGGAGCCCCAGGTAGAGCAGCAGGAGAAAGACCCTGCACGTCGGTCTCCCAGCATCAGGTCCTTTGATCTGGGCAGAAGCTCCTCAGGCCCCTCCCACCTATGGCTTTTATAGCCTGCCTTGATGTAATCAAGTGCCCCTGGTATTACTCATGATTAGCCCAGGACCCTGAGATGGAACTAATACAGAGTGGCTGAGAGTCTCCCACTACCTGCAGCCGGGCATCCAGCCAGCACTTGCAACATGGAAGAACCCAAGAAACTCCCGACAGGTGTGCGAAACACAAGAATCAAACTGGGGGTGTTAAAGGGAAAGGGACATGCCACCTAACTCCTCGAAATACAGTTGTCTTCCGCATTTCCACTACATTGTGTCACTTGTATCTTGAAGCCGATGCTGGAGAATGTGGATTCAGCATTTAAGTTGAAATGTGACTGCATTTGCTTGCACTCTTCCATAGCTACTCTTGCCCCTCCTGTTCCTCTCTGCTCTTTGTTGTTTTCCCCTAAGATTGTAAACTCCTTGAGGGCAGACAGCTTTTTGTATGCACACAAAACTTTGCCAACAACCCAGAATGCTTTGCATATTGACTGCGAGTGAGATTTGTATGTCAATAGTTCTGGCACTACCTTGTCCACAAAGATGCAGATGTTTTCTTGCTTTGGCTTTGCCCGCTAACAAGGAACATCTGCACAGCTTGCGGCCCACCAAGCGAGACAAGTCCACCACCCACAAATGGTGACCCAGAGGCTGTTTTTCCTGTCTGCTTTGGATTTCTAAAATCAGGATTGCAGGGGAGGAGGTGTTGGCAAGCACCTGGCCAGTCAAAACTGTGTGCACGCCTTGGTGCATCACAAATTATGGTAGCCCACTTTAAGAGTCTAACATTCAGCAGCACAATCCTATATTACATTACTTTCTGAAGACATCACACATTGAAAACATCCTGATCCAGGGCTGCCTTCAGATGTCTTCGGAAGGTAATGTAATTGGTTATCACTTGTGACATCTCTTTGCATGCTTATGTGGAAGCAAGTCCATTGAGATCGTTGCGTCTTCCTTCCAGGTATAGCACTGCAGGCTTGAGCATGGTTTTTTGGCTGGTGGGTGGTGACCCATAACAGGGTCCAGCGGCCCCCAACCTAAGGTGGGTCAGGCCACTAGCTCCAGGACCATTTTCATTCTTGATTTCTTCAAATTGTTCCAAGTACGAGGGGGGTAGCAGAAGGAGAGGGATGCAGAGGATGAGTTAAAAAGGTCTGGGAGTGGATTGGAAGAGATGGGAGAAAGACAAACATACAACTTAAAATCTTAAATGGGTCCCTTTTTGAATGTTAGGGGTAAAGATGAGGTCTTTGCCTGAAAAGGTTGAAGATGGCTATAACTGCATTCCTCAGTCTTTTACAGTGCAATCTTGGGTTTACTTTTCAGTAAGCCTTTCATCTCTCTCTCCTTTGAGAGCTAAAGACAGCCACAGAGCCAGACTACATTTAGGATCCAAGTCGGGAGATATGGCGACTATAGAGAGAGTAGCTATCTTGATGTTTTAAGTTAATGGCTAGACCGTGTAATGGGTGGTTGCAGACATCTCATCTCTGATGTCCTTGGCTATGAGAGAACACATCTAGGCAGCATCTGTATCTGCTTGGCTGCCTTCTTGCTCCTGGCAAGGCTCCTGAGCTCAGGTAGAACAGCATCTACATTTTGAGAAAGGGACTATATTGCTCTTTGAGGAGGTGAGGGGGGCATGCAGGAGCACAGCTAGATGATGAACAAACAGAGAGAAGAGCCACAGAGTCCTTGCAGGTTTGGAACCTGCAAATGCTGGGATGGGTGGCTGCGCAAGCAGGCTGGGACTTGTATATTGGGGGCGACTGAGGAGGAGGAAGAGGCAGGTGCCCAAACTCAAAGCCTGACTTGACAGTGAAGCTCACAAGGTGACTTTGGACTATCCTAGTCTACCTCCCAGGACTGTTGTGAGGATAAAATGGCGGGGGGTGGGGCAGATGGAAAGGACATAACCTCTTGGATATATTGGATATACATCATGCAAACTGGGCAACTTTCCATCATTTCTCTTATTTTTGCATAAATTATGCTTTAATTTTTAACTAGTTTCCATGATTTATTCTGCATAACTTTGAACTCTCTTTCCCCTGCCTGTTGGAAAGCACCACCAATTACTTTGAAGATGCAACTTAATGGGTTTCCTTGATTATTAAGCTGTGCCCTGTCTTTTTATATAACAATGCTTTATTGCATTTTTGTATTTTGTCCTACTGTTTCTGTAGTTTGCACAGATGGTTTATATATAGCCAAGGCTGTGGCAATGGGTGAATCAAGACCCTCTTGGGGTACTAATGCTGTGAACCTCTCCATTGTAAGCTCAGGTTGTATATATGTGTAAATAAACCATATATCATAACGACACCGCAGTCTCTACTGTCCCTTATTCTAATGGAAATACGAACCCTGGGTAAAAGCGCCTGGAACCCCTGGAATTTTGCACCACTTGGAGATTGGGATGGCATGCAGTAATATAAATCTCTAGTGTCAAAGGCCACAATAAAGATAAAGTGTCTTCAGCTGAAAGCTGTGTAGTGACAAAACCAGAATTCCACAACTTTGGGGCTACCACAGAGAATGCCCTCTCCCTGCAGATGCCAAGGTTAAGAGGGTCTAAGAGGGTCCATAGGGAAGGAGATGCTTTTTTCAGATACTTGGGGGTCTTAGTTGTTTAAGGCTTTAAACGCTAATGTGAGCATATTGAATTGGCCCCGGGAACAAGCTGGGTTTCACTGCTGCTGTTTCAAAACTGGGGTTATGCGAATTCTAAACAGAACCCCAGCCAGGAATCTGGCTGCTCCATTTTGGACCCGTTGAAGTTTCTCGTTCTTAGGCTTCTCCCAATACAAACTCAGCCCGGCCATCCCTTCCAACAGATGACAGTCCTCTCTAAAGTTGGACATGTGGCCTCTCCTTGGCCCATGCCCAACTCTAACCACTGCACTGTGTTGGCTCTGTAAATAATCACTACCGTATGGGAGGAGATGTGGGTCAGTGGTGACCGTGTACTCCCCCCCTTTCCTGGACGTGTGTAGTTGGCCTTTAGCCTTGTGTTGGAACCAGGCCTGAGCTGATGATGCTCAGAAGCCAAGTTTGAGGCTTGCAGTTTGCATTTTTCATTTTTCTGGCGGCTCAGACTATGGAAGTGCCTCCTGTCACAGTATTTCAGTATTTTTTTTTTCATTTTACTTTAAGACAGCAATGCACTCTTGGCTTCTCTTTCTGTGTGAAAAGGGCAAGATGGTTTTAGCTTTCACCTGGCTCTCTCTTCCCCTCTGTGCCGAGGCTAAATTGTCCTTCTGGGGTTTAAAAGATGTTTCCTCCTGTGGTTTTCTGCTGCTTCAGGAAATGGCTCCTCTGAGGCGTCTGTGGGTTGTCTCAAGCCACCCAGAGGAGGGGTCTGGCAACTCTTCCCTCCTTTCAAGAAGTGAGTAGCAACTTCGCAAGTGATGCTTGTGAAGATGCAGGTGAGAATCAGGTATCCTGGAGACTGATGGAATTGTAGCATCATTTTGTCGTCAGGATGTTATCTGTCATTCAGTCTTCACAACAGCAAAAGAATACTTTATTAGCTTAACTTAGGGTATTGCAGAGCATTCACAGTGCTTCATCCTAGGGGTGTGGAGAAGATTTGGAGGGGTCCCAAATAAAGAACGGAAGCAGACAATCTTTGGACACAGATTCAGCGCTTGTCCCGGCCAAAGCACCATCTCTCCACAGGGCTTTGAACTGAAACAGAGACCTCCAAAGCGCTTGCGACACTTGGAAATTCAGGTGCTGAAGAAACCCACACGCACTACCTGTCTGCAAAACCTGGAACATTTCTCCCCAAGCTTGCTACACAGGCATCTCCCCATTTAAAGCGGTAAAGAGACCCCTGACCATTAGGTCCAGTTGTGGTCAACTCTGGGGTTGCGACGCTCATCTCACTTTACTGGCCAAGGGAGCTTCTGGGTCATGTGGCCAGCATGACTAAGCCGCTTCTGGCGAACCAGAGCAGTGCAAGGAAACGCCGTTTACCTTCCCACCGGAGTGGTACCTATTTATCTACTTGCACTTTGAGGTGCTTTCAAACTGCTAGGTTGGCAGGAGCAGGGACCGAGCAACGGGAGCTCACCCTTTCGCAGGGATTCGAACCGCCGACCTTCTGATCAGCAAGTCCTAGGCTCTGTGGTTTAACCCACAGCGCCACCCATGTCCCTAACTCCCCATTTACGTTCACCCAATTGACGCACAACCCATGCATGCGTGCATCACCTCAAACCCAGAAGTGATTTTTAAAATGGTAGAAACTGCCCTAAAAGAGCCCAGAAAGGGCAAAAATAAAAAATAAAAAAAATCATGTGTGTGTTGGGGAGAACCCTGTGTTCTGAGCGGAGCTCTTTGGAGTAAGTGTTGGGAGAGATGTACAGTGGTGCCCCGCAAGACGAATGCCTCGCAAGACGAAAAACCCGCTAGACGAAAGGGTTTTCCGTTTTTCGATGCGCTTCGCAGGACGAATTTCCCTATGGGCTTGCTTCGCAAGACGAAAATGTCTTGCGAGTCTTGAGATTTTTTTTCGCTTCCCCCCCCTTTTTCTAAGCCGCTAAGCCGCTAATAGCCTTTTAGCCGCTAAGCCTTTAATAGCTGCTAAACTGCTAATAGCGCTAATCTGCTAAGCCGCTAATAGGGTTGCTTCGCAAGACGAAAAAACCGCTAGACGAAGAGACTCGCGGAACGGATTAATTTCGTCTTGCGAGGCACCACTGTAATAAATGAGTAAAAAAAGTTAAAGCCTGGCTAGTGTGTAGCCATGAAACCCCCCACAATTCTGCAAGAGATGTCCTCCCTCAGCAAAAAGAGCCACATGCCCATGGTTCTGCCGGCCCCCTTCCCTCTCTCTCACACACACATAGTGAGTTAGCATTGCAGGCTCTATTACAGTGGTACCTCGGGTTAAGTACTTAATTCGTTCCGGAGGTCCGTACTTAACCTGAAACTGTTCTTAACCTGAAGCACCACTTTAGCTAATGGGGCCTCCTGCTGCCGCCGCGCCGCCGGAGCACGATTTCTGTTCTCATCCTGAAGCAAAGTTCTTAACCTGAAGCACTATTTCTGGGTTAGCGGAGTCTGTAACCTGAAGCGTATGTAACCTGAGGTACCACTGTACATCTGAAAACTTTATTTTCTACATTTCCCCCTCTCCTCCCTTTTCTGCAGCCAGCCACCTCAGAGCGGAATCAGAGATACTCTGATGCTGCCTTTTCTCCACAAGCAGCATGCATGCTCTGGCTGACCGACAGCCTGGCTGCTCCCTCTGACTCCTCCTCTTTGCGTTCCTGTTCCTGGGCAGATATTCTGCACGCCGGCGTGTAGGCTGGTGAGGGACACGGAGCCCAGGTTCCTTCCTTCCCTGTACACGCCTGGGGTGCAAAGAGAGAGGGGAGGCATTCAGTTCCTTTGTCTAGACAACATCCTGGAGTAAGTCTGCCCAAACCGGGGAAATGTTTTGAGACGTGCTTTTTCTGACACCCTTGAGCCTCGGAGCTGCGGTGGTGGTTTGGAAGAGGCAGGACTGCTCTGTTGTGTCCTGTCAGCAGCTGTTCATAGCCAAACATCTGGCCTCCTGACAGCAGCAACATTCCAGGTGAACGCTAGAAGAGATGGGGTTAGTCACTGCAGAGATCTCTGCAGCGTAAGATCCCAGGGTGTGGTCTGAAGGCAGAGGAGGTGAACACCTTGCAGATGCTAAGAAGGTCCGGGTTGGGTCAGTGCCTGGATGGGAGACTGCATGGGAGAAACATGTTCGTTGCCTTGGGTTCTTTGCTGGGAGAAACGCGGGTTGCAAATGCAACAAAACGTACACAACCATAAATGGAGAGTGATGCTTACACTTTTCTGCAAGCGCAGAATTTGACAGAGAGCGAGAGGGCACAAGTTCCTGGTCCTCACGACTGAAAACAAACTAATGAAAATCGAATGCTGAATCTGACCCCCAGCACTCAACAGGTGGGATTCTATTGCGCTGCATAGCCAAACAGGTGGCAATAGCAGAATAATGGATTTCTGGAACAGCACATAATTTGGCTCTTATTGCAGAATTTTATGGCCATGTGATAGGGCTTATATTTATATAGCTTGAATTCGTCTAGCCCCTGACTTGCTTTGTAGGGGAGAAGAAATCTAAACCTGGCGGGGCCTTGCTCTTTCTTGCCCTCCCACCCCCGTTTTCTGAAGCAGTGCTTCAGCTGTTTTTATAGTATTCCCAAAAGCCAGTCTTTTCATCAGTATGCTTTGTAGCAATTGTCCAGCTGGGTCAAAGGGTCTGTTGGTTTTCTATTTGCCCTGGACCTTTGGCAATCTTTTCCAAGGGAGCTGATTGTTCTGGCCAGCTGTGAGCGTTTGTAACAACCCTGACGCCACATTCCAGAGGCCAGAAATGCATCTGCAGCAGCCAGAAAGATTTCCAAGAAATATTTAGACTTTGCAGATGGGTGTTTCCATCTCTCTCTCTCTCTCTCTCTCTCCCCTCCCTTCTCCTTTTCAGAATGTGTTTTGGCTGCTCTTTGCCTTCTGCTTCCAATAAAACCAGCTTAGTCCTCCCACACCCCCTTAGTATTTTTGTTCTGGGTGTCCTTCCCCCCTGTGTCTGCACAGACAGGGACAAAGGATCATCCTTATCTGTGTGGCCCTGACACATGCAATAGCTGAAGAGAAGTCAGTCACGCACAGTCAAGGGGAAGGGTGGGAAAAAGCGCAAAGAGGCTCACGCGCAGCTGATGTAACATCCACATCAGATGTAAATTGTTGCCTGCATGCCATTCCTGTTCACCTTTGGCTACCAGTGCTGATAACGCCAAGGTTGCAAGTTCAGTCCCTGTATGGGACAACTGCATTGCAGAGGGTTGGACTAGATGATCTGTCCCAACTCTATGATTCTATGATATAGATCAACATACAGCTTCCATCCCACCCAACAATCATCTCAGAAGATGAAGCAAGCCTTAGAACTGCCGGGGAATAGACGTAGTTCAGCAGTAGAACATCTACATTGCATGCAGAAAGACCTCAGATTCAGTCCCCAGCATCTCCAGGAACAAGCTGGAAGAGATCCCTGCCTGAAATTCTGGAGATTTGCCGACAGTTAGTTCTGTAAAGGTAAAGGGACCCCTGACCATTAGGTCCAGTCATGGCCGAATCTGGGGTTGTGGCGCTCATCTCGCTTTATTGGCCAAGGGAGCCGGCGTACAGCTTCCGGGTCATGTGGCCAGCATGACTAAGCCGCTTCTGAAGAACCAGAGCAGCGCATGGAAATGCCGTTTACCTTCCCACCAGAGCGGTACCTATCTATCTACTTGCACTTTGATGTGCTTTTGAACTGCTAGGTTGGCAGGAGCAGGGACCGAGCAACGGGAGCTCACCCCGTCGCGGGGATTCAAACCACTGACCTTCTGATCGGCAAGTCCTAGGCTCTGTGGTTTAACCCACAGTGCCACCCACTTCCCATTTGGCTACCAGGCTAGTGCTTAAATGCAAGGCAAATTCACAGAGGACAAGGCTCTCAATGGCTACTAAACATGGATGGCTGTGCTCTGCCCACTTGGCTGGAGGTAGTAATGCTTCTGAATGCAAGTTGCTGGAAACCACAGGAGGAGAGAGGGCTTTGGTGGGGCATCTGGTTGGCCACCGTGAGAACAGGACGCTGGAGTAGCTGGGCCATTGGTCCGATCCAGCAGGCTCTTCTTACCTTCTTAAGGCTTCTGCAAGCTATAATGATCTCTAATGTGATGCCCTGCAAATCCAGCTTTTGGCTTCAAAGGGTTGGGATTTTGCTGTACCCTAAGGACTTCTCCACCCTTGCTAATTTAATCTTGTTTACTGCAGTTGATTAACTCAGGCACAGCGCTGCTGCTAGCAGTATGCTTCTACAGTGGTACCTTGGGTTGCATATGCTTCAGGTTACAGACGCTTCAGGTTACAGACTCCGCTAACCCAGAAATAGTACCTCGGGTTAAGAACTTTGCTTCAGGATGAGAACAGAAATTGTGATCCGGTGGCGCAGCGGCAGCATGAGGCCCCATGAGCTAAAGTGGTGCTTCAGGTTAAGAACAGTTTCAGGTTAAGTACGGACCTCCAGAACAAATTAAGTACTTAACCCGAGGTACCACTGTAAAAGCTTTTCCTCGCACATGATTGAATCTTCTTCACTATAGTTGATGGACTCACGAATGTTACCTGTGTTTATTTTTTGAAATCCCAGACCACGCTGAATTAGATCATTTCCCAAGTGTGCAAGACCCTATTGTTTTTATTTGTTAAAGCGGACTGGAAGTGGAGACAGGAAAGAGCAGTGAGGTTTTTTTGGTTTGTGGATAGCCCTAAATTATATGAAACTGCGAAGATCCAAGCAGACCACAGAGAGCTCCCAAAGGATCTCTCCAAATTGGGCAAACGGGCCACGAAATGTCAAAAGATATTCGTTCTGTGTTCCAAGTGATTGTTTTTAGTAAAATAAAATAAATCCCTAATTTCACATGGCATTGATGGGGGGTCTGACCAGGAAAGAGATTTTGGCATCATGGTAGATTGCTCAATGAAAAAGTTGATCCAGTATGCATGAACCGTGTGATGTCTTTCTATACATCTGTGGTCCTGACCTATTTGGAATATTGTGTCGTTCTGGTTCCCGCTTTTCCAATATATGCAGTGTTGGAAAAGGTGAAGAGAAGAGCAACCGAAATTCAGTTTAATTTATTGCATTTATGTTCCATGTTTTTCTCCAAAGATCTCAAAGCGGTCTGCATGGTTCTTCCCCATCCCATTTAAAGTTCTCAAGGGGTCAGAGCACATCATCCCAGAGCTATGGTTCCCAATTGGTGGTCTGCGGAGGCACATCCCCATCAATGGGGACATCCTATTTTGGGGGGCTGTGATCTCGCAAGGGTCATGTGACTCGCATGGGAGCACGGCCCAGTTTTGCACTGGGGAATGTTGGAAGGTATGGTGGCACCATTCACATGATAAAAACTGGCAAAGAGGTGTCAAGATTTTCAAAAGTAGGGGGTCCATAACTTGGCTTTTGAAAAACAGGGGGTCCACGGTGCTTAGCTAATTGAGAGCCGTTACCCTAGAGGAAACACTAAAGGCATTTGGTTTTTTCTAGTTTTGGGCTGACTAAGGCAGGGTTCACAGAGGGTTGGTATACAGTATATTGATATTTTACAAGATTTATTTACCTTTTTTTAACACTCTGAGTGGTTTACATATTCATAATCTTTCTTATTTATTTTATTCATCCATAAAAGCATTCCTTTACTGCTGTATCATGAATTATCAGGGTGGTGTACAACAAATAATAATAATAGTAATAATACTACAAATAATCATTAAAGTCACTGGCTAATTAAACAGCCACAAAGGCCTGCTGCCATTTAAATAAAAAATATTCAGGAGATGCCTGAAAGTCAAAAGTGATGTTGGCTTCTGGTTGAGGCTGTTATGACTGCAATACCAATAAAATCAAACAAGTAGACATAATAAAACAGAACATTCAAGATAATGGGCAGAGTGGATGAAGCGAACAGAGAGAGATTTCTTTTACAATATTAGAGCCCAGGGTCATTCAGTGACGCTGAACGTTGGCGGGAGTTCGGGATAGACCAAGAAGGAGGTGATCTTCACGCAGCCCATATGGAATTTGCTACCACAAGGTATGCGTGAACATCTCTGGGCTGCTTTGAACAGGGATTTAAGACATATTCGTGGAGGATAAGGAGCTCTAGATGGTGTATGTGGTTCTCACAATAACCCTGTAAGGTACCGTATTTTTTGCTCTATAAGACTCACTTTTTCCCTCCTAAAAAGTAAGGGGAAATGTGTGTGTGTCTTATGGAGCGAATGCAGGCTGCGCAGCTATAACAGAAGCCAAAACAGCAAGAGGGATTGCTGCTTTCACTGCGCAGGCTTCTGAGATTCAGAATATTTTTTTTCTTGTTTTCCTCCTCCAAAAACTAGGTGCGTCTTACGGTCTGGTGCGTTTTATAGAGCGAAAAATACGGTAGTTTAGGCTGAGAGACAGTGGATGGCCCAAGGTCACCCAGGGAGCTTCATGGTTGAGTGGGGATTCGAACCCTAATCTCCCAGGTCATAGCCAAACATTCTAACCATGACACCTTGCTGACTGTGCAGTATACTACTTCCAGAATCAAAGGTAGCATGCCTCCAAGTACTAGATGCTGGAGAAGAACAGCGAGAGAGGGCTTTGCACCACTTCCTGCTTTTGGTCTTCCTGGAGGCATCTGGTTGGGGGCTGCTGTGGGAAGCAGACTAGATAGACCTTCAGTCTGAGCCACCAGGGCTCTTCTTACCGCTTTAAACACTGAATTCACTTCCTGTGTTTAGAAGAGGGAAACCGAAGGCCTTCTTCCAAAACCATCCCGTGGCTTCGGTGCAATTATAGACAGAAAGTTGAACGGCGCCCAGGAGCTGCCGTCTGAGGTTTTATACCTCGAGCTGCCCGAGGGTCACTGAGCACTGAGTGTGACACAGGGCTGCATCTGTATTGCAGCACTGTTACTGAAGGATAGAAACAGCAACAGGCGAGAAGTGAGTTGGCTGTAGCCAAAGTCCAGTTGCAGTCATGTTCGTATGACGAGGTTGAGATGACAAAGTTGGCTCCAGAGGGGGGCTACCACGTGCTTTCCACATCCACCCCAGGGTTCGAAATTAGCAGGGCGCCAGGCGCATTTCACACCTAAAGATTCTTCATTTGCGAGCACCTCAAAAAGCTTGGGTGCCATTTTTTGCACATGGCTGACAGTCAAGGATTACTGAAACGTATGTGCTTTGAAGCCTCAAAGTACCGTGGTACCTCGGGTTAAGAACTTAATTTGTTCTGGAGGTCCGTTCTTAACCTGAAACTGTTCTTAACCTGAAGCGCCACTTTAGCTAATGGGGCCTCCCGCTGCCGCCACGTCGCCGCTGTGTGATTTCTGTTCCCATCCTGAAGCAAAGTTCTTAACCTGAGGTACTATTTCTGGGTTAGTGGAGTCTGTAACCTGAAGTGTCTGTAACCTGAAGCGTCTGTAACCCAAGGTACCACTGTATATGTTAAGGAGTTTAACAACAGAGAGTAGAGTGTTTTGGAAACTAAAGCATGGTACCAATATTTTTTGTGGTAAACACATTAAACATGTATTAACCATTTCTGTTAAAAATGTGATATTAACAATGTGTCACTTAGGTGAATTGCGTATTAGTTCATGCTTATCAAAATAATAAATAAAGTGTTGCTGACTCTCTCCCCCCTCCCAAAATGGCAACTAAACATTCTGTTTTGGCGCCCACAGCCCAGGTCCCAGGAGCCATTTGGCTCCTAGCTTTTCTATTCCAGTTTCTAATACTGATCCATCCATGGGAACCTTTATAAATGTGTGATATGGCCCTTCGTACCACCTTCTCTCCCAGCATCTCTAGGTAAAAAGATCTCTGGTACCCTTGTACGCCTCCTTCTGGGAAATCCTGCATCCCAGCTGGTGCCAGACATCTTGCTCTGCTTTCCTTTGGACCATATCAGTGAGTCTGGGGGGGGCGGGTCTTGTCATCCGGGCTGCCCAGGACCTCCATATTCAATGCCCAGGCTTGTGCCCCGGGGAGATCACTTAGATGCTGCTAACGCAGTGGTTTGACTTCACCTCTGGAGGCGGACTCCATTGTCTGTTGAGGCAGTTGGAGGCCAACATAACCAGAGCTGTCAAAGACCTCTCTCTCCCTGAGAACCTGGGGCAGATTGAGGAGCCATTGCTGGCTAGGTGGCCCAATGGTCTGAATCAATGGTTCTCAAAGTGGGTGGGTGGGGATTACCTAGGGGGACGCTGGAGTTGTAAATGACTATCAGGCTTTGAAAATCTGGTATCAATGGATCAAGTTCACCAGTGTTGTTAAATTAATTAAACTTAGTAGTTTTAATTGGATTTTGAATAAAATGTGCAATCGCTTGTTACTGTTTTGATTTTTAAAAAATTGTGTTATCATCTTCCTTAGCAGGTTGTTCAGACTGCTATTCTGAATAATGCTTTTTGCAGGCTAGGGGGAACTGGGGATAGGTTCATGAAACCAAAGGGTTGGTGGCCCATAGGAGTTTGGGAACTGTTGCTCTGATTGCTGTATAAGGGAACTATATTATTGTTTATTAGATTTGCATACCATCCCTCATCCACAGATCTCAGGGCAGTTCAAAATATAAAATTACAACACAGAAACCACAAAATTCGTAGTGAAAATAAGAACAACAAACAGCAATCCCTGCTCCCACAACACATTTAAAAGGGCATCGGATGTCATTTACTCAAGGCCATGTTGAAGAGGAACGTTTTCACCTGGAGCCTAAAGGTGTATAATGAAGGCTGCAGACGAACCTCCCTGGGGAGCCACCACAGAAAAGACCCCGTTCTCGTGTTGCCACCCTCTGGACCTCATGTGGAGGAGACACACAAAGAAGGGTCTCAGAGGATGATAACACAATCTGGGTCGTTTTATATGGGGAGAGGCGGTCCTTGAGGTATTGCAGTCCTGAGCCCTTTAAGGCTTTATAGGTCAAAACCAGCACTTTGAATTGGGCCTGGAAGCTAATTGGCAGCCAGTGCAGTCAGGCCAAGATTAGTGTGGTAGTCTCAGACCGTTTTGGCCCAGTGAGCAACCTGGTTGCAAAATTCAGGTGCAGTCCTATGTACAAGATGTTGCAGTAATCTAAGCTAGAGGTTACCAGATCACAGGCAACAGTAGTTCCTGGGTTCATGTGCTGCCATGACTTCTGTGTTCTGGTGAGAAATTGCCAATACCGCAGTGACCTTTGCCTTGAATACCTGGAGGATCAAAGTCCGTCAATAATGAAATAAGTCACTGGGTCTTCTAACGTCCCTCCTTTATGTATTTTGCTTCTGATTCTGTGTCGCCGGTGGATTCCAGGGAGCTTAACTGGAAACCTGGTGCTCTTTTAACCAGCAGGAGTTAAAGCCCTTTGGAGAAGACTGGCTGCAACGGAAGCCCTTTGGGGATTTCTTTTTTAATTCCTTGTTTTCCTTTCCCTTGCAGCTGTGTAAATGAGTATGGAAGATTATGACTTTCTCTTCAAGATAGTTTTAATTGGGAACGCTGGCGTGGGGAAGACCTGCTTAGTGCGGCGGTTTACTCAGGTAAGGTGGCATTTTAGGGTTGTTGATGCTTTGGGCGGACAAGAAGGACAGGACAGATGTGTACACAGCACATTCATATATGTGTTAGTAGCTAGGACCCAGGAGAATCTCGGCCATCTTCTCCTGGTATGAGGCAGAACTGTACCATCAGCTAATTCCCCCCTGGCCTCCTCACTGGCCCAAATAGGACTAATTCAGCCAGCTAGCCCTGGTGATTATCTAATGTTTATTAAATGGATTTCACCAAAATTGATTTCTGAACTTTGAATTTTATTGTTATTCATGTTTTTATACTGTATTTTATGCTGCTTTTACAATTAAGTGTTTTAAATTTGTTGTTAGCTGCCCTGAGCCCGGTTTCTGAACCGGGAAGGGCAGGGTATAAATAAAAAATTATTATCATTTATTATTATCATATAGTAAGAGAGGGCATCAGCCAACGCAGGAGTGGCTTGCCTGTGACCTTCCGGGTGTTCCCATATACTTGTATCAGGGTGGCCAGTCTGGCGATCTCCCTATGTTTCTGGACTCCCAACTCCCATCATCCCCAGCCAGATTGGCCTCTTGTCAGGGATGATGGGAGTGGGAGTCCAACAGCATTTGAAGGGCTGCAGGCTCTCCATCTTTGAACTGCAGTCTCTGCTGCTGCTTGTGCTGCTGCTGCTGGGTTTTGGGGCAGGATGAACCTCAAGGGTGAATACAGGCCGGGGAAATCCTGTTGGACCATGCACATCGTTTGAGGATTGCAGCATCAAACAGGAACTTGGAGGTTTTTAAACAGAGGATGGATGGTGATCCGCTGGGGATTCTTTAGCTGTGGTACCTGCATCGCTGGGGGGTTGCAGGGGCTTGCAGAGCCAGGCAGAGGCCCGGGCCAGGTAGATAATGTGCCCCCCTTTTTTTTACCCTGGGGATAGCTGAAGTCTTATAAATAAGTAAGTACAGTGGTATCTTGGGATGCGAACAGGATCCGTTCCAGAGCCCCGTTCGCATCCAGAAGCAAACGTAACTGGTGACGGCACATTTGCGCACATGCGCGTCTCTTTTCGCCGCTTCTGTGCATGCATGTGACGTCATTTTGAGTGTCTGCGCATGGCGAGCGGCGAAACCCGGAAGTAACGCGCTCCGTTACTTCCGGGTTGCCGCAGAGCGCAACTCGAACATGCTCAACATGAAGCATATTCAACCCAAGGTATGACTGTATATAAATAATTTTCACAAAAGTTATGCTGACAAATAATTTTATTTCAAGGCTTTAACCATATCTGCATATAAAGACAAAATGGAAAATATAGTTATTGCGATTGTGAATATGCTGACTAAGGCCCCCTTTGGAATCGGAGGCCCGGGCCAAGTGGCCCATATGGCCCCCCCTCTGTCTGGGCCTGGGGGGTGGGACTAGATGACCAAGTTGCAGGGGAGTGTTCTCTTGTGCTGCAGACTTCCTATAGGATGCAGACCCAGATGGGCTCTTGTTATATTTCTATGAGCAGGTGATGCCACTTTGGTGGAAGGAAAGTAATAACAGAAAACTGGCTTTCCCCTTCCCTTTCTGTGCAAGAAGACATTGAAAGGGTCAGCGGCGACATTGCATTTGCCTGGTAGAAAGGAAGTTCTTGCCGAGTGGTTGCGTAACGCACGGAATGTTTCTTGGCAGTTCTGCATCTTAAACAGTCAGCACTTCTTCCCCGTGGAGACCTTTCAAAGAATGTGCCTGGAAATATTCTCTTTTCTATGGGCAGCCTGCCATGGGGGATGGAGCGAAGTTGACCCCCCACCCCTGGGGAAGTGGGGGTGGGGAATCAAAACACCAGCTTATCCACTCCACAGCCCGTCCCTGTAAGTGTTCCGAGGGATGGAGGTGTCCAACAAAACAAGAGGAACAAGTTGTGGTGCAGAGCTAACAAAAGAGGCAGCTGGTGCTTTGCTTGCTTGCTTGCTCTGTTCCAACAGCGCCGACTTAAAATTCTGCTGGGAGCACTGCAGACTGACTGAACTCGCTGTGATTTGGTGGTTTCTGGGAGACATCTCCAGGTGATTTGTGTTCCTTTGCAAGGAACATAAATCTTGCTTGCTGCGCACACGGGGGGAAAACAAAACCACCCAAACATCTCTTCTGTATAAAAAGTTGCGGGGAGGTGAGAGAGAATCTGCACGTATTTCACTTTTGAGAAATACTGGGCTTTTCAGCTACCTCTCATAGCTTCCAAACATTATTATTTTTTTGCTCCATTGGGCTGGTCCTCCATGTCAGATGGGATTTGCACAACTTGGTCCCCCATCTTCTGAAAAACCGGCCGCAGAACAGTAGCTTGGGGGGGGTGTTGTGAAGTGGTTTCTCTGAGCTGGACGAGGGAAAACAGTGTACGAGAAATCCAAATGAAATCCAAAGTGTGCAGCTCAGGAGAGTATTGGCCATGCGTTTTACGAAGGGAGGACAGTGTCCCCAAGGGACTCTGGAGACCATCTGTGCACGGAACTGCAGATGTCAATTCCTTGGCCACGTTCCCCAGCCACTGAATGATGCCTCCTTGCCTGCAAAAAACCTAGAATTGGACCTGTTGGTGGTGCCTCATTGATTGCCATTATGCTGCAGGGCTGTTGCCTTGAGCAAAATTCTACTGTTGCAGGAAATCTGAAAATTTCCCTCTAGCCTTCCGTAAAGAAGAGATTCAGAAGAGGCATGTAATGACACAGAGCCTCAAGTCAGAACATTGATCGGTGTTCACAAGATTCTTCCACTAGGACAATGGCAGTGTGAAATGTCCAACATTCCTTATGCTGAAAATGATTTATGAACAATGTTTGTTTTCCCTTCTCAAGGGTCTTTTTCCACCAGGGCAAGGTGCCACAATCGGCGTTGACTTTATGATTAAGACAGTGGAGATCAATGGTGAAAAAGTAAAGGTAAGGGTTTGCTTGGTTGTTTTCCTCCACTTTGAGTTGATTTGACATAAGGAAAAACAGTTTTCTCTGTTAAAATATATGACCACTCAGGGAAATACCTGGGATCTTGGGATTGGAACTCTCATATTGGCGCCATGTTGTGTGATGTATGAAAACTCTGCATCCTATGAGTTTCCCCTTCATATGGAACTTCCCTGTGGCAGCAGTGGGGATTCCCATAGAAGGATCTCATTTCCCCTGTCTTTCACTCTGCCTCATCCTCTGCCCCCCACCTCCTATGAACCAAAGATCAGGTCTCCCAATCAATTGGGAGAAAGCAACTAAGAAAGAGACTGTAGAGGAAAGTGGCTGGGAGGCTAGGGGTTAAGCATCTCACTCTCCCACCTGTGGCTTCTCTCTACTGAAAATCCCTCCTGGCGCTTGCTTTGCATGTTGGAGGTGAATGTTGGCGATCCAGAGTCTAATAAATGGCCTTTACTACTGGGCTTAGCTGGCAACCTATAAGTATATTGGCGGCTTTGGAAGGGGTATTGTGAATGGTTGCTATAGCACGGCAAGTGCAGATTGCCTAAGGGCCCCTCCAGGCACTCTTTTTATTGTGCATTCAATATTATTTGTGCCTATTATGCTATTAGGTTGGTTATACATGCTCTCACTTTCAGCAATATTTGCACCTGCAAAGGTTTTCATAAGGACACCCAGCTTTGCTTCAGATTGGTGCATGTCCTTTAACTTCCTGCTGAAATATCTTATATTCTAGGGTTGCCATATTTAAAACACTGTAACTATGGACAGAAAAGTTGTTAAGCTTTTTGGGAGGGGAGGGGAGGGGGCCAAAGTTGTTGAGCTTTTTGGGCAAAATTGCTTTATGGGCTCCCATACATCTAAGACATTTCCCCGATTTCCGTACAGACGTATGGCAAGTTTTCTGGGGGAGCATTGTAGAGCAACTAATAGAGTAGAGTGATATGTGGACTGTGCAGTATAAATCCAGCACTAATGCAATATTGTTGGATTCAATGACATGTTGCAGAATACACCCGGGGGGGGGGGGGAACCTACCAGTCTGGAGGGGCCCTAAGTTGTTGTAGGGCAAGGGTAGGGAACCTTTTCTGGTGGGCAGCCCGTTCCTTATCCCAGTCCCGGAAGGGCTGCCCACCTGCCCAGTTACATTCCCCCATCACTTTGCATGCATATGCAGTATCCACATGAGGCTGGTTCCAAGGAGAATCACCGGGGATGTCATGCATACATACATAATTTTATTTGTATGTCACTTTTCCATAGATGAAACCATGCTCAAGGTGGCTTTAAAAGAGTTACATAATTACAGACATAACAAAAGTAGTAATAAACAATAAAGTATCAAAAATACACAACCAAAATTAAACAATTTCCCCATAAAATTCAGAAGATCTAAAATAAAGATACAAAAATTAGTATCATTAACAGCGACAGCCCCCCTCTCAACAACCCCCCCCAAATACCCCAGCCCAAGAGTCATCTCAGCTTCATGCCTCCTGTTGTAAATCTCAAAATGCAGAAAGGGTTGTGTCTGTGTCATAAAGTAGACAGGGCACGAGAGAAGTTTGTATCATCACGAATCATGGAAGGAGCTAAGAGAGAGCGATCCATCCCTTCCGTTTCTCCTAATAAAGTTCAGGGTGAAGCCGTGGGCCTTTTGACATGTAATACAACCTTGTTTTAAACAGATCCAGCAAGGCACTTTTCGACATTCTTAAAACGGGGTTGGGTTTATCGGGTGGCATACGGAAGAAATATTGCCTACGTTGAGACATTCTCGGGAAGGAAATTGGGGTCAATGAGACATTCTAATTGAGGATTTTGTACTAATGCAGTCGCTTTCTCCTTCCCACCCACCCACCCCAATCATTTTTCCTCCCTTGTTATGGGAAAAAAAGCTGCAGATCTGGGACACGGCAGGACAAGAGCGATTTCGGTCCATTACTCAAAGTTACTATCGCAGTGCTAATGCATTAATACTGACCTATGACATCACCTGCGAAGAGTCCTTCCGATGCCTCCCAGAGTGGCTGCGGGAGATAGAGCAGTACGCCAGCAATAAGGTCATCACCGTCCTAGTGGGTAAGAGGCATTGATGCAAGGGGAGCCTTAATAGCAAATCCATGGGTGGCAGAGTTGGGCAGGGGGAGTTGGAGCACAGGGCCACTGGAAGCATTGGCGGAAGGGAGATATGTGTGGCCTGCCTTCTTTGGACACAGCTATGCGCTGCGCTAGGCTTAATGCCAGCGATTTTTAGCAAGGATATGGAGGCCCAAGGTCTCAAAACGGCTCCTGGAGCAGTTTTATAGAGCTGTTGATTGCCGTTGGCAGATTTTATTGGAGTAGTAAAGAGGCTGCATGCAGCCAGGGCTGGTCACTTCCAAGGAGCGCAGGGAAGGAAGGAGAAAGAGAGTCCAGAATTCCACGCTTCACCTCTCTTACGAGTTTTGTATGGCATGATGGCAAGCCCACAAATTGCAGTGTTTTCTTAACTTAACCAAGCAGCCTGCTCCCCATGCCCATTTCCAGTGTTCAGAGGTGACTGACGTTGCTTATGCAGGCAAAACACCAGTATCTGTGCACAGGAAGGAAGCATCTGCAGGCTCAGGGAAACCCCAAGATTTGCCCGTACCCAAAAAAACCACACTACCCTTTAGGGAAACAGTGCAAAAGGGGAAGGGAGAAACAGCTTCCCCAAAAACATAGCTGAATGAGAAATGCATTAGCTTAGTGGCCATGGAATGCTTTTCTTTGTGAGGACCGAGGGAGCAAATGGCGAGGGAGGATCAAATGGAGTCTCCAGAACTGGAGTATCCTGCAAGGCAATATTTTGTTGCAGCCCCCACTAGTAGCTCAGAAACCCATGGTTGCATCTACATGCTCTTTTTGCACTGAAATTTTATTCTGAATACCCAGAAAAGTAATGTGGTTCTCCCACACACACACACATACCCCCCCACTGCTCCTAGGAGGGCTTACTGGCTAGACAATTCCCCGTGCTGGGTCGCATCTTCTCCTCTGGCTCCTTTTCAAATGGAAACTCTTCCAGTCATTTAAGTGTGTTGGGACAGGGGTACAAAATGGGCACCAGGGATTGTACAGATATATTGACCACTTTGTTATTAAAAACAAACTACAACAAAACTTAAGGCTTTCCTTCCTGTTTGAAATAATTGGACTTGATGATAGAAGGCAGATGCTTTAGTTGAGATTTCTGCATTGCAGAGGGTGGTACTAATTGACCCTCAGGGTCCCGTCCAACTGTACAGTTCTACCATTCCAAGATGAGCTAGTTATCAACTTTTTGGGTTTAGTTAGGGCAGCTGGCCAGCTGCAATGGCACCGCGGCTGCTTCTCATTGGCTTTGTGCTTGCAGCCTAACAGTATGAAGCACATTTACCCCTTGAATACGGACAAGGGACAGGGAGAGAAAATGGGAGGTGTGCAGAGCTGCTGCTCACCTCCTTTAGGTTGCAGTAGTGCCCATACCTGGGAACGTGGGGTGTGGATGACACATCTGGAAGTGGGAGATATAAATTCTGGTTTTGTGCCCCTCCTCCTTCCTGCTGAGTTCTGCAAAGGCGATGCTGAGAGGGGTCAGCAAACTTTTTCAGCAGGGGTCTGGTCCACTATCCCTTAGACCTTGTGGGTGCCGGACTATATTTTGGAAAAATAAATAAATGAACGGATTCCTGTGCTCCACAAATAACCCAGAGATGCATTTTAAATAAAAGGACACATTCTACTCATGTAAAAACATGTTGATTCCTGGACCGTCCGTGGGTCGGATTTAGAAGGCGATTAGACGAGATCCGGCCCCTGGGCCTTAGTTTGCCAACCCATGGCTGAGACTAAGGAGGAAGCCAGCAGCCTGAGCTGGTTATAAGAAGGCAAGCAAGGTGGGGAGTAGTTGAGGGTTGGTGGGTCAGTGCCCCATTCATCCTAATGGACCAGCCTCCACTGCTCTGTAGGGTGGGGTTTTTAGTTTTCGTTGGCTTCTGCTGCCTGCAGCCAAGCTAATCTCCTCCGTCTGCTTTGTTTACGCAGGGAACAAGATTGATTTAGCGGATAAAAGAGAAGTCTCCCAACAAAGAGCGGAGGAATTTTCCGAAGCCCAAGACATGTACTATCTGGAGACTTCGGCTAAAGAATCGGATAACGTGGAAAAACTCTTTCTCGACTTGGCTTGCCGGCTGATCAGCGAAGCGCGGCAAAACACGCTTGTGAACAATGTGGAATCCCCGTTGCCCGGGGAAGGGAAAAGTATCAGCTATTTGACTTGCTGCAATTTCAACTGATAACCAGTCGAGCCCCCGAGGGTTATGACTCTTCTTTCTCGCCAAGGCCTGTCTTGACAAAGGCCGCTCCTGCCACCTCAACCCAATCTGACTGGCGGATGTCGTCAGGTTCACAACCTTGAAGCATGGCAGGCTGGCCACTTCGCCTGCGGGGTCAGCGTAGCAGAAATATAACCTGGTTTAATTTTTTTAAGATATATATACACACACACACAAATATATATAAAAATGTAATTCCCCTGTAATCTGGAGGTGGTGAGGATTCACAAGGGTGCTCTAGGTATCCGATGGCAAGCGGAAGCCAGGTCTTCGTTTCACTTCCAGGAAGCAACTAGGGAAACTTCCTTGGAATTACTGAGTAATGCAAGTTCTCTCTTGCACCATTTCTCTCCCCCCCCCGACCTTTTAATAAGTGTAATGCACATTAGCCATCATGCAGCTGTCATGGCCTGCCAGCTAAGCAATGACCTGTGTATATAGATAAGGCCCAAATCATTTGGTTTCTAGGGCACAGCCCCTGAAAATATGTTTCTTTTGGGGGGTGGGGGTGGGAAATAAGTGTTAATGCCTCTCATGTCCATACACTTTCATCGACATGGAAGTTAAAAATAGAAATGCCAATATTTTGAAACCAACAAGAGTGGAGATTGGCTCTCTCACTTCTTTGGGTACTAATAGTTTGGCTAACTTTTCCCCCAGGCGAAATTTTAGATGCGATCCATAACTGCCCGCTCTGTTTTGTACAGAAGCCAGGAACTGTTCACTAGAAAGCACCAATTGTAAAACAAACAAACAAACAAAAAACCCCTTTTTGCTGGTAGAAACAAATACACCACAGGTCTCATTTTGCCTGGATGCTGTTTCTGTGGGTTGAAAGAGTTGGTTTTAGCTTATTAAAGAGGAGTATTAAAAATCCTCTGTGAACATGACCTGAACAAATAAGTGTTCTGAAGTTTGCAATTAAAATCTTGCACCGTCCTGGCATGTAGTGGAGCTTTCTGTTCCCACTTTCCATCATACGGAAATGACCCGATGAAGGTGTTTTGAATATAGTTAATTATTTCGGGAGTTAGCAGAAATAGTTCCAGGACTGGTTCATTGGAATGCTGGGTAACTTGGGAATTTGGACAGCAATATAGAATTGTCTGTTTAAAGGCATATTACAACACAAGGATTCTGAGATTTTTGGGGGGCTGGCCAAATGTATCCATGTGTTCACTTTAAGCACAGATGCCACTTGTGGTGTGCACTGCTAAATGTAAAAAAGAAAGTGTGAGGAAGACCTTACCAAAGGAGTAAAACCCCAAGATAAGTCCTGATAATAGCTGTCCAGAACAGCAGTACAGTCTGCAGAAGGATCGATACTGAGCGTGCTTTTAATTAAAGCAGAAGCAGCCGCCGCCACGGTACTGGACTCAAATCCATTTGTGGAAATGTATTTCTCATTGGGAAGCGAGCGCACAATTTCATAGGGTTTTTATATGCTTTAGGAATAAAACAGAAAATGGCAGCGCATGTTCTGATCTTTACTGAGGCTGCGACCATCTTGCAAAGCTGTAGCTCCTAAGAAGCGAATTCAAATTGCAGCGTCAAAAAGCCTTCCTTTATAATGTAGTCGCTTGCAGGCTCACGATTGTAGTTCATCTAATTTGTCCGCTGCGCTCTCCTGGGCTCAACTGTGTGTGCGCGTGTGTATCTGTATGTAAAACTCTTGGCTTGGGCATTCCCCTCAGTCCCAAACCACGAAAGTTGGAAGCAGTGTGAAATGTGTCCTGCCCTCATCTCCATTGTTACTGCACCTCTTGTGCCATGCTCAAAGAACGCACCCAGATTCTGCAAATTGGATGCTGGAAGAAGAATCACAGGGGCAGAGATGGCCAGCTTTTTTCCTCAGATCTTGGTGTTGACTCGCTTACCCTGCAAGGAAGGGCGAACTGTCTGGTTCATGATGGACCTGCAATGGATTGTAATTTTAGTATTAATTCGCTGGTTATTCTGTATTTAGTATTAATTAGTTCAATTATGTGCAGAAGAAGAATGGGCACTGTTTGCTGGGGACTCGACAGGTGCATCTCCCCTGGTGAAAGGGGAACATGTGAAAAGGCATGGATACATGATGCGCTCTGTGTATCAACCCTTTGTTTAAAGAGGGCTTGCTTTTACTCGAGGTGCTTCTAGGAGGCTGTGCCCGATCACCGACAAGGCGATCTCTTCTGCATTGAAAAAGAAGCTGCTAAAGTTTTAGCCTTTTTTTGAGAATAAAGTCAACATTTTAAAAAGTGTGTGTCTTCCCTCTGCCCCCTACAAGGTTTTATCAAAATTAAAGGAGTGGACTGCAGTTTACTGATAAATCACAGGCAAGAGGTTCATTCTGTGGTATCTCCTGTGAGAAAGAGCAGGTAGCAAGTGATGGAAAAGACCTCTGTGTTGAAACCCTGCATGGCTACTGCCAGCCAGAAACTAGATGGAAGGCAATTTCCTATTTTCCTTTATCAATGCAGCAGAAACACACAAGAGATGAGATTTTAAAAGAATGTTACATGGTCAAACTACATGTGGCATGATCAAATATACCCCTAGGGTTTTTATTTTTATGTGGAGAGTTGCATAATACAGACAGACAATGAGAGTAGCCATGAAATGAAGAATGCATAGGGTGGTATTCAACTCAGAGTAGACCTATTTATATTAATGAACATGTCCAAGTTAAACTTGACTGGGTAAAACTTTAGTTTGGCCCTTAACTCAGCTTTCTAAACTTTTCATGGCTGTGACACACTTTTAGATATGCGTTATTTCATGTCACAGTAATTCATTTTTACTACCGAACTTGAGGTTAAACTAACCCCTTTCCAGCCCTGGGAGGATCATGGAGCGTGCTCATACGACACACCTACACACTGCAGCTGACACGCTAATGTGTCGCGACACACTGTTTGGACACACTGTTAACTCTTCCTCTTCCTCTACTCTCGAGCTGTACACATGCAGAACCCATGGTAAAAAGTATTTGCAAACTGTCAGAGAAAGTACTTGCAGGAATACTAATAAAGCTTTCTGGACACATTTGGATACCCAAAAGATGTGCTTTTGGAATGCCACAAGGCAAACTGGAAGCAAGTAGCCCATTGTGTCAAGGCATCCATTTTTAACCATACGCATTGGATGGATTAATCAGCGGTGTATTGTTCCATATTCCTGGGTTTTTATAAGAGCTGCATTCCAGATGTTGCTTTCATTTCCCACAGCTGCACACGAAGGCCCAAAAAACTCCTATCTGGTAGAGCAGAGCAGCTACAATTATTTCCATTTTAGTAGTTTCCCCTCGATTGTTCAAAGCAGCTTTTCTCTCCCCACTCCCCCAATTTTGTACAGAAAATCCTGTACAAGTTAGTGGCACGCTACAGAAACTTGTGCATACTGTAAATGGTCATCCTGAAACCTGTGTATACTATAAATGGGCATCCTAGATTTCATCCCCAATAAACAATCTGTATATTCATGACTGTAAGTACACAAAACCCAGCAGTGCTTTTCCTCCTAATGCTCATAGGAAGCAGTGCTGATGGGAGATATAGCTCAGTTCACAAGGATTTTGTGAACCCTCTTCCTTTGGACAGAAATGAAGGGAATGCTTCTATATTCTCTCAAACAAGGATGAGAAATCTGTGGGCCTCCAGGTCTTGTTGGACTATCAGCTCCCATCAGCCCCCAAAAGCATAGCCAGTGTTCCAAGATGATGGGGAATGTATCCCAAAAACATCAGGAAGTGGCACAGGTTCCCTACCACTCATTTACACGACCAGGTTGCATAGAAAAACAACTTGTGGAATTGATTTCAGGTGTCAGTTCAGATGTACATCTGAGTTCAATGGCACAGGACCTATTTCCATGTAAGGGCGCAGAAGGGCAGCCTTATTCACCAATCCTCTAGAACAGATATACTTCCCAACAGGGCAAAGCCTATCTTCTGCCATATTCGATGCAAGCAGCATTTAGAGCATGAGATTCTTAATCTCGTAATTGTGGGTTCAAGCCTCAGGTTGGGCAAAAGATTGGGGTTGGACTAGATGACCCTGTGGACCCGTCCAGCCCTACAATTCTGATTCTATCACAGGGGTGTAAATAAGGTTCTGGTGGAGCAGCCACTGAAGGTGGACCCCAGAGTGAACGCAGCTTAGCATAAGCTTGCCTGTAAGCACTGGAGGGGCTACCCAAATCACCTCTCCTTTGTGTGCCACGCAGGCACTCTGTACCCTTATGCTGCCCTCTATATTACATAGCAATAGAGCAGTCACCAGTTCAAAGCTATTGATAAAAAAATACCCAGAGATAGAGGCAACATTTTATTTTGTCTTCTAGCAAATAGTCACTTAATGCTCAGTCCAACAGACATAATTCATTGCTTAAACGTGCCAAGAGGAATAACAAACAATAGTGTTTTTTCCCCTTCAAAATAGCCCTTTCCCATTTCACAATCACTTCAGAAAACTACTCATAATTGAGAACATGTTAAAAAGCACAACGGTGACCTAAAAGGATGTTTTGAAAGGAAACTTACGTACAAGCAGATGAATTTGACAAAGTGGCCTCCAAGCGGGAGAGCTGGCTGTTTTATTACACGAACAGTTCAGAAGACCAATCTGCAGTGTTATGCATGCTGCCAGGCGTGGAAGAAGGGCCTGGCCTGGCGACATCTGCAGAAGCAGAGGAGCTGAGGGATTCATTCATGAGCTGTCTGAGATGAACACCATCTTCAGGAACAGGTCCATCCTCAAATCTAGTCTCTGTCGGCTGTTGCCTTTTATGAATGAATTCTACCTTCCTTAAGCTAACATTAGACTTTGGAATCACAAACCTTACTTTGTTTTCAGAAAGAGGAGACTTCTCTGCAACTTGGCAACTGGCATCGCTCCTCAAAGTTTTTCCGTTCTGGAAAGCAAGTGGATGTATCCATTTTTTATCCGACGGAGGAATCCATTCCTCATCATCGTTTTCAGACAGCCTCTGGGCTGGACTTACTTTGATAGATAGTTGCTGAGGACCAGATGCATTGATGCTAACAGAATTTGCATCGCTCGACCTTCTAGATTGCGGGAACTTGCTGACAAGCTGTTTCGCTAAATAATTTTTCAAGGAAGGCCTGGGTCTTTTGCATCTGGCATTGATCCAAGACAAATTATTCCGTGGCAATTTGGTAAGAATGGATTCTCTCCCTCTAGGGAGGCTTACTTGTCGACAAGGTCTGGAAAGGGGAGTTGACTGGGAATCAGGCACAAAGCCTGGAGTACCTGCAGGGCTGTGCTCAAACTCAGATATGGAACCAGCAACTGGGGTGCTTGTTTTCTGATGAGGTGTAGCGAACATTTTATGTAAGGACAGTCCATGCCAAGAAGTATTCCAGCTAGCATCTTGCTCACTCAGCATGGCTTCAGATCGTATACACTTCTTGTTCAGTGTGCCCTCCTGTGGAGAGAAAGCTGGTGCCAAGTTGAACATTCGTACAGTAGCATCTGCCTGTCTGGTACTAGCATCAAACAGATCAGCTGAAGCATTGTAACTACCCTCAGGGCAATCGGAACCGCTGACCTCAGCCTCTCTAAAATTATAATTTTGCACTTCTGAGAGCAACTCTCTCCCTTTTTCACAAACTTTGTCTGTTTTTTCACAAGTTGCCAGGGTGAAACCCTCTTCCTGGGTGTTTGTGAGATCAGCCATTTGGTTTAGCTGATCGCTAACACTTCCTTTATTTTCCCATTTGTCTAAATTACCATCACCTTTACAGTTTAAGTGGGTAGTCTTCCTGGTTTGTAAACAAGGGCTTTTGAGACAGTTGTTGGTAGATGAGCAGAAATTGAGACGCTTACAACTACTGACATCCTGGCCAACTCCTTCCTTGGATGACAGACAGCTTCCCTTTGAATGAGAATGTTTAATTCCAGTTGGGGTGGACCAAGGTGAAAGATCTGGGTGCTGGTTGGACCAACACCCCAAATTTTCCTTTTCTTCAGTGGGTAAAGAGGTGTAAGAGGCTTCTTGGTGATATCTGTTGCTAATGAAGCATGGAAGATTCAGCTGGTGGCAAGGGAAATTATCTTCTTTGCACATTTCCATCTTCCCAGCTAGCTTCTTCAGTTTCTCACCTGACTCTTCAGTAAGGAAATTGGCACTGCAAATGCCTGGATTGGGAGACGACTGCTTAAAAGATCCATGGAATTCATCAGCCTCCTGACTGGGGAAATGCTCCAAAACATCAGCTTTTGTTGGCAACACCATGGCTTTGTCATTTTCAATTTTGGCAATGAATTCATTGAAACTTTCAGATGATGGCAGCTCATCCCAAAGCCATGGAGCTTCTTGAGTGTTTTCACCTGCTCTAATGCGACTGGAAGATGGACCAAGGGAGGAAAGAGATCCATCGTATGTCTGGAGTGGGAATGAGGTCCATGATTTTTCCAGTCCATCGCTGCACTGGATGCTAATTTTTCTCAGCGGAGAGTCTCTCTCCTCTAATTCTAAGGGGCTCAGCAATGATCTGCAGTCTTTTCTTCTTAATGAGGAATAGCCTTCTGCTTCACTCTTTTCAGTGACATTGTGCAAATGACATTTCTTATCTTTCTGTTCTTTTTTCGTATTCACAGTCAGGTTACGGTCATGGGGCTTGAAGACTGACAGGCTATGCAAAGAAACTGGACTATCATCAGAGTTTGGCTCATCCTGGGCAGCCTTGCTTGTACTTAGAGCTACAAGATCAGCGGTTGTTCCTGAAGAAACACAGGAGGAAGTCAGTCCAAATGATTGAGGCCAGAGGCTTGAAAGAACATCCATGCAACTTGATGGAACTACACCCAAGGTGCCAGAGCCATGCAGGCCACTGAGTTCTCTGCTTGGTTGATCAACAGCTGCAAAGCAGTCAGGAGGCCAGAAGCCCCCATGGCTATGCTTGGAGTAAGAACTTCGCAGCTCCTTGAGGTATTGTATAACAGTGCAGCCCACAAGTCCAGAGTTTGGTACAACCATCTGACAGGCAGTGAGAGCTCTGGAGTTCTTGTCAATTTGGCAGCCATTTTGCATGGAGCCGGTGCCATCCTGCTTATCAGAATCCTGCAAGATAATAGAAGGTGCTCTATCAGCTAGCATACTTTACAAGAAGGTACTCTACTTCATAGCTCAAAACCTTAAGAGGTTTACCTGGACCAATCACTTTCATGAAGCTGATTACTTTAGATCAGGAACCTATGGACCTCTAGATGTTGCTGGATTACAACCCCCATCAGCCCCAGCCAGTATTTCCAATAGCCAAGGATGATGAGAGTTGTAGTCCAGCAGAATTGCACCAAGACGAAATGCTTCAGTTCTGAAGCAAACACTCCCATTTTCATCATCACCTATGACAGTTGTACACCTGGGTTCTGCATATGCACGTCTATCAGCAAGGTACACATGGGTACACCTGGGTTTCCTTTAAAGTTATGTTATTGGGGAACATTATAGTTTTATTTGGTATCCGCATGTCAGTAAGGAGGATATTTATTGTTGTAGACAGACTGCACTGGAAACTGAGTTGCTGGACTGTGATTGAGTAAGGACTTGGGCTAGATCTGTGGGGTTGCAGTCATAGCCAGTTAGACAAGAACAGGTGAAACCTATTAGGATTTCAGGTAAGGAGGACAAAGAGGAAGGCCCGAAAGCTACTCTTGCATATCAGCAAGCAGAGTTGAGGAAACGGTCAGGAACAGCAAAAGGGGTGTCTAAACTGAGACAAGACCACAATCTGTGCAGGAAGACACTGCTGTTCTCCCTTGGGAACCTACAGCTACTCTTTGATATTGGACTTTTGCTTCTTAAGACAGACAAGGTTCTCATTAACTTCAATTTCTATCACAAATTTTGCACAGATCATTGCACCCATGGGACCACGGGAAACAATCCCTTGCTCCAAAACTCCAGATACACAGGATTGAAATTTCAAGTTCCTGTAACTCCATATTATAAGTTATCTAGTAAGCATCTGTTAAGCACTCAAGGGCCAAGAGGTAGTTTATACAGAAACACTTTCTCCTAACTACAATCAGTGGACGGTTCTTTTCAACCACAGAATATCAGGAGAGGCTAGCTGGCTGGATTCACTTGGAAGTCGTACTGTAAGGCAGAAGTGCTGTCTTGTGCCCAATATTAGGGGGACCTGGCACGCGACATGCATCTGACGTCATGTGTGCGATGTCATGTGCACGATGCACGACAATGTTGCAGAGCGACTTCCTCTCTTGTGCTCCGGAGGAGTCAGCCACAAAAGCACTCTGCACTCAGCCTCCGCCGCCCCTTAACATGGAGGGAGCCCGGCCCCATCAGGAGATTTTGAGGAGTCTGAAGACACCTACGCCCTTTGGAGTTGGTGTGCCTGCTGTAAGGGGATTCCATGTTTTGAACCCAAATGCTTCAGTTTACAAGGCAGGACTCTCTCCTGTCTATAATACAAGGAGGGTCAATCCAAACAGCAAACTGATGAGGGCACTAAAGCAAGCCCAGCACCAAATCTCTTCAATCACAACAAGTGTAAGGGGCAAATTCAGTTCAAAACGACTCCTCCCTCATATTGAAAAGTCTCTGCATATAGGAAACTAGCATGTTAGGAAAACAATTATGTAGGAAACCCCCCCCCCCAGTCACATGAGCACAAATCTGCACCCTCAGGTGGTGTACCCCAGACACAGATTTACTTTGGTGAGAAGGAAGCCTTGGTTTTTTGCTCTTCCTAGAATCTAACAGTCACAAAATAGATATTCTGAGGAACAGACCCTTCCTCATAAGCAGCTTTATTCTCATTAATACCGCTCATTATAATTCCTCACATGTACGGCGTCTGGAGGCAGATGCCCAAACTCAGAGGATATCTGTGCAAACTGACAGTAATCTCTCTCTCTCTGATCACAAACAGTCTACCTATTTCCAACTCTAGGTTGTTGAACAGAGAGATTGAAAATGAAAAAAATAAAATCAGCAAGCCTAGAGTAGGATTATTGTTGAAGTGATTTGATTTTGTATCTCTCCCGGGAGCTGTGCCTTTGATTGAAGGGGGAGCGGGAAAATATCCAAACATGCTTCAAGGAGCTGTTGATGGCACGTGTTTACTTTTAGCAGTTGAAACTGGATGGTCTCATAGCCATCACTTGGAAAAGTCAGAACACTGGAGGCATATATATTATTAGTTTGCACCTTATGGATTGAGAAATTCAAGCTTGATTCTTGGTAACTGCCTCTATGTTCCTGCTTGGAGGCAAAGTGATCTGTACACAAATTCCCACTCCTCTTCTAATTTTGAAATGCAGCCAGACTGATTTCCTGGTGCAGATGTTAATGTTTTGCCGTAGGAAATACTAGTCATGCTTGGTGTCTTAATTTTAGTTAAAATACCAATTGTGAAGTAACTAGCGCAGAACGAAAAAATGTTCTCCAATTCTTCACCCCGTTCACATGTAGACATTTTTTGGGAGTGTGTGTGGATTTTGGTGACAAGTGATTTTTTCTGGGAGGGTGATAGGGTGGGGCTTGCCACTGATATAATGCAGAAGCAAGTTATTTCTCTCTCTACATTTCAAACAATTCAGCTTCTTAGGGCAGCTATTCCACACCCTCTAGAATGCCCCAGATGCTAAAAATGTTCCTGGGCATCTGAGGGGTGGTGTGTGTGTGTGTAATATAGAAATAAGGCAGTCATGCACAAAATTTGGCAGCTTTCATTCCCCCCCCCCCCGAATGATGCTCATCTCCCCCAAGAATAAGTTGTGCATTCTTTGAACAAAACATGCTGGTGGGGTGGGGGTGAGTTACCTTAACTCCAAAGACAAATTTCTTTCCAAGGAAGCATGTTTCAACTGCTTGAAATACCAAACTCGGAACTGCATCCCTGTCTGGTTCTCTTGCTTCTTGTTTCAGTTCTTCAATGTACCTTGAATAAAAGTGTTACAAAAAATTACTGACTGGATACTGCTTGGCTTCTGAGACCTATAAGGAATTTAAGGTCCAAGTGTAAAAATAATATTGCTGCGTTACACTTTGCAGCAAGCTGCGAAGAGAGAATTTAGCAAAATGCACTTCCATTCAAATAGCCATGACATCACCAACTGTGCTATGGGATGCAACCTTACCTGGGAGTAAGCCTTAATGAACACAGTGGGACTTACTTCGCAGTAAACACACCCAGGATTGTTTGTGCACATGTATTAGCAAGTTGAAAATGTGCTGTGGAAATGTCTGCCTGCGTATCAGAAAAGGACAGCACCCATCGTATTCAAATTTTAATGCCTCCCTCAATCCCTGTACTTGTACAATAGAAGATGCTGAACTCAGGTTTTCCAGACCTGCCGTGAAAAAGGAAACAGATTCCCTCCTTCCTTCCATCTCCTTTGTATGTATCATGTTTCTTGGGACAGTCTCCCAGGTTTATCAAAGATCTTTACCTGGGGTCTTTAAGAGCTGTTCTCAGTTACAGCAGATACAGTGGTACCTCAGGTTAAGTACTTAATTTGTTCCGGAGGTCCGTTCTTAACCTGAAGCACCACTTTAGCTAATGGGGTCTCTCGCTGCTGTCGTGCCGCCGGAGCACAATTTCTGTTCTCATCCTGAAGCAAAGTTCTTAACCTGAAGCACTATTTCTGGGTTAGCGGAGTATGTAACCTGAAGCGTATGTAACCCGAGGTACCCCTGTACTCGTAAATACTGGACAAGATGAACCAAAAGCCTGAATACACTGAAACCTGAAAAAGGCTTGAAAATTATGAATTAGGGAGCTGCTGTTGTTGGCATCCGTCCATCTTGAGAGACGATGGAGGATTATGCCTTTGGGGGTGAACTCAAGCTTTTGGAAGGTCGCAGCGCCTACTGTGCTGTAGAGACCGATGTGGGAGAGACATGTTTTGTTGCAGCTGGGGCAGATGACGGCGTCTGGTTGTGCTGCTGCAGATGCACCATGGCGTTTCTTCCCCCTGCGTTTCTCCCAGCGAAGGGGGGAGTGTTACCATGTCTATCCCCATATGTAGAGGATCTTTTTGAATTGCATAGAGAGAGAATTCTGCAAGTTGTTGCTTCTGTTATAATCTGGCTACCTTTAATGGAGTACTGGAATAAGGTACCAAAGTTCACATATGAATTTGAGCAACCCAGTCAATTCTTTGGTTATCATTTCTTTCACTTGCACCCTGCTCTTCCCCAAAAGAGCTCAGAGTTGCTTTAAATGGCTCCCAGGTGGCTAAAAAGGCTGGCTTAGTATCAGAAATAGAAGTGAGTCATATGACAACAGACTGCTATCTGAGCCTAGTTAGCATCAATCAGGGCTCCTGAGAATCTTTACTTTGCTTCTTTTTAAAAAAATACAGTTTTTTCCCCCCGGCCACTGTTTCAAACCTTGGTCCAAATCATCATTCTCTTATAAAGCATAGAAGTTTGAGAACACAAAAACATTTTCTCATGGCCTCTGACTGTTATCAGAGCCCTTCATTTTTGTCCATGAGCAGCTTATCTCCTTCTGCAAATCCTGCAAGACAGTTTAACTTAAGTATGCTACATTATGCTGTACCTGCTTTGGTGCAGCTTACCTCAGTGTTACTCACTGGCACACATGAAGTGGAGAGCATGAATTTTCTGGACAAAGACTGATTATTGCCATTTTTTTAAAATGCAGGGCATGAAGCAATCATGCTCCCTTTTTCTTAGAAACTGAAATCAGGGTTAGGTGGCAAGATGTAGTCATTGTTTGCTCTTCTTTCATCTTACAGATGGATGTTTATATACACAAACATCAATTTAAAAAATGTTTTAAGGAAAGCTGAGAGGGGATTTGAGTCCAAATTTGTCCAGGGATCCACCCCACTAGAATATGCTGGATTTCCTGAATGTCCACAAATTTCATAGCTGCACAGATTTAATTGCCCCTATTAATAAATACCAGCTTGGTATCCAAGCAGCAAAATGTGCCGCAACTGTTTTTAGAGACATAATTACATCACATGCAGTCTGGGATGTACTGGGTGGGGTGGGGAGGGGGAAACACTCATTTTCAGCAGAGAAATGATGTTGCATTCCTTACCTCTGCAGTCCCTTTGCTGTCACTCCAAAGAAAGTATCCAAACAGCTTCCGAATACTGTCACCTCAAATACATCACGAGTGTCAGCTACCTCTAGTGAGAGTCGATACCTGTAGTTCGCTTCCCTAGGGTCACCTGAGCAGCCACACTTCAGGCAACTGTACCTGTTAAAAGACCAGATGAAAAAGCTACTGGAAGCTGACAAATATTGCACGTGCATACCAGCTTCCCAACCTAAGTCTTTAATCACCTGTCATCTTAATAATCTAACAGCACAATCCTTTGCATATTTGCTCGGAAGCAAGTTCCACTGAGTCCTATTAGATTTACTCCCTAGGAAGTGTACTTGGGATTGTTGCCTTAGGAAAAAATGAATGAAAATGGCAAAAGCCACCTGCTTTCACAGGTTCTGAGCGGAGGAAACCTGGATTCAAACCTCAGCTCAGATTTGAACTCACGGAAGTGGTTAGGAAAAGGCAGTCCCCATCTGCAACAGACAATTTAATTTCATAAGTGAGAAGTGGTGGGAAACAATCCTGTATGGGAGACTCACTCTGTGACCTCCTGGGGGACAGAACTGGTTGCAGTTATATACTCTTTGTGCACTCTTTGTCATTTTGTATGTTCTAAAAGAGAGAGCTGACCCTTTAGAGGCCAGAACTATGCCCTGCTTCAGATTAAGCCCTAAAGGGGGAATTAAACCTGCAATGCATCACAATGAAAGGTGGGCTACTCGGTGAACAATTGAAAAATGAGAATTAATCTATTTTGTGATAGAGGAATTACAGATTACTGGAAATGATGTTGACATACTTTAGAGTGTAAACGTTAACAGATTTATTAAAGAAAAGGCTTTTCTGGACTAGGCTTCACTTATCACATACTGCTGAGCCATGCAGCACCCCCATGTGGTGAATCTTCCAACTGCAGTTCCAAATACTCAAGCTTTTCACCACAGTTTAAACTATGGCATTTGCCTTCTGCTGCCCCATGTGATGAACTTCCAAGCCTGAGGATCAAATGAGGCCCTGCTATCTGGCCCTTAGGACTTTCTCTATTCTACTCTCTCAAGGCCACATTCCCCCACTGACCCCCACCATGTCCTTGGATGCTTTGCCTGTCTGGAAGGTGTCCTTGAACTGTGACAAGTCCTCTTACTTGCCTGCTTGAAGGTTGTGCGTGTGGCCATTTAAAGGAAAATCTCTGGCTTTTGTATGGCTGGAATGTAGCCCCCGGCTGAGAATGCCCATCCAACTTTAGAGAATGCCCACAAACTGTCATTTACTTAATATGGCCAGATAAATTTATCTCAGATGAACAAACGTCTTAAAATGATAAACTATCACTACATGGTGTTAGCCTCATAGTGCATAATGCTCAAATGGCTGATGGAAGTCTTGTACTTCTGTACTGCCATGGCCTGGTCTCCACTACAGCAAAGCAAGCCTCAGTTGCATGACAAGCAGACTGAGACCTCTGGGTATAGGGTGCTATATAAATTCAATCAATCAATCAATCAATCAATCAATCAGTAATAAAAGTTCATGTGAATTTTGTATGCGAATAACCCATTGCCATATAGCTCCAAATGTTATGCAAGTGGGGAAACAATGTCATTTCACACTGACCCCAGGCCTAGAGAATTCATTGCACACTTTTTGAACTGTGACTCCCCAGGTGTTATTAGACTACAACTCCCATAATCTGTGATCACTAGCTATGCTGGCTGGATTTTATGGGAGTTGAAGCCCAACATTCGGAGGGCCACAGCTTTCCTATTTGTGCTGTGCTAGATGATAGTCCAAATTTATCAGTGCTCTGGAGTGGACTTACCTCTTCAAATCTAGGAGTAGCCTGGAAAAGCAGTTTTGACATGAAGGATATACAAAGTTGGAGTTCTGGACAGAAATTACAGAAGCAGCCAGGAGATGCCTGCCATTCATGTGCTCCCAGGGTTAGCTACCAAGAGACAACATAGTTTATTGTTAGTCATACCAAGTCTGCTCACATTCCTACAGTGAATGTTTCTTAACCTAGACATGCATCACTCAATGCGATTTGTAGTATAGCAGCCACCAATTCTGACTCTCTGTTATTTTAATTGACAGAAAGCTTTATTGTTTGCACTTTACCCTGGCCTTTGACACTTGATACACACACACACACACACATTTGTACATATATTAGGACCATGTTCTCTTGAACATAATTTATTTCAAATTGAGTTTAATATTGTATTTTTTATTGCCGTAATCCTGGGATCTCATGGTGGAAGGTTAGTAAGAAATAAAAAATAAAAACTACTTGGACTGTTAAGAGTCCCTGATATGTAGTAATTCAGGGTGTAGATTTGTAGTTACATATACAGATCATCCTACAGTGTGGCCCATGGAGTGCAACAGGTAATTAGCTCCACTGCCAAAGCCAGAGGTTGGCAACTTCCAGCTCATAGGCCTAATTAGGTCCAGCACTGGTTCAAATTTGGCCCCTCACCTGACATAAGATGTGATGTGAGACGCGAAGCAGGTAAGGACATGGGTACAAAGGGGTAATCAAAGTTAGCTCTATATTGTTCCTTTGCAAACTAGAGCTTGCTGACATCAATGGCCGGCTGATCAACATTGACAGCAAACATGGATGGGACTGGCTACACTAGAGCTCCCTATCGAAACTCTCTAGTGAATTGTGGCAGCTCATTCACCAATAACCTTATCCATTGCATCTCTGCATAACTCATTGTTCAGAACTTGCTTCCTTCCAGTGAGGAGGTGAATACAGAAAGCATACTTCTCTGAGGGTAGGTATTATTATTGGGATTCTTTAAAAATGGGGAAGTTTTTCAGATACAAGAGTAAAGGTTCCAATTTTAAATTATGGAATTGGGGAGAGCAGGGGTCTGAAGTTGGGAAAGCACTAACCAAAACATTTCAGCAAGATATGCTCTTGGGTTTCAAAGCAGAAGGCAAAACAAACTGGCACATGTATTTACTCATCTACAGGACTGGCTAATGCCTTAGTGACTCATTTGCTGGAGCACAATGCAAGATCAGCACCTGCAGTGTAGAAATGCAAAAGAAAAGTAGTTTTGGTTAGAAAGGGCCTCTGTACAGCAATAACCTAGGGAAGATATAACAGTTAGCCTTAATATCTACTTTCTGACTACTTTCATTGCTCTTCAGGGTAACCTAAATTTTCAGCAATCGTGCTGCACATTTACATTTACCAGGAAAATTTCCCCACTCTATTTTGTTAATCTCATCTCTCTTCCCCACTCTTGCTTCTACATATTTTGTATTCTCTGCCTTCTTTTCCTTTTTCCTGGTTTTTTATTTATAAAAAAAGACTTAAGTGGCTAATTCATGCATCGTGGTGGAAGTGGGTTCTGAACACAAAACATTGTTGGCACAGATCTGTATCAATGGACAATGGAATGTGCCACTGGGGGTGAAGTCAAACCACTGTGCTAGCAGCACTGAAGTGACCTCTCTGGGCACAAGGCTGGCCAGTGTATATGGAGGTCCTAGGCTGCCCAGATGACAAGATCCCCTCTTGGCCTTGCTGATATGGTCCAAAGGAAAGCAGAGCAATATGTCTGGCAACAGCTTGGCTACAGAAGTTGCTGGAAGGAGGTGTACAAGATGTCATCCATCTTAGGAACTCCATTCTGGATTTGTGTAGGGTTTACTTCTTAGCCTTTTCTTCTGAAGATATCACACAAGGCAGAGGAGGTTTAGGATCAGAGATTCAACCCTATACTAAAAGTGTTAGTTCTTAAAATGGCACTAGAATCTTCCTTGGTTTTGTCTTGTTGGTTTCTGCATTTACATGTTCCCCTTACAAATCTCAGTGAAGTAGGAGATTTTCAGCTGCTGGAGCACTAGGCGGATTTCAGCCCTCTAGTATTGAAGCAGACTTACTTAATTCTCCCTTCACTGTCAGAGACTATAAGTTTCTGAGTACCAGTTGCTGGAAACGGCAGAGGTGAAGAGTGCTGTTGCGTTCAGAAATCTGGTTGGTCACTGTGAGATCTGGATACTGCACTACATGGGCCTTTAGCCTGATTCAGGAGGTTCTTTTTATGTTCTTACCAGGCCAAATTTCCATCAAGCCCAGAATCCTCTTCTCACAGTGGCGAACCAGGTGCCTATGGTAAGTCCAAAGGCAGGACACGAGCGCAACGTTCTTCCCACTTGTGTTCCTTATAAACTGGTCTTCAAAGATGTACAGTGGTGCCTCGCAAGACGAAATTAATCCGTTCCACGAGAGTCTTCGTCTAGCGGTTTTTTCGTCTTGCGAAGCAAGCCCATTGACGGATTAGCGCTATTAGCGCTATTAGCGGTTTAGCGGCTATTAAAGGCTTAAAGGCTTAGGGGATTAGCTGCTAAAAGGCTATTAAAGGCTATTAAAGGCTTAGCAGATTAGATAAAGGGGGGGAAAAGCGAAAAAAATCTCAAGACTCGCAAGATATTTTCGTCTTGCGAAGCAAGCCCATAGGGGAATTCGTCCTGCGAAGCAACTTCAAAACGGAAAACCCTTTCGTCTAGCGGTTTTTCCGTCTTGCGAGGCATTCGTCTTGCGGGGCACCACTGTACAGTGCTGCTATCATGGCTAGTAGCCTTATTCTCCATATATGTATTCATTCATTTAGAAAAATGTATGGGCTGCTTAATAATAAAAAACCATCTAAGTATACACAATTATATAAAACAATTATCAATGATTCGCAGATAGACTGAACTAATATATATGGCTAAATGATATATATGGCTAAATTATTTGTCTGGGTAGGCTGGCTGGAAGCTTTTTCTTTTTTGTCTAACCCTATTTTAATATGAACAATCACCTTCACCCATTTTGCTTACAACTGGGGTCCTGGGGATGATACTAGCATTCTAGCACCTGGTTTGTTATGAAAGGCAACCTATCAATACAGTACAATAAAAATGAGGGTTGCAACTCAAACACTTTAACCCTGGACTGTACAGCAGCAAAGATTACCAAAGGACCAATACCACTTCAGCTCGGGTCAAGAGCAAAATTAAACTTAATTTTAATGTTACAAGAATAAAGCTAATGAGAGTCCTGGGTGCAAGCATCTGCTAAGATGTAGCTTGCAGGTGCAGCAACTTAAATCTAGTACTTCTGGAGCAATCATATTTCTGCCTAATTTACCTCAGGGTGCTAATGCACCTTATTGCATGTGACTGCACAACCAGCTGTGTTTGAGTAATTTTGGATTAATTAACACTCAATAAACTGGCAGGGTGACTTGTAAGAAATATGTGGCTTGGGAGATGTTATGAGGAAAGTGCACACAAGAACAGCAGAGAAGCAAAATGTTAGGCAAGAAATTACTCTCTTCTTTTTTCCTGACATGACTTCTACATTATTATAAACTGCTCAGTACTGTGGGTTTTAAAGAGACAGTATGGTGGAGTGGACAGAATAGCGCACAACTTGGAACACAGAGACCTTGATTCAAATCATTATTCCCAGTTTAGGGAAGCTATTAATGTCTGATGTATTACTGTATTTTAATATTTGGTTGGAAGCCGCCCAGACTGGCTGCGGAAGCCCAGCCAGATGGGCAGGGTATAAATAATATATTATTATTATTATTATTATTATTATTATTCAGCCATGAAGCTCTCTGGGTATTTTTTTGACGAGTTGCTATTCCTCAACTTATGGGAAAGAGGAAAAGATGATGTATGCCAGTCATTCTGAGCTCCTTGGAGGAAAGGTGCGATATAAATATAAAAATAAGCTTTGGGACCCACCACAACCATCAAGTCAGTGTGGAATAAAAAGCATTCATACTAAACAAACATTCTGGCCCCAAGCTACAAAATCCATTTCAAAATAAAAATACAATAATATGTTGATTGTTTGCAATACATTGCAACAAACCATAGTTTGTCAGAGGTTCCCTGAAAGAAAGCTTGTACACTTCCACTGTGTGTACAACCACAAGATGGTGTTGTGTATGCTTTAATGAGCATGTAGTGAGGTCCAACAGCTATACCTTAAAACACAGGCAGAGGGAATATAGATTTGGATGCACTGGTGGATTGCTACATGATTTTCAGCTGAGGTACAATGGTTTCAAATTTCCAGTTATTTCACAGCAGCACTTTAGCATACCCTCCAACATTTCTCTGACAAAAATAGAGATGTCCTACCATACCCTCCACTTCCCTGATGAAAAGTAGGAACATTCTAAGGAACAGAGGGACATTCTGGGATCAAATCAGAGACTGGGACGGTTTCTGTCCCTGGAAAATAGACACTTGGAGAGTCTGCCTTAAGCTATTGGAATCCTTCGTCTGTGGTAATGCAGGTGCCGATTGTAGTTATACTGCAAATTTCCTAGTGTATAAAACCCATGAGGTTTTAAGCCAGATGCCTGCCTTAAAACATGTCGCAGAGTCCTTTGCAATGAGCCAAGGGATCCATAGCAGAATGTGCACATCAGGATTTCCTTGGCCAGAGGAGTCAATCTGGAAAAGGGTGCCTGGAGGATAACACATTAAAGAAGGAGGGAAGCTCTGTGCTTTATACGTTTTTAACTAGTACAACTTAATCTTTGCCCTTTTAAATAGCAAGCAAGAACCAGTGGTTGTAAAATTGTTTTGATGTACAGTAAGCTCACAACTTACGCGCATTTAGCTTGTGTACATTCTGCTTTGCCTGCTTGGCAATTAAAAAATTTTTTTTTAAGGGGTGAAAAAATCCCAATGGCCATGATGCCTGGAATGTAACCTCACATATATTGAAGGCTTACTGTATTTTGCTACTGGTTTTGTTATTTTACATTTTACACATTTTGAAAAATAATAATAATGAATGCCATCATGGGAGAATGACAGAATACAAATACGTTAAAGAAACAAAATGAAACCATGTGGCTAAAGGAAGGGCAAAGCCCCTTTTCTTTTTTTACATGGTACAGTGACCATTTGTATCTCACTTGAGACAGGAAGAGCAAACAAGGACTCCTGCCATTCCCAGTCATGGTGGACTATTGGAGAGTTCTCCTTGAGTAGAGTATATACTCTTTCTTTGTATGCCATTTGTGTGGTGTGATAATGTATTTTCCTTTTCATTCACAAGACAGTGGTACCTTGGTTTACAACCACAATCCGTTCCAGAGGTCCGTTTGTAAACCAAAACAGGTTGCAACCCACGGCATGCTTTTGCCAATGGGGCTTCTAAAAATTTTTGTTCGTAATAAAAAAAAAAAAAAGGATTGTATGTAATCCAAAAAAAGGTTGCAAACACACCTTCCGGGCTTGACGTGTTTGTAATCCAAGACGTGTACCACTGTATCCTGAAAGCTCTTATGGGTGAATAACGCAAAGGCATTCAAGATGTTTGCAACAGTCCTCCTTTGCTGCATGTTGCAAAATGAAATAAAAACATTTAAAAAGAAATAAATAGAATAAAATGGTAAAGCGGGGATTTGGGAGCTGCCTAGTGACGAGGGTGGCAACAAGAGTGGTGGCTCCCCGACTGTAGAATGCTCTCCACAGCGAGGCTTGCCTGGCCTGGCGCCTTCATTACATGTCTTTAGGCGCGAGGCAAAAGCATTCCTCTTTACCCATGCCTATGGCTATTAAATAATCTATGGCCTGTGAAAGTGTAGGGGAGAGGACTGTTATTACGATGACTATTTTATTATCTGTCAGTATGCTTTTTATGTTTTTATCATTGATGTTCTGTAATATTTTTTTTAACGTTGTATACTACCCTGAGGTCTTTTGATAAAGGGTGGTATATAAACTGAATTAATGGTAGTAACAATGGCAGTAGCAGTCCAACCACAGGCACTGGTTTTGATCTCTAAAGCCTTAAACGGCTCAGGACCACAATACCTCAAGGATCACCTCTCTCCATATGAACTGACCTGGAGCCTGAAATCATCCTGAGGCCCTTCTTTGCGTGCCTCCTCCACCTGAGGTCCGTAGGGTGGCACCACAAGAACGGGGTCTTTGCTGTGGTGGATCCCTATTTGGGAAATGCTCTCCCCAGGGAGGCTCACCTGACACCTTCATTATGTATATATTTAGGAGAAAATATTCCTCTTCTCTCAGGCATTTGGCTGATTAAACCAGGGTTTCCCAATCTTAGGTCTCCAGCTGTTTTTGGACTACAATTCCCATCATCCCTAGCTAGAAGGACCAGTGGTGAGGGATGATGGGAATTGTAGTACCAAAAAGGAAGAGACCCAAGTTTAGGAAACTCTGGATTAAACAATCTATGGATTTTTAAACTGTTTTTTGTCTGTTACTACGGTATGTATGTCGAGGTTTTTATAGTGTAAACCGCCCTGTGAACCCCAGATTAAGGGCGGCACAGAAATTTAATAATATTTTTCGGGGGTGGGTGTTTCGGGCGTAGCATTAAGGGGCCAGTGGGAGGGGACACGAAGGAAGATTACAATGAGGAAAAAAGAGACATTGGTTAGAAAAATGGGTAGGGAAACGGGGGAAGAAACGCCTCACTCACCACAGACTTTCAAGTTCCCTCACGCCCCCTACCACACATTCTCCTCACGCTCCAGAGGAAGTGACGACACCAGAGCCGCGCACCAATCAGAGAGGGGGAGAGAGAGCCCCGCGCGAGACCCAAGACACCGCCGGCAATGCCAACAAGGTCTGTTTTTCCCGCCTCGGCCGAAGGCAGCCAATCGCCGCTCAAGCCCCGCCCGGCCTCCCCGCCCTACCGCGCCCACCGACCAATCGGCGGCGCCCTTCGCGGCTTCCAACCGTCAGACCCGCGCGCCCGCATCCACAGCCGGTCTTGACAAGCTAGCCAATCGCGGGAAGCTTCGGCAGCCGACCTCCCGCTCCTCAATGAGGGGGGCCCCCTCCGCCAGCCAATCGCCTTGGAGGAGGGCGGGGTTTAGAGCGAGCTGGGACCTCCCGCCCCTCCTCCTCCTTCCCTCACGGCCCAACGGATTTGGTTTTGGTTTCCCTCCCGGCTATGGGCGGAGCTAGGAGCCGCCTCGCGCCCTGCTCCCTCCGTTCCCCCGGCCCCGCCCTCACGATGCTCAGCTATAAAAAGGGCGGTGCGCTGCTGAGGCTGAGGTAGTCTTATCATGAGGCTCCCGGCGATACTTGGGTTGTTGTTGGAGGCTGTGTGCCTGGTTTCAGGGGGCGTCGTCGTCCCCGGACCCGCTTCTCTCCACACGGCGTCCCGCCCCGACCCCGGCCTCCTCTATGACTCCCGCACTTACCGCACCTGCTATGTGACCCAGAAGGTAAGGCGGGGAAGAGCGGGTTCGCCTCAGCGGAGGGGAAAAAGCTGATAGGCATATATCTAAAAGTAGTCATTGGCAAAGGGGTCCTCGCTTCAGGTGGGGCAAGTGTCCCTGTCCCCCCAGTGCAACAAAGCCACGTTTCAATTTGGAAAGCGACAGGAAAGAAGGACAAAAGTTTACAGTTGTTGTTGTTGTTATTGTTGTTCAGTCGTTTAGTCGTGTCCGACTCTTCGTGACCCCATGGACCAGAGCATGCCAGGCACTCCTGTCTTCCACTGCATCCTGCAGTTTGGTCAAACTCATGTTTGTAGCTTCGAGAACACTGTCCAGCCATCTCATTTTCTGTCGTCCCCTTCTCCTTGTGCCCTCCGTCTTTCCCAACATCAGGGTCTTTTCCAGGGAGTCTTCTCTCCTCATGAGGTGGCCAAAGTATTGGAGCCTCAGCTTCACGATCTGTCCCTCCAGTGAGCACTCAGGGCTGATTTCCTTAAGAATGGATAGGTATGATCTTCTTACAGTCCATGGGACTCTCAAGAGTCTCCTCCAGCACCATAATTCAAAAGCATCAATTCTTCGGCGATCAGCCTTCTTGATGGTCTAGCTCTCACTTCCATACATCATGACACAACCTTGATGGCAGAAAGTGAGGAGGAATTAAAGAACCTTTTAATGAGGGTGAAAGAGGAGAGCGCAAAATATGAAGCTCAACATCAAAAAAACGAAGATCATGGCCACTGGTCCCATCACCTCCTGGCAGATAGAAGGGGAAGAAATGGAGGCAGTGAGAGATTTTACTTTCTTGGGCTCCATGATCACTGCAGATGGTGACAGCAGTCACGAAATTAAAAGACGCCTGCTCCTTGGGAGAAAGGCGATCGCAAACCTAGACAGCATCTTAAAAAGCAGCGACATCACCTTGCCAACAAAGGTCCGTATAGTTAAGTTTACATGCATATATTTAAAAGTAATAATAATACTAGCCATAATTTTCTTATTAATAGTCATTCATTAATAATAATTAGTAACTTATTGATAGATTGCTATTGGTAATAAATGAACTGATATTAAATCAGTGACAATAGTTTCTGAATAATTTGTTAATAAGTTTCCCATTAACAATAAATTAATGTTAAATTAAATATTAAACTATTTAATTAATTATTGGTAATTTATTAATAGGAATTTACAATATAACTGCAGTTCAGGTGGGTCAATGGTCCCTTCCTCCCTAGTGCAACAGAGCCACGTTTAAAAATAAGTTTGGAAAGTGACAAGCATTGAAAAGTGTGGGGCAAATGAGTGAGCCATGGGAAAACATATAAATCAGGATGGAGATGGGTTGAATGCTCAGTAGTGTCTAATTGCCCCATAAACGAATTTGAATATAAGCTCAGCAAAGATGGAAGACTCGGTGAAAATGGGATATAATCTAAGCTCTGCGACAATGTTTGTGCAAGGAGGTCAGGATGAGTGTGACTGGAGTGGCCCAGTGTCAAGTTAAGTATTCTTACATACTTAAAAAGTACTGGTACAGTGGTACCTCTGCTTACAGACGCTTCAGGTTATAGACACTTCAGGTTACAGAGTCCACTAACCCAGAAATAGTACTTCGGGTTGAGAACTTTGCTTCAGGATGAGAACAGAAATCGCGTGGCGGTGGCGCGGCGGCAGCGGGAGGCTCCATTAGCTAAAGTTGTGCTTCAGGTTAAGAACAGTTGCAGGTTAAGAACGGACCTCCGGAACGAATTAAGTACTTAACCCGAGGTACCACTGTACTTGCCTTTTTAAGAAGACTCCCAGAGTGACTCTCAAGGATCAGTAATAAGACTGCTCATGTCTTCAAGCTCACAGTCCTAAAAAAAGAGATACAGTACGTAAGAGGAAAAAGATTTGGAGGGAGGAGGAAAAATGCATACATACTCTTGACACCAATGTTTCGTATGGAAGGTGCTTAATAAATTTCATTTCTGGCAGGGAGGGGGTGAAGCAAGCTTCTTGCAGCTGCTTTTCATTGGGTGGCCAATGGAGCCACGTCGACTTCACCCTTGTGCAACATGTTCTTCCAGGAAAGCGGGTGGTGTAATCTCCCAGTGGTGCTTGGTCCCTGTTTGAATGACAGAATGTGCTTTCTCACAACTCTTGTCACCCCAGGCTGCTGCTTTCTTACATTAAACTTAGATGAACTCATGGTTATTCTGTGACTAGACAAGTGCTCTCCAGAAACCCACAACTAGGGCACGAAAGCAAAAGCCAGCAACTGGGTTTCAGCTAACTATGGTGTTTCTATTTGGCTAGGAGGTGTCTTCAGTTAGCCCAGCCAATTTTCCGTGACACAACTGCCACCCTCTGCTAATGGAGCCTTATGCCCTTCTGCTCTTGTGCAAACTCTGGTCTCTCCCTTCTACAGTGGTGACCCGCAAGACAAATGCCTCGCAAGACGAAAAACTCGCTAGACGAAAGGGTTTTGCGTTTTTTGAGTCGTTCCACAAGACGAATTTCCCTATGGGCTTGCTTCGCAAGACGAAACGTCTTGCGAGTTCTTGCGAGTTTGTTTCCTTTTTCTTAAAGCCGCTAAGCCGCTAATAGCCGCTAAGCCGCTAATAGCCGTGCTTCGCAAGACGAAAAAACCGCAAGACGAAGAGACTCGCGGAACGGATTAATTTCGTCTTGCGAGGCACCACTGTACTTAGTCAGTTGTCTTTGTAAGTACATAAGAGGGATCACACCACAGGCTTACCTGGTCCGGCATTCTGTTTTCACTGTGTCCAGTTTGATGCACATGGCATATCGTAAGCACAATAGCACTCTCTCTCCTTGATTTTCCCAGCAACTGGTGTTTAGAGACAGAACCATTGTGCCTTATTAAACTCTTTGGCTATGAGTTTGTCTAATTTTAACCTATCCTGTCATTATTAGTTTGCAGGTTTCTTGGGCTTTTCCTATTAACTAACATCCTCTGGTTGTTGCTCTTATATACACTTGCAACCCAATTGAACATGTTGCATGCTTGCTTAGAATAAAGTCCCAGAGAATTGTGCTGTAAACTGTTAGTTGATCCATAGGAGGGGGAGATTAAAAACTCAGTGCCAAAAGCACTAAAATTTCATGAGTTTCATCAATAGCAGCCTTGTAAAGATTGATGAGATTATAATGTATGTGAAGTACTTTTGAACATAAAACCCGGCTATTGGCTATGACTATTAAGTGAACTTTGGATGCCAGGTAAAAGCTTTTCTTTTCTGCCAGGTCTTACATATTTAATTATCCGTGGCCCTCAGTGGGTGGGATGTGCCTTTTTAGAAATAGGAATGTGTTTTTAGCTTGTACTCTTTTAGTTCTGTGGTGGTTTTAATGCACATGCTATTTTTGGTAAGTCACCTTCAGATGCATTTTGTAAAACAAAAGTAATAAGTTCATGGAAAAAATGAAGTTGGGGGGAATGACAGGTGGGTTAACCTGGTCATTCGTCAAAATTTCCCTGTAGAGTGGGACAAGATGCTGCCCTAGAAAGATTGAGCTCCCTGTGCATCACTTCAACTTTTTTTGGGGGGGAGGGGAATCACTTTTTTTCCCTCTTCCCCATGTATCTGGTTTTGGGCAGATGGGTGTGGCTTGGGGAAAATGTTCTCATGAGCTGAATGAGGAGGGCTGGTGGGCCACATTTGGCCCCTTCCCCTGGGCTAAAACTCAATAATTTATGTTGGGAGATCATGCGGAATCTGTTTCATGTTTATCTTCGTGGAAATCACATGCCACCGGAAAATGAGGATGTGATTTGGAGAAGTCATTGGGACAGCACATAACTTGAAACTTGGTATTTAAATGCATTCTGCTTGCCTTGAGACAATCAGTGTAGTGAACTCTCCCATGATTGATTATTAAGGTATGACTCTTGTCAGTATGGAAGTCTGTTTATTTAACTAGTTTGAGGTGCTGAGATTGGAGTGATCAAACTGATCAGAGGGTCAGGAGAAAGCTTGAATTACGACTTGTTCTTTTATCTTTGAATGAAGCAGCACAAAGCCCCAAGCTATTGTAGCTGTGCCACAGGGTAGGCAGTTGCGTGGCAGAATACCAGATGATCACCTGACTGAAGAGAGTTAATGTGTAAATCACATATAAATATGCCAAGGCTGAGAGCCAGTGTGGCATAACGCTTAGTGTTGGACTTTGACCTGGGAGACATGGTGACCTTGGGCTAGTCACCATCTCACAGCCTAACCTACCTCACAGGGTTGTTGAGAATATGAAATGGAGAGGAAGGGAACCACGTACACCACTTTGAGCTCCTTGGAAGAAAAGGTGGTATAGAAATGTAGCAAATAAATAAATGGCTGCACATGTAGACTTGGAACAGACACACTCAGATGGTGTATGCATATATTGGGAACCTTTGATTGCTGTGAGAAGAGTTGTATTATGACATAACCATATTGGCCTTGCAATTGAGCACTGAAGGTGTGTGTAGTCTCCCAACTCCAAAATCCAGTTGTGTGCAGTTCCTCTTCCTCATAGCTCCGAGAAGGGCTTGCATAGTAGCTGGAATTTATTATGGTGGCTGCCTGCTTTGCACTAAGAGAATGTGACCAGCTCATCAACAGTGGGTGGGATAGACCAGATTGCTGTCTGGAGACAGTTGCTCCTTATTTCAAAAGTGCAGGAAGTTGGCATGGCTCTTCCATTAACAACATCTGAAGCAGACAGTGATCTTGGGTTGCTCTACCTTTCAGAGCTACTATTAGTAGATTGGGACCTGCAAACATTTTTTCTTTTGGTTTTTAAGGGCGGGGGGATGGATTTTGCATTTTAACAGTTGTTCAGATTATCCTTGCCTGACAACTTGTACTTAGCCAACATTTTCTCCCCTAGAGGTCGAGTAACATGCCCTCTTTTGTGTCTGGTTGCTTAGGAGAAAGCTTTACTATTTTAATAAGGCTAAAGGCAAGTTACAGGTTTTAAGTAGAAGGGGCAACTGTTTGGATCATGTGGATTAGCCTTATAATAATTTTATTATTTGTACTCTGCTGATTTGACTGGGTGCCCCAGCTACTCTGGGTGGCTTCCAACAGATATAAAAACATAATAAAACCCTAACCCTTCTTGTAATATAGCCCAACAAACTAAGAAAGCCTTTCAAGTAGAAGCATGGATCTTTGTGTTTCTGTAGATGTAGTAATGCCTTGTCCCTGGGTGGCTCAGTAAAAATAACTCTAGGGTGGAAGGAAAGGTGTTGCAAGCCAAATTGCTTATTGATTTAATAGGTGTCTTGGACTGCCTGCAGAAGGGAGGAGAGCACATGGCAGTTTCGCTTGCCATCAGTTTCTTTTGACGGATGTGTAATTAGTGTTTTTCCTGGTTTCATACATGAAAGTAATTATGCACAGGTGCAAATGCAGTCTTCCATTCTCCCAGGCAGTTAAAACAGATGGCGCAGATCACCTTCATCAGAACGCTGTAGACTCAACTGTTCAGTGCAATGTCTTAAAAACTGCAGCCATGAACCATGAAGAACCTTGAAATTTCATTGTGGATTTTTCAAAAGAAGAATAGTAGTGGCAAGCATGCCGCCGCATTAGTGTTCCCAGCTTTCCCTTGCAATGTTTTGCTGCAACAATTTCTAAGGTAGTGTTCTTAATCCTTGAGTCCTTGGTTGTTATTGGATTACAACTCCCAACATCCCCTGCTACCTTAGCCAAGCTTGAAGAACACTGTTCTAGGGCATGCATAAATGGCTAGGTCTGAATGGAGTATATCCTGGAGTATTACTTTTTAAAATTTCTGTATTGTATTTCATAACTCTCCTCTTACTTTTCAGAGTCATTGCCTCCATCATACACCAATTGAAAGAGGTGTCCGATTCTCTCTTTCTTAAAATAAGTGATTGTCTCTTAGAGGTTGCTAGCCAGCATTGCTCATATGAGTCCTTTTTGGCAGATGTTTGCATAGTGAGGGACAAAAGAAACTGTGAGTGAAACAATAGGCCTTTGAACAATAGTCCTCGGAAATAGCGGAAGTAGTTGCTTGTGTTTTCTCAGTGAAACTTTATTTTTATGCACTTAATCTGTAGGTCAGACTGCAGACATGACTCTTTAAGGATGTCTGTAAATGAAGAGTTTCCTTTTCATAATTTCCAGCTTTTTCCTTCACTGCAGTGCTTAATGCAGTAACAAATGCTTAGATATGTGCATTCCCCCACTTCATCAACCCCTGCCCTCCACACATGCTCACACAAAAAGCTTAGCATGGCAGGATCCCTTATATACCCAGTGAGGAAAACCTGTGGCTCTTCAGATGTTGGTGGTCCTTGACCATTGGCCATGCTGACTGGGACTGGTGGGAGTTGTAGTCCGAAACATCTGGAAGGTCACAGCTTCCCCATCTTTCTCTTTGGCAGACGTTTATGAGTTCTTGCTATTTGTCAGCTGTACTATGATACTTGCACCCCACTTTTCTCCCTCTAAACCAGGCTTCCTCAACCTTGGCCCTCCAGATGTTTTTGGCCTACAACTCCCATGATCCCTAGCTAGCAGGACCATTGGCCAGGGATGATGGGAATTGTAGTCTCAAAACATCTGGAGGGCCGAGGTTGTGGAAGCCTGCTCTAAACAATTGGTGGTTAACATAAGATCACCCCAACTTTATTCTTGCAGCTGAGGAAGTGACATACACAGGCCTACCCAATGAGCTGCATGGATGGACATGTGTTCAAATTCCCCATTCTTCCATGTCCAATATCTTATTTTTATTAGAATGGTGTTATCTTTCCTTTTCCATTCCAAAGCACTTTGAAGGTGGTTACAGCATCAATAAAGCAATACAGTAAACATCCAAAATTACACATGGCTACATAGCAAACCATTTAATTATCTAAGCTAAAGGCCCAGATAAACAATTTGTCTATTGGTTGATGAAGCACTATCAAAGAAAGTTCAATTGCGTTAGGGCGTTCTCAAATCCAGGTGCCATAATGAAGAGTTCTCTCCTGCATACCCATCAGCTGCACTTCTGCTAGTGGTGAGATAGAGCAAACTACCCCTCTTTTCATTTTCCTCCATCTGAGTAGACAAGTAGAATCCTGCAGCTGAAGATAATGTGTTCCCTAGTTAAGAACCCATGAAGCTGGTGCATCAGCAGACAATTGCAGGATCATAAATTTTTTGATTATAACCAAATTTTCATTACTTCTAATGATCCTCAGCATCACTGGCATGCAAGATAATAATAATATATTTCTAGTGGGAAGTTGATTCCCATCCCCACCCCCCACAAAAACATATTTTCCCTGGTATTCCCCTGTGGCTTGATCTGCTCAGCTGACTTGTGAATTTGTAACTGCCCTGTGAGTCCTCTTCAATTGTTTTTCTTTCAAGCATTTCATGGTGTTCCATTTTGGCTTGCCTAGATAGACCTGTGGAGAAAGGAGCTGTCTTCTTACCACTGGGTTTTACTACATAGCCTTCATAATCTTAGTATAAGCGCCTCACAGGGCAAAGAATGCAAGCCTTCATTTAAAATAACTGTAGCTTCAAGCAAGCTATACTGTGTAAGACTACAAGTCTTGGGCAATCACTCTACGTTGCTTTCTAGTTGAGGTTCAGTCAGGTATATAATCGCCTTTCCAAAAGCCACAAGGGCTAGAATCTGTTAACTTTTGGGGAGCCAAGCAAACTTTTGAAGGATCAAGATTGTGAAATAGTTGTACCTTGGTTCTCGAACGCTTTGGTATTTGGACGTTTTGGCTCCCGAACACCGCAAACCCGGCAGCTTCCAATTGAGTGCAGAAAGCTCCTGCAGGCAATCAGAAGTCATGTCTTGGTTTTCGAACTGTTTCGAGAGTCGAACGGACTCCCAGAACAGATTAAGTTCGACAACCAAGGTGCGACTGTAAACTCAGTAGGGCAAAATAATGTGTCTGGGCACGCAACACATAAGTGTGTCACTAATGTGACTGACAAGCTGGTGCTTTGAAAACACGTCCTTTAAGTGCATCTCTTAAAAGAGCAAAGGTTGACTGCAACTTCCTACTGAATGTATGCTTGGAAGCAAGCCCATGCTGGTTATTGTATAACTTGTGGAATGGCCCCCCAATAGTGAAGAAGTCACAATATGGGCACGTTAACTAGTGGTATTTTATTTTTATTCTTTTTATTTTTTTTGAAGAAAAGTTTATTGAAGTTTTCACAATACAATAAAAGAAACAAACTAACCTACAGGAAATATAGAAAAGAAAGAAACGAAAGAAAGAAGGAACAGATAAAGAAACTACAAGATCCTCCCTCATCACTGTATCTTAACTTTCATCCTCTACAGAGGAAGGTGTGCCCTCCTAGCTCTACCTGGGCTCATTTTACTCTTATGCAGTGGTATTTTGGTAAGTAAAGGGTCAAAACAGCAAGTAGCATTTTAGGATAATTAACAGGGTAAGAGTAGCAATGGAGGGAGAGCTTTGCTGTTCTTTCCTCTACTGTAGTTCCGAGGGAAGCCCTCCTCTGAAGCTGGAATGGGGAGGAAATCCTGCCACCCATTGGTGCCAATACAGGGATGCATATGTCTATTTCAGCCCTAATCATGTCTACTTTGACCCTAATTCAACATGAGCTGAACTCCTTACTGGAATTATTTCAGTCAGCTTTCATATCCAAATTAGGATTGTTTCTGTCTGGTTTATATAATATAGGATTATCTATCCTTATTATCCTATCCTTATTTAGCACCTGACATTCCAAGAGAAGGCTGTCATATCACATTGACTAAGCAATACCTTCTTAATAATGGAGTATCATGGTTGCTTAAATGTTGTGGAGCCCTAAAACTCATTAGAATGGAAAGGTGTGACTAGTAGTGGCTTTCCACCACACCCAAGGATGGAACTCCTGAAGACACCCATTTTCAGTTTGGTTGGAACTGCCCTATGAATCTGACTCTAGAAGAGCGGCCCTTGTAGATATATCCTACTAGATAATAGCTTCTTTGGGTGGCAGAACTAAAAACAACATTAAAGGATAGTAAACTTTTTGAATGTACATTGTCAAATGTTGAAATCAAACTGCACAAAAGCAAAATTTAGCCGGTGTTTGAAACTCTCATTGTCCTAGGCACACTTTGCGACAGGGAATTTCATTAGCGTGAGCAGTTTCTGAGCTCAAAAACAGCTCACATTAGTGAAATTCCCTGTTGCAAAATGCGCCTAGAACAATGGGATCTTTGAACGCTGGTTGTGTGTACCAGGCTGTCACAGGAAGCGGTGTAGGAGTTCAGACACCTATTTTGAGGAGAGGAAGGCGAACATATTGTCTCTTAAGAAATTAATGATGTGAGGTCGCATCTTTTGACACTGCTGTGTAAAGAAGCTGTAACCTGAATAAAGTGAAAGCTTGTGGTTTGTAGAACATGGTATGGAAGTGTACATTGTGTTCCTCTGTGGAACATCTACTTGGACTTCTTGTTCAGAACAACAGCATGTATTTATTAGCAAGCTCCTGGCCTATTGTTTATCTTTGAATGCACCTCTGTATTTTTCTATGAAAAATGATGATCGTGTTAGGGTTGGCAGGAGGCTCCCACTTTGGATGAAATGAGTGCCTCTATAGACTCAGGCAGGCTTGATCATGTTTACGGCAGCCTAATATAACTCTTTATATCTGGTCTTAGGTTATAGGTAAAGGTAAAGAGACCCCTGACCATTAGGTCCAGTCGTGGCCGACTCTGGGGTTGCGGCGCTCATCTCGCTTTATTGGCCGAGGGAGCCAGTGTACAGCTTCCGGGTCATGTGGCCAGCATGACTAAGCCACTTCTGGCGAACCAGAGCAGCACACGGAAACGCCGTTTACCTTCCCGCCAGAGCGGTACCTATTTATCTACTTGCACTTTGATGTGCTTTCGAACTGCTAGGTTGGCAGGAGCAGGGACCGAGCAACAGGAGCTCACCCCGTTGTGGGGATTCGAACCGCTGACCTTCTGATCGGCAAGTCCTAGGCTCTGTGGTTTAACCCACGGCGCCACCCACACTTAGGTTATAATAGCCTTTAAAGTCAAGATCTTAATGCCAGTGCTGCAATACTATGCAATAATTGACCTTGGGAGTATTAAGTGATGTGCTTCATGAAATACTGAATTATATACAGTGGAACCTCGGTTGTTGGAACACTTCGGAAGTCGAACAATTCAGAACCCGAACACTGACAATCCAGAAGTGAATGCTTCCATTTCTGAACATGCCTTGAAAGCCGAACGGCTTCCTAGGCACGTTTCTCCATTTATTTATTTTTTAAAATGTCAATCAGCAATTGTGCCTTGGTTGTCAAACGTTTTGGAAGTCAAACGGTCTTCAGGAATGGATTGCGTTCGACAACTGAGGTTCCACTTTAGTAAAAAAAAAAAATCAGGCAGGTGCAGGGATGGCTGCTTTTGTAATTAAAATACAAGTGATCCCAAGCAAACGGAAACCAGTATCAAACTCTCATTGAAAAACATCCTTGGTTAATCAAAATTTTAGGATGGAAAGAGTTGGTATATCGTAAGAGTTGTTTAAAAATAGTCATGTATTGTGAACAAATCACTGGGGGATTTATTTGACAATAGGAGTTTTTATTATTGTCCTGTAGGGTCAAAGGACTTTGTAGAAGTTCCTATTGGACTTCCCTCTTCCCACTGCCATCTGGGTATCTTTATCAGTGGATTGTGTGCCAAGAGCTCTGCATGACTTCATCAAAGCATTGGAACTGATAAAGCAGCAAAATTATACCATAAAACTAGCAAAAGTAATTTTCCTGTCTTCTAATTCACTCTTTTCTCTCACATCACCTTATCTCACTAAAATTAAATTATGTAGGTAAGTGACATCAGTGGCAGACTCCTGTAAAAGAAAAAGAAAGGTGTTTTAGTTTTACTTAATTATTTTTGGGAAGTGACATATTCTTAAGCCTTATCAGGGCTCAAAGAGTTTCATGAAGGTCACTCAGCTGCTAATGAGTCTTGCATCTTCTTCACCTGGCACATGATCTCAGTTCAACTGAAGCCTTTTGTTCCTCATGTTCCACGAAGGGGTCAAGGTAGACATGGGATTTTCTGCCCTTAAAGCTTATAGCAGGCTTCCTCAACCTTGGCCCGCCAGATGTTTTGAGACTACAATTCCCATCATCCCTGACGACTGGTCCTGCTAGCCTAGGGATCATGGGAGTTGTAGGCCAAAAACATCTGGAGGGCTGAGGTTGAGGAAGCCTGGCTTATAGCATCCAAGCCTGCTTAAACCATGAGCCACAGTCTTATAATGACCAAAGTCTGCTTCTGTTCCACAGCTTCTGGCATGATCTCTTTAGTCATGCACACAGATTCACACCCTGAAATGAGCTAATAACATACTCTGAGTGGCGGTAGCTGTCCAGGATTTAGGGCAGAAGTTTTCCCATCCCTTGCTACCTGATACTTTCAATTCCTATGTTGAGTGTCTGGAGCACACGCTTGCTGATGAAAATAAATCAAGCCATAAAATCTAATTACTCCGCTATCTATATAAAAGTGCTCACATTTTATGGTCAGTTTTAAGGTTATATATATTCTGGGAATAAGTTTCAAGCAAACGTTAAGCTTGCAGTATGTATTAAAGGGAAGTTATGATTGGGAAGTTGCAGAGGGAAGCAAGAGTCAATTTTCATTTTGAATCCAATATAAACACCATGATGCAATATCTCCTTTAAAAAAAAAACATAGATTGAAGATTATCTTTGGAAAAGCAGAATCAGAGCAAAATTTCCAAAGGTAAAGAGGCTTGCCAAAGGTGAAAAAGGAGAAGGAAATATGAATGTGCTAGTTTTAGACAAGGATTTATTGAAAGATTGAATCATAGAATTGTAGAGTTGGAAGGGACCCTGAGGGTCATCTGGTCCTCAGGGGGCTGATCCTGTCTGATTGAGGCAGAGGCTTGACAAATCATGGTTTACAAAATGGGAAGGGTCCTGAAGAATTTATATTCCTCATCCCATGTTACCTATCCTTTGGACCAGATTCCCCCCCTTCCCCCAGTAGCTGTGACTTCACATGAGATGTATACAGACATAAATCTCAGTTCCCTTATAAATCTGAAATTGATGGGTTGGCAAACCAGGTTTTGTCCTAAAATATGACAAATATGGTTTAGGCCAAGATTGGAATAGATAATCCCTTTGGAGGATGGAGGGCACACAGTCTCAAAGCTTGCTTCCATCTTTCAAATTATGGATTGTAGGGAGCTGTTGCCATATCTTCATCCAGCCACACTGGGTGTCAGAGACGCAGTTGAAATGGCATCTCTCAGACAGCTGAGAATATGTGGTGCCAGCATGAAGCATCTCCATGTATTGCAATAAAATATGGTGATTGACTTTGCTTCAGGGCTTGGCAACTTTTTTTATGGCCAGTGGGCACACTTGGCATTTTGGTAGATTGTTGTGGGTGCCAGTCACGAAACAACTGCTGAGGGGCATGACATAATACATGCATACCTTGAATAAAACAATTAAATCTTTTGAAACACTGTAGTTTCATTCCCCGCAACATTATTTTCACATGGTGCTTTGAAGCCTCTTGCTGACTCCTTTCTCTGTCAGCTTAACTATGAAGGTTGGTTCTGCCACGTTGTTATTCTGCATTCCTTAGTCACCGCAACAAGGGTGGATTGATTCCAAGTTTTCCCTCTATTGCACTGCCAGGGAGGGGTGGTAAGTTGTTCCTTGTGTTATTTAGGGGAGGTAGGGACTTTCCTGTCCGTAGGTGGTTCTTATATAGTAAAGAAGGGTGGTTGTATGTGTTTGTAGTTTATGTGGATACCTGAACACTGATCTTTTCCATTTCTTCAGTGAAAGGAAGCAAGCCTGGCCCATGTTCTTGAGCACCCTCTTCATTGCATGCCTGGGCTGGGGAGTTCCTGCAGTTCTTTGAGTAAACCATTGTCCTCACCTGGGTATGTGAGCTAAGATTTGGAGTGGTAGCTTGGAAAATCCTCTGCATGAGTTTCATGTTCCTCATGATGCTCAGTTGCTGTTGTTGTTTAGTCGTTTAGTCGTGTCCAACTCTTCGTGACCCCATGGACCAGAGCACGCCAGGCACTTCTGTCTTCCACTGCCTCCCGCAGCTTGGTCAAACTCATGCTGGTAGCTTCGAGAACACTGTCCAACCATCTCGTCCTCTGTCGTCCCCTTCTCCTTGTGTGCTCCATCTTTCCCAACATCAGGGTCTTTTCCAGGGAGTCTTCTCTTCTCATGAGGTGGCCAAAGTATTGGAAACTCAGCTTCACCTTCAGTACATAACTGATAAAGCAGAAGTTCTCCTGGGGTGAGGGGAATGCCTGTACAAAATAAGATTCTGAATAAAAACTACATGTGGAACAATCACCAGAATGGAATAAGTCTTCCCTTTAGTTAGTCATATTCTGTCTCTTCCATCCTTCCTTCTTGCCCCCCACTTCTGCTTTTTGAAACTTCCTGCTTTTACTTTAATGTGACTACAGTGACAAAGGTGTTGATATTTCTTCAGTATCTGGGCCAGGAACTAAAGATGCTTTGTGAAACTGCTTCCAGGCTGGCTTCCTTTTTTGTACGTGTTTTCACAATTTAACTTTCTTCCTCCTTAGCTTTTAAAAACTGGCATGTGGTAAAACTCCACTGATCTAATTCTAGCAAAGGAGTTGCGACCATCTTAGTGTAGCAAACGGAACCAGCTGTTTTGAGACACTTTGAAGAAGAACTAACAAATAGCTTTCAGAATAAGGTTTGTTTCTTTGTTTTGCTAGTACCTGTGAGAGCTTGTGCCACAACATTTGCCTTTAGGGTGCCCTGGAACTATGTGTCACTTGATCCAATTTTGTTGCTGTGATGCAGAACGGACACAAATAAAGCAACCTTGCAAAGGTCTACCTAGTTAATACCCTGCTATAATGATGATGATTATCTGGTTGCCTCCAGGCTCTGAAATGTAACCTCCCCTTTATCTTACACTAATACTGTAGGCCATTAACAGGTAAAGATGCATCTATATGTATTGCATTTTATGTAGGTAACTTACCTTAGGACCAATGAATGAAAGGCAGTGAACAAGCTTTCTTGGTAGATCCACATTTGACGAGTCTTGTGTATAAGGATCTTTGGACCTTTGTAATAGTGTGTCTTGACCGACTTTCCCCGTAACTCTCGCTCACACATGTCTTTTCCCAAACAAAGTATTGTTATGGGTTTGTGGGTGCCCTGACCCCCTCTTGGTTCCCAGGGGCTAGGGTTCGATCAATTCTTTGAGAATTATGATGAGCTGACAGATATTTGATTCAGCAGTGTAAAAATGCTGAATCAACTCTAAACATGCTTCCTAGGGAGTAGTCCTATTGAACACAGTTGAGACTTCTGAATTAATATGCATAGGATTGCTGTTTAGCTTTGCCACTGTACATACTCCTGCCCTTCTTGATGTTAAAAAACTTTGATTACATATTTTTAAAAGTAATACTTTGTTTAAAACTGAGATTTAAGAAGGCTTGGCTTGTTGATATGGGCTTGTAAGCTGCAGGAGGATATCCTGTGACTTCCCTGATTCTTTTTACAAGGAGACAATAATATAGACAGGATGTGCCCTGTTGCCCTCTACCGTGTCTTGTTTGGGACTAGTGTGAATTCTTAAAGTTTTTCTCCATGATCAGAAAACTGTACTAGTTACATTTTGTCCATAGAGTGATATTCCTTTACGCTTGGTTCCAGCACCAGCCCCTAAATTGCAGTATGTGAGAATAATATCCTATTTTGCTCTGGCTTTTGAAAAAAAGCAAGGGATGAAAGTTCCAACATTAGCTATGCTCCACAGAGGGATAATATAGCCACCAAGGGAATGAAATTCAATAGATGAACAAAATGGAGTGTTACATTCTGCAACCTAGGTTTGTTCTTTGCTTACCAAGAAATCAATCTGCATTGCTTGATTCAGTTTAAAACCTTGTCTTGAGCAGGGCTCTGGACTCCTGCCTCAGAAGTCCTGCCATTGCAGCACCACTGCTGTTCTGCACAGTAAGCCTGCAACTTGCGCACAATTAACTTGTGTGTAATCAGCTTTACATGCCTGGCAAATAAACAAATAAACAAATAGGCAGAAAGGGGGTGAGCATCCACGAAAAAAGACTTTGGCAACCCCACCTGCCATTGAACCCAATGTGTTTTGACTATACAGGATTTTGGCTTTAGGTGTAACCGCTGCGTTAAGGGGCTGACTTACTGTACTGAATAACTTCTCTGAGTATCTAGTACGGTTTAGTTTTGCTCATGTGAACATAGCCTAGAACTAAAAACAGTAGGAGCCTCAAAGGTGAGCCACTTCTTCAGCACTGTTACTGTTTGTAGCCTTTCTTGAAACATATATGGACTCCCACCTGAGTAGTCCAAATGCACAAAGCTTCAGATCGCATCTTTTGCTTTGACTGGAAGAAGGTTTTAGTTTATGCAACAGCTCCATCTACTGTCATACTCCCATCCCAATCTTCTTTGCTGAGTTTGTTTACGTGAGTCTGTTTCTACTGTGATAGGTTCTGCATGTCTGAATAGCACATGAGCCAGTTGGTGTAGTGGTTACGGTGTCAGACTAGGACCAGGGAGACCAGGATTCAAATCCCCACTCAGCCATGAAGTTCACTGGGTAACCTAGGGCCAGTCACACTCTGCCTAACCTACCTCACAGGGTTATTTTCGGGATAAAATGAGAAGGAGAGCTATGTCTGCCACCTTGAGCTCCTTGTGGGGGAAAGGTGCGGTATGAAATGCAATAAATAAATAGCTTGTGAATCTCATTACTCGGAGAGTTGCAGATAGAATGGTCTAAAATTAGGAAATTCCTTATTGATGAGTTTTACCTGCTTTCCATATCATGAGCTCCCTTCTGTCTGTTGCTGCAGATCGACCACTTTGGTTTTTCTGAAGATGGCACATTCAGGCAACGCTACCTCATTGCAGACCAGCACTGGAAGAGAAATATCGGATCGATGCTCTTCTATACTGGCAATGAAGGAGATATCACCTGGTTTGCCAATAATACGGTAAGGGAGATTCTGGGATTCTAGGTAGGAACTCTCTTGCCATTTATTATCTGTACAGCTCTTAGAAGAGGGTTGGCATTCTGATTTCTTACATATATTTCAGCATTGCAGAATAATAATGGAAATGACTGGATAATCCCAGGAGCCAAAAATATTACATTTGTATTATTTAAAGAACTTTGTTCTAGATGACTTGGAAGTGGTGACAAATCTTGCTGCTGCAAAAATATATAAAGCAAAAAACAGGGGGGAAAATACTGCTCTATCAGTTTCAGAATGGTAGAACAGAAAATGTCTAACAGAACAATCCTAACTATAGGAAGCTGAGAAAAGTTGCTTGAAATATACGAGCGTAAATTTTGCTTATATCACCCTTTTTGCCAGCATATGCTCACACTGGTTGCCAGGTCATGTGACTGATCTGAATGGAGTTAGGCTCCATTGCAAGGCACCCTGCCCAGTTCTGCCCACCCCACTGGAATGTCCATTTTTTCCAGGGCTTATGCCAACATAATGTCCCCTGGTCTCAGCTCAGGCAGAGCTTACCCTGGCTGATCTGGGACAAGGGAGTTAGGCTGGTATTTTTCCAGCTGAGCTGGGATGTGGTACTTTTGCCAGCATAGCCTTGGTGTGCTGGGAATTAACTAACTGAGCCAGAAATCCACTGGATCCCAACTTGCTTGTCCTGACTGCTCTTGAGCTTTCTTTGCTCCCTAAATTAACATTACAGAAGAGTAATCAGTAATATGAACTTAATTTGAGACTAACAACCTACTACCTGGTATTGCTCATGAATTCTGAGAATATGCCCCCCTCCCCCCCAAAACCCCCAGTGCTTAAATTCAGGACAGTTTTCAAAGGCTCAGTTTTCATGTTGATTCAAAAGGGCATCTGAGTGTATCCAAACATAGGCGGAAGCTTGGTCCTTGATCTCAGGAACCATTATGCAAAATTTGGGTATCATATCTTAAGAGATTTCCAAATGCATAGTGAACGAACAGCTTTACAAAATATATAGTAGATTAATTGGAATGATAAATTTCAGAATATACAACCTTACAACTCTTTTGCTTTATAGTAATTATATATGCATAGGATGTTCTATAACTCAAACTTATGTTTAAATGGTTTCGTGGTTGGCAGTTTGTAAATAGACAACATTAATTCTGCTGGGTTTTTCTCTTTACTTCCTTCCAGGGTCTTATGTGGAACATAGCGGAAGAGCTTGATGCCATATTGGTATTTGCTGAACACCGATACTATGGAGAGTCTCTGCCCTTTGGAAACAAATCATTCAGTGTAAGTAACCCCTTGCATTCAGGTTAGTCATTGGTTCAATAGAGAATTTAGAATTTTAGAGGACAACTAGAATGGGAGATACGGGTGCGGTAATAGAAAAAACCATAAGCAATTTATATGTAAATAAGAGAGCTCTGGAGCAATTGCAAAATGGAAATTTGAGGTATAGGGATGAGTTGTTTCAGCAAGGGGTAGCCAGTTAAATACAGCTAAAACTCAGTGTCTTCCCTCATAGTCCTTCTACACTGGAGGTGACACAGTCTTGCCATGTGACATTTGCAAGGGTTCCTTTGGTAAAAGTAGACAGGGTTTCACCCACTGTCATAGCTTTACCCTACTATGGCATAATCCCTCCCACAACACACAACTTCGCGGTGCAGTTGTATCACATGTTCATATAGGTGGAGCTTGTGCTATCCAAAGTGGGTGGGAACATCCCAGACACAGTCCTGTTCCTTTGCAGTAGAAACCATGTGGGCTACTGTGCAGTGAGTAGTCAAGTCTGCTGCCATGTGTGGATTCTTCTGTACCTTTTTGCTGAACTCCCACATCATTGTTTCCGGTGCTCTCTCCGTTGAGCCATGTGAGAAATGAATAGCATTTTCACCTCCTGCATTGGGGTAGCAAAGACTAAGAGTCAGTTTTCTGTTGCTAAATGCAAATGTCATGCAATCTTGTTTCAGGATGCCAAGCATCTGAATTACCTGTCTTCAGAGCAAGCTTTGGCTGATTTTGCAGTGCTCATTCAACACCTGAAGCATACTATCCCTGGGACCCAGGACACTCCTGTCATTGCCATAGGGGGATCTTACGGAGGGATGCTTGCTGCATGGTTTCGAATGAAATATCCTCATATAGTAATTGGGTGAGTGCTGTACCAAAAGAGTATCAGAAAATGATCTTGTCTGATAGAAAATTCTGCATATTTCACAGAGAACTAATTGGATTTAAATATCCAATATTCAAACACAAACACACACACACACACACACACACACACACACAGCAGATTTGTCTGTTTGTGTGTCTTTAGATGTGTTCATCTCATGGTTAAGGGTGTGTGTGTGTGAGATTGCGTGCGCGCGCGCACACACACACACACAAACACAAACTCCTTTATTACCAGAGCAAACTACTTCAGTTTTGGGGGACCAGCAGTTTACAGTGGGCACAGACTCTTATCTAAGAAGGGCTAGCTCCAGGGAATGTTAGGCAGGTTGGAGTGGGTCTGGATGAGATGGGGCATGGCACCTGAATTCTCTTGTACTGACTCTGACCAGCTGTTCTTGGTGCTTCAGGAAATTTCCACCTTTAGGAACCAACCCTGTGTTGAAGGCATCAGAAGTATTTGTTGGTGTTTCTGCATCTGCAATAACACCCATTAACTATATTCATCAGATGGCATGCACATCACAACTTAAGACACATTTTAATTTTGTCTCGTGACCTTTCTTCACTACCCTTTCTCCTTTTTTAAAAACAGTGCTGTTGCCACTGTCAAGTCCTCACTTTTAAGATTGGCACAATCAAGTCATGGGTTGCAACCCCCATGTTGAAGAACAACAAAGCAACAGCTCTGTGAGGAAGGCTATTAACTGAAGGGGGAAAGCTTACGAAAAACGAGCCAAGATTGAATGGCTTTGGGGGATGATTCAGTTGGCTCACTGCTAGGTTTGGATCCATGGCAAAAGCTCTTGTTGCCACAAGTTCTCAGTTAGATCTCCTTATTCATTAATCTCCTCTTTTTTCCCCTTGGCTCACAGAGCTCTTGCGGCTTCAGCCCCCATCTGGCAGTTCGACAACCTGGTTCCCTGTGGCAGCTTTTATCGTATCGTAACCGAAGATTTCAAAAAGAGTGGGAACTGTTGCTCCGAAAGCATCAGGAACTCCTGGGCAGCCATTGACCGTCTTGCTTCCACAGGTAGGCAGCTCATGAAGAGACTCGTCTAGAGCCTTCTCTAGGCCTTCGATCTCTGCTATGATGTGCTCCTAGCAGTTCTATAAAGCCTGCCTGCCTTGGGGGTGGGGCTGCCCCTGTGGGGCCAACACCAAAGGGGGTCATCCCTTTGGAGGCAGCACTTTGGTGGTGGAATGAGGGCGTGGACCAGCCTCCTTGTTGTAAGATTAATGTTCTTAAGGGGTTTGCAGCATTAAGTGTGTGTTTTTATTAGTTTGGAGAAATTAGTATTGTTTTATGTTTTATGTATTTCATGCTTTTTTTTATATTGCAACTTTAGTTTGGGAACCACCCTGAGACCTATGGGTGTCGGGTGGTATACAGATTTAATAAACAACATCCAGGCTACCACTTCATTCACTCTCCAGAGATTGCACTTTCCTTTATTCCCTTCCTTCGCACATACCTCACACATTATAATGACCAGGTACTTTCTTCCCAGCTTGGCTTTAAGAAGCACAAATGCTGGGATTGGTGGGAGTTGTCATCCGTAGCCAATTGGGGCACAAGCAGTATCCAGTAGATGCTCATGATGCTGCCCAAATACATTTCACACACATATTTTTTGCTTGTGTAATCCCTGCTGGAAGTGGCCATAGGATCTCACTCAGGGCTCTCCCGAGATGTTAAGAGCCTCCTTTCTGCACTCTTTGTACTGACAGTGGGGAGGAGCCATATCTAGGTGTTCAGAGGCTCCTCTATCTAGCACTCATAGCTCACCTCACTAACCCTAATCGATGCCCACCCAGGTTTTCTGCCTGGGTGAAATGTGGCCTTGAACCCGGGTAATGCCTCTTGCTTCCCTGAAGAGGGTTGTGTTGTGTGACTTTTGTATGGCTTGAATGTAACCTCCTGGAAAGAGTTGCATTTGTTCCTCTGCCCACTTTCTGTCTCTGGCCTCACCCACCAATATTAGTGCAGCCCCCAGGAAGTTGGCAGTGAGGAAATTTGCCCCTTGAGCTAAAAAAAGGTTTCCCACTCAGTATAGAAGTTCAGTTGCCAACATCTCCAGTTTTTTAAAAAAGACTCCTGGATCGGAGAACTTGAAAAAGACCCCAAGAAGAGCCACTGCCCAGAGAGGAGAAAAAACTGGACTAGAGGAAGCAATGGTTTGACTTGGCATAAGGCAGCTTAATATGTGTTAACTGAATCTCTGTATATTTTTCTTTCCAGAGGAAGGCTTGCATTGGCTTTCGTGTACATTTCGCCTGTGTAGCCCACTGAAAACTGTGACAGATGCTGCTGCTTTCAAAGGATGGCTAAGTGAGACTTGGGTTAATTTGGCAATGGTTGACTACCCATATAAGGCTGACTTCTTGCAACCTCTCCCTGCCTGGCCTATTAAGGTAACTGAACAAAGGCATCTTTTCATTTGCTCCCCATCCCCTCTTTTAGCCAACACTTTTTAAAGACTCTAGGAGGTCAAACATGAATAAACAGCAGTGACGCAAGATGCCCAAGGATTCCGTAATAAGAGAATTCTAAGCATAATTTGGTTGATCGCACAACCTCCAGATGATTTTCCTTTATTGATGAGGTTGTAGTTCAATAATAACTGAACACTAAATGGATTTTTATTCTGCCTCTTGGCTCCACAGTGGTACTCCCAAGGTAGCAAATAATTTCAGTTAAAAAATCAGTGTGCAAAAGCAGCCAGCACATTAGGCATCAGACATAAATTGTGGCTTTCAGCATTGTGAGTTGTTTCTAAACAATTGATTTTAATTGATGCCTGAAGATAGAGGAGATGAATATTTTTTAATAAGGGGGTTAGCAGAATTTCTAGTGCCAAGATGTGATGCAACCTAAGCAGGGAGAGGGGAGCACCCCTGCCCAAACACACACACCACAGAAGAGCAAAAGGAGTGAGCTACAAGCTAGTAGTTGAAAGCAGTAGCTTTATTGTAGGGGACGTGTATTCTTAAGTGAGCTGGGTTTCCTATGCTAGAATATGGCACATAGCAGCAAAAGGCTTCCAGAAGGACCTATGGTCATAGTTCAGGTACCACTACCAAGAAGGCCCCGCTCTTTGTACCTGCCAAGTCTACCTCCAGTGGAGCAGTGACACAATTACCTCCCCTAAAGATCCAAGTGCATGAACACGTTTTTACGGGCAGAGGTGACTCTTCAGGTACCTAAAAGTCCAGTGAGGACACAGATTGGTGGGAAGATGCTGCAATGGTTACATCCCAGAGATTCTTCAAGCCCAGTCTAGGATTTTGGGACAGTTTAATGGCCTTTTATTGGGGGGAGGGAGATGAGGGAAGATACGTGGAAATCCAGGTTTGGTAAAACTTTGAAACCAAGTTTGTTTTGTTTGTTACTGCTTGCTTTAGAGGGTTTTTTTATGGCTAGAAGCCATTTAGGGAGGAGGCGGCTTTCTTTGAGAGCCTTTTGACAAGGCACTTCAGTTCCCCAACACCTAAAACCAAGAGATTTCCTTCTCTTTTGTTGCAAAACATTTTTTTAAAAGGGAAAAATGTATGCAGCCTCTCTGGGTGGCATAAGCTGTTCCAGTTTCCTCCCTTCCTTTCTTTTCAAAGGGGGGGGGGGGGCTTCAGTGACAAAACTAATGTGATTATCCTGAGTGAGACTTAGAGGTGTATTGAGAGCTTAGGGGAAAGAATCCGTTCGAACAGTTGAATGTATCTGCTTAATCCTCCTCTGTAATGGGGCCCATGGTCCTCTGGGGGAAGTGCAGGCTTTCCCTCTTTTCCCCAAACCTACCCCCTTTCCCCGCTGCCCTTCATAAAAGGTTGCCGCCTCTTAAAGCTGCTCTTTAACTTCCGTATGGCACATCTGTGCTAGTAAAGGAGTTTTCAGGAATCCTTGGTCTTCCAGCCGAGAAGCTGCTCAGTAGGCTGGAAAAGGCTAGAAGTCGTCTTAATAAGTGATTAACTCCCCCCACCCCTTCACCCTTCGCTCAGTGAACCAGCTCCTGCCAAGAACTGAATACCGAAGCTGTTGGAACTCTCCCCCTCCTCCCCTCGCACCTTACTAAGCCACCAGATCATCAGTGTCTCAAAGTAATGTAGAACAGATTGTTACCTTATCCTCGGCCTGTTTGCAGTAGCATCCACAGTTATGCTGCAAAGAAGCCATCTTAAACTAGAATGAATCTTCTTGGAGAGACCAAACAGCTCAGCAGGAGCTGCACCTAACAACATAAGAGGCTGCTTGATCCAGTCTAGCATCCTGCCCTCACAGTGGCCAGCCACACACCTATGGGAAGCTCGCAAGCAGGATCTGAGCATGACAGTTCTCTCCCCATTTAGAATTCCCAGGAACCTGTATTCAGTAACGTACTGCCTTCAACCGTAGATGATTTCCCTCTGTGAAAATCATTTGGGGTTAGTAAGCTTAAACTCTCAAAGCTGGCTAACCTGTGACTTCCCTAGATGTTGCTGGACTTTCAACTCCCATCAGCCCTGGCCAAGGGATAATGGGAAATGAAGTCCAGCAACATTTTGAGGGCCACAGTTTCCTCACCCCTGCTTTTATTAAAGTATAATGAAGGAAATCCTCTTGCAGCAGATCCGTGGTAATGATTTTGTTTATTGGTAGAATAACAAATGTTTTGGCCATGCCAAGATTCAAAGTTAATTTGCTGATCTGTAGTTTAGAGGTTGCTTATCTGCTATCACTAACCAGAGTGGACAAACTGAGTCTACAGAAAACGCACCCCCTCCTCTCTGCAGGTTTAGTCTGTTGCTGATTTCTTTGCACTCTCTCTTAAAAAAAAACTTCCCCTTTTCTGTCTTTCTGTAGGCAGTTTGTAAATACTTGAGGAATCCCAAACTGCCAGACAAATTGCTGCTGCAAAACATCTTACAGGCAGTAGACGTCTACTATAACTACACAGGACGTGCTTCATGCCTTAATTTAACTCAGACTGCCACAAAAAGCCTTGGGATTCAGGGCTGGTATTATCAGGTATGTATGCAGCATCATTTGCTCTGTGAAACTGTGGCACAAAGTGGGGCTCTTTGCTTGAGACCCATATGTGAATGCAGAATGTCCTATGTTTGATCTCCGGCAGCTACAATTTAAAAAATATAGGATCAGGAAGTCACAGGTAATAGGAAAGATAAGGTTACAGGCGCAACTGGTCTAACCTGGTATGAAACACAATAAAGACCCATCTACGTTTAAGTCCTTTTACAATATGTTCCATTTAATCCTGAGTCATTGGGAAAGGTATATCTACTCATTTCTGTGATCTAATTCATCATATTTAAATGTCTCAATTGTAATATCTTTTAAGTAAACATCAATTCTTTTTGTATTTCCTCTAACCATTCTGCTTTATCTTGTCATATGCAATTAAATTCCAGCTCGGTTTCACTGTCCCAAGTATCCTTAGCTATCATCTCCATTTTCACATTTGAGAGTTCAATTAGCCATTGTGCTTCTATACAAATGGGCATCTATTCTCAACATACATTCTACGGATTTAATGTTCTTCCTAACTGAACGTTCAAATGTGGAAACGGAAGACAGATAAAAACTACTCAATATTGTGAAACCAAGCTGGAATTTGATAGTATATCACAAGATAAAGCACAGTGGTTAGAGAAAATGCAAAACATTTTGGATGTTTTCTTAAAGGATTTAAATACCGACCCGGTGTATGTGTTTACAAATGCAATTTCAAGAAGAGTGCCCATTCCGGATATACACTGAGCCTCAGGAGTTTAGAACAATGAAGCAATAAAAGCTGAATAGTCACACTTTTGTATTGTCCTCATGTTGTACTGTACTGTAAGAAATTGAAGTAGAAAACTCGATTGTTTTAGAAGTGCACTGGCTGCCTTATTTATACAGCAATCTTGATGTACCTGCCTGTTGCTTTACAGAGGATCATAAGTTGGTTCATTTCCCCCCCTCCTTAAAAAAAGGCAGTCTACTTCTCTAAACTAATTTCATTGTTTTCCTCTTCACCCTTCTGCTCTAGGCTTGCACTGAAATGGTGATGCCCATGTGTTCAGATGGCATCAACGACATGTTTGAGCCCGAAAATTGGGACTTGAAAACCTACTCGGATGAATGCTTCAAAACCTGGGGGGTGAGACCTCGTCCTGACTGGATCCCCACTCTCTATGGGGGGAAGAACATCAGTGCTCACAGCAACATCATCTTCAGGTGAGGTGTTGGTGTGTCTGTCAATCATAAGTGGTGGGCATGGCTGGAATGTTAGCTTTGTCACTAGCTGATGGCGTTTGGTGCTTTTCTGGAGCTGCATAGAATTCCTCCCGTGACTGTATTGTGACTCTCTGTCCGCCAACAGGAGCTACTCTAATAACAGACAGCTTCTCTTGTCTACATTTTCCATTTTATGCAAGGTAGTAGTACTTGAATAGTCAGCAAATGATGCAAACCTGATGCCACGCCAGCGGTGGGGATGATAACATAATTGCATATTGGAATTGCATGAGTAAGAGATTTATGTGGTCAGCCTTGCATTCAGTTTGCATAGCTTGCTAAAAGTAGAAATGACTTTTGTGGGAGCAGGTGTCTTAGATGTGCATGCACAGAAGTAAACAGCAGGTGTCAGCTTGAATTTTTGCTGGAATCTTACATTCATGGCCCACTTTTCAGCCAAGATTACTTTCCACAACGGCTTGCAAGTAGAATTGGTGCAAATATACAATATAATCAGGGGCATGTTGGTGTGATGGGGAGAGACACACACACGTGACCTTCGGGACCCCTGACAGTTGCTTTACAGTTGACACCCTGATCCAGTTTCCAGGGTGATAACACAAAACGAGCCTTTCCATTGACCTGCAGAGATTGCTGGGATGGGATGCAAACCTTTTGTTAATTAGGATGTTCCTAACATGCAGATAGATGTTCATTTCTTTCTCCCCTTTTTCCTTCCAGCAATGGTGGGCTCGACCCCTGGTCTGGGGGCGGAGTAACACGGAATATCACGGACACTCTAGTTGCCATAGTGATCCCAGAAGGTGCTCATCACTTGGACCTGCGCTCCAACAGCCCTTACGATCCGGACTCGGTGCTGCAAGCCCGTCTTTTGGAAGTTCACTACATGAGACTTTGGTTGCAGAACTATCGTCGTAATGGTTCGAAGTAACTGAAAGAGCTGGTTTTTGTGGTTTCTGCTTTCTCCTGTCAACGCCGAGGGAGGATCTGCTGGCTGGATGGCTGGCTTCACACAAGTGTTTTCCCCCTCGTTGTTTCATGCCTGCTTTCCTCTTTCTCTCCTAGCCAAAGCATCTTATTTGTATAGCAGATGTCTGGCTGTGCAAAGGATCTTTTGAGGTGGCAAACCTAAACCTTGCAGTGTATGGCTCCAGACTGGTGGCTCTTCTTTACTGTTCTTCTGGCACTTCACAATTTTGACAGTTCAAATGGCATTGCCGGTGTTTAGGGCCCCGTCCACTCCACCAGGTCTTATGGAAGAAAGCTGCTTTAGAGAAATTTCCCACTGCTCCTGGTTGAGCACTGGAACCCAAACTTGGGAGTGTAGGGTATCTCTGTGGGGTGGGGGTTGGGGGGGGGGAGAGGCTTTCCTTTCTTGTCCCACAAGCATCCCTCGTTTGTGGGAAGCTGGCACATAAGTAACTTATAATATCCACTGGGTTTAAAGCTGTATTGTGTAAATTCACAGATGACAAATCAGTGGCTAATAAGGCATTATGGCTCAAAGTTCCTGATCATGGAATTTCTATCTGATTTCCTGTTGCTGGGGATCACAGGAATGACAGAAGGTTGGTGCTTTCAAGAAGCCCCCAAGCAGGGCATGAAAGCATCTCATTGGCTGTGGTTAGAAAACAGGATGCTGAACTAGATGGATCCTTGGCCTGATGCAGCAATGCGCTTGTGTTAAGCTAAACGGTTTATGACATAGGTGTAAATTTTTTCAGGGGCGCTGTTGGGCTCAAGGTTCCCCCCCCCGGAATTCCCCCAGCAGACAGTGCCAGGCATATTGAATGGCTCACCTGATAGACTCAGTAACAATAGTCGCTGCTGCAGTACAGGACCGCCCCATCTCTGTGTTGTACCACATTTGCCATGACTCTTTGGGGCTTTGTTCCTATCTGCCAGTAATTTTGTTTGTGTGTTTGTTTGCTAAGAATTTATACCCTGCCTTAAACAGGGTGGCTTAGGCTGGCTTCACCTTTTCATTGGACCATGAACTGCAAGGCCTCAGTCGGGCCCAACAGATTGCAAAGCTGTTAAGGAAAAAAAGGCCAGATAAGCTATGAGCCTCCATAATATTAAACAAAAATAAAACCTTCAACATATTTTACAGGGATAATAACTGTTTTGTTGCAGTTGGGCGTGAGTGTGTCTTAGTCACCATGAAAAACAACAGGAAAGAGTCTGTGGGATATGAATGACTGTTTTTATTATGGTATCAGTTTTTGTAGGCTAAAGCTTATATATGTGTGTGCGTGTGTTACTGAGTTTTAAATCATAGCAGATTTTACAACAAACAAAACTATAAACAATCATGGTTACTTATTTTAGTCTAACATGAGTCATATACCATCTTGAGGTTGTTTTGAAGTTAAGATCTTGTGTTCCTGAGATTAATGACCCTGTAATTGGATAGGTAAGAAGTTGAGTTGACTGTCTATCCACCCAGTCTGATTCTTCATGTATGCATCTGAGGAAGTAGGTGCTGGCCCATGAAAGCTTATGCCCTCTTAAAATAATTGCAGTTAGTTCATGGTATCAGGGGTGAAAAACCCAGTCTGTGGCACTTTGAAGACTAACACAACTACTCTCCTATTTCTTTATATGCCATTTAGACCAAAAGAAACAACGTCAAACTGCTTAAAAGAGTAGGTATGAGAGAGACTTTTTGTCCGCTAATGTGAACCGGCCAGCTTGAGGCAATATGACAAAGCCTTATCCCTCATCTTAAACTGGCAGATGTTTTAAATGAAGGGATATTCTGGGGTCTAGAGTGGTTGCAACACTGATGTTTTCCTTTGAATTGTGTTCCATTCACCATTCTCAACAATTTTCCATGCATGGATTTGTTATTAGAAGCATAAAGCCCATTCTATTGCTCCCAATATGGACAAGCACACCTGCAACATTCTGCAGTGGAGACCTGAATGCGGTGGTGGTAGGGATCAAACAGAAAAGCCTCACTTTCGTTTTTCTTCCACATACCTTTCAGCAGTCTGTCGCAGTCTTACTCTCCTGTAAGTGCTGTGAATCTGGGCCCATAACCTGTTGTTGGGATACTGCCAGGGAGATAAAGTCCATCATGGCCCCCAAGCCGTCTGCCGGACGATCCATCGACCTCCCGTAGGCACGCAGCGACATGAGTTTCTAGAAAATACCTTGTACACATTCCAGAGCTCATGCACACTCTGTCAGCAATTAGCACAGCCAAAAGTTGCAGTCAGGAGAGCATTATTTACAAGTTTATTTAGTGTTGATCAGAACACAGAAAAACATGACTGCCTGCTTTTAGTGTCTGCGACACAGAGAGAGAACGAAAGCAATAGCAAACATAAACATCCTGTGAACAGGAAATACGCAGACTCTGTGACTCACAGCCTGCTCCCTTTTAAGGTGGAACGGAAATATCCTAACATCTACTACTTATTCCTTAAAAAAAAGCACACCATCAATTTTTGTATTGGTTTTCAGTGTAGCAAGTAACAATTAAAAAAAGGAACAAATAATTCTGCAATAAATAAAGAGAAGAACTCTATACACAGAGAGGGTTCTAAACACATGCATATGCACAAAACATTAAAAAGGATATAGGGAATCTAGGTACAATGAGAAAAGAAAATACATTGACCCACACAACAAAAGGGAGGTACAGCAGCTTAGGGTTGAGATAAACAGATCAGAAAGCCAAGTGGCAGCCTGGATGATGTCTCATACATTCTGGTTGCATAGGATAAATAAAAAAGGGCCACCGCATAATCTCATATTTGTTGGATTTTATTGCTCTCCTGCCAAGCCGCCTTCATTGGGTGAGTCGTTCTGGTTGCACCAAATTATAAACTTCACTGCACCATCCTTCCAGAGGTAATGTAAAATTAAGTTTCCAGTGGCAAGCTTTTTGCATCTTGGCAGCTGCAGGAGGGATTAGAACCAAGTTTGGGAGGCCAAGCAAGAGCTGGACAAGATGGGCCATTGGCCTGATACACCTGGCTCTTCCCATTTATTTCATCATTAATTAGAAGGAATTGTAAATAAATAAATGAATGAATGAATGGAGGAAGCTCTTGCCAACAGCGCTAGTTTGTGCAGATCCAGAAATGTGACCCCCTAGAAATGTGTTATTCAAGGTGCTAACTGAAGAGGGTGCCATTGTTTTTCAGATACCATCCCATCTTCTGCATAATCGTCTCCCTCTGGTTTCCGTTGCTTCCTCTCTCCCACCCCAGCAGCCCCCAGTTTCCATTTGCAAAGGGGGAAAAATATTTTAGTTCGATCTCCTGGCTGTGGAAAAAATAAAGGGCTGTCCTGAAACATGGAGCTGCAGGATGGCAAATCCCTTCCGTTTGTCTTGTTTCCTTAATCTATGCAACCCCTTTGGGTGGTGGGTAAGCAGTTTAGGTATTTGCCATAGAAGGGGAGGTGGTGTGCCCTCCTTTCTTAACGACAAAACTAATGTGATTATCCAAGTGAATGTGAGAGTGGGGTATTGAAGGCGTAAAGGAAATCTGTTAGAATAGCTGAATGTATCGGCTTAATCCTTTTCTCTAATGTGCTGGACAATGCTGTTGGGAGGCGGTCGCTCTTTCTATACAGGAGCAAATGCTTAGTCTGCAGAGGTTATGAGTAGCTGGCAGCTTTTTAAAATACTTTTTCTAATGCCTCTTTTTTTTTAAAGAAAAGAAAAAGAAAAACACAACCACCAAAGCTGCTGGAAGTAGCTAAGGAGCACTCTGAAAAGCATTGAACAAAAACAAAAAACCAACCCCTCACAAAATCTAAATAGTGGAACTTGGAGCAAGATGAGCATTTGTTTTGCCTCCAGCTGCCCAAAATGTTTTGGAACTAGATAAAATTCATCATTATTATTATATTTCCGCTTTTCACTCACACGAGTCACAAGGCGGCTTACATACCATAAATAATGACATAGTAGAACACCACAAAACATTAACAAATCATCAGTAAAACCACCACCTTCCATAAAACACCAGTAACAAAACAACTTTAAAAATAGGCCAAACAGCACAACTGCGAGAAAAGTCATATTGCAAAATTCACAAAGCATTGCAGCTCTCGTAACCCACAAAACAATATTAGCAACATTAGCAAACTAACAACCGAAAACAAACTAAGCATTGCTGAATTTTCTTTCATCGTAGAAACAGATCCTTACCAGCCCATTCAATGCATAATACTGAAGGGGAAAGAGGGTTTGTCTTCAAGAACGTGTCATGTAAGGCAGCAGCAAATTACCTAAAATATTCTGAGTGCTGTACATACCTGCATATATCAAAGCAGTGGTTCCCAGATGTTTTGGGCCATTTCCCCAATAGTTCCATAAATTCATCCACTGTGCCCCCTGCCAAAAGAATAGCTGTCTGCAAGACCCACTAAGGGAGATAACACAATAAAATCCAAAGTGGGAACAATTAGTTGCATGTTTATTCAAAATCCAGTTAAAACCAATTAGCTGAATAGCTGAATTAATGCAACAAAACTGCTGAACTTGATCCAGTGGTACCAGCTTTTCAAAGCCATTTGCACCTACAGTGTCCCCTGCTTGCTGCACTTCCCTCTAAGCACCCCAAGCACCTGCAGGGGGCAGTACCACCCACTTCAGGATCCACCGATTTATGCCATCATTGTGGCTAAAGGGACGCGGGTGGCGCTGTGGGTTAAACCACAGAGCCTAGGACTTGCCGATCAGAAGGTCGGCGGTTCGAATCCCCGTGACGGGGTGAGCTCCCGTTGCTCGGTCCCTGCTGCTGCCAACCTAGCAGTTCGAAAGCACGTCAAAGTGCAAGTAGATAAATAGGTACCACTCCGGCAGGAAGGTAAACGGCGTTTCCGTGCGCTGCTCTGGTTTGTCAGAAGCGGCTTAGTCATGCTGGCCACATGACCCGGAAACTGTATGCTGGCTCCCTCGGCCAATAAAGTGAGATGAGCGCCGCAACCCCAGAGTCGGTCACGACTCGACCTAATGGTCAGGGGTCCCTTTACCTTTACCATTACCATTATGGCTAAGCCAGGTGAGGGTAGCCAATGGGTCTCGAACCCTCTGTGAGTTAGGGTCTTCCCGTGCATGTGAAGACAGGCTCTGGTGTATTGAGCAGACGAGACCAGTAGTGGGTTCATTGGTCAAGAAGGCAGTTTCTGCACCTGCTGTTGAGAAGTGGGCAGATAGGGCTTGCCAACCTGGGAAGGGAGCCCATCTAGAAGGAATACACTGATCCCTAACCTCTGTTGCCTTGTGAGATAGCTTCTAGAGAAGAAAAGGCCAAGGAGTAAACCCTACACAAATCCAGAGAGATGTCCCTAAAATGGTTAGATCGTGTCTTGTACGCCTCCTTCCAGCAACTCCTGCTGCCAAGCTGGTGCCAAATGTCTTGCTCTGCTTTCTGTTGGACCCACTCAGTGAGGCTGAGAGGGGTGCGTCTTGTCACCTGGGCAGCCCAGTGCCTCTATACACACTGCCCAAGCTTGTGTCCTGGGGAGGTCATTTCGGTTTGATGTCACCCCCAGAGGCACACTCCATTGTCTTTCGAGACAGATGGATGCCAACAGCAGCCACATTTATTAAAGGAGAAGTCCCTGCCTGAACGTTCACAATCTCAGACATGACACAAAAGGAAAATCAAACAGGGAAGGGAAAGGAAAGTGAGTCTTCATCTACAGATGAATGGTGCCATATTGGTTGGTTGACCCCCTGTCCATGGGAAGCAAGGGCTGCAGTTGTCATCCTAGATTTCCTAGACTGTTCCTCCCTGCAGCTCTGCAGTTGCGGGTAAATGGCAGTTTGAGCAGAGTATTCTTATATTTCAGGGAAGCAGTACAACAGCACTGTGAGGCGATTCAGAATTTACTCCCTATTGCAGAGAGAGTGCTCTTAAGTGGTAGGAGACGGCCTTGTCTCAAGGACTTCCAGTGATTTCCTAACTGCAGCAAGACTAGAACACAAGCCTGGGACATTTTAGCCAATAGCTGTAGCCCAGTCATTGGGCAACCTTTTCTGGAATGAGGGCCAAATTCCCTCGGCCAAATGTCTTGAGGCTACATGCAAGCCCAGAAGTAAAAGGGGGCAGAGCAACAGACAGGACTCTTTTGCATTCACACACATCTCCTAATCTGCCACCCAAGAAAGTAAGATGAATATTCACAATGCAAGGATGCATTACAGCCAGGTGGAGCCGGCCCGCCCATGAGGCAGAATGAGACGGCTGCCTCAGGCGGCACTCTCTAAGGGTCATCACCCATGTTCTGCTGCCCAACTTTGCCACTGGTCTCCCCAGCCTCTGGGGGGCACAGAGGGACCGGCAACAAAGCTCTGCGGAACGCCTTCCCTTCTGCCAAGTTGGCATGAGGGGAGGTGTTCTACCACCCAACTTTGCTGCTGGGCAGGGGGCAGGGAGATTCCCCACCCTGGCAGTGTGGCAGGGCTTTGCTCCAGCTTTTCCTGAAGCGAGGAGCCACTGCAAACCCGTGTTGTCAGGTGGGGAAGGAGTTCCAGAAAGTATGCTTCTCCCTGTCCGGCGGGGAGGTGAGGTCAGGTAATCAATATGCTTGCTGCTGTGTGAAGTGAAGGACATGAGGCAGGAGTTGGTAATGCAGGTGAGCTGCGCACAGGTGAGCTGCAAGCAAGCAAGCTGCTGGCCAGCTCTGTGGAGGCTCCTTTTATTGACACAATATGCAAACCCAGGTAGATACATTTTGGGCTGTGACCATTACACATCTTCCAGTCCCAAGATCGTGGGGTGGTACAAAGTTATTTTGACACCTGTTTCCACCATGTCATTTCCCCCTTGCACAATGTATGACAAAAGAGACAAAGGTCACAGACAGGACAGGGCAGAGTACCGAGATCGCAGAAGGTTAGACAGAGGGCAAGATGTTCAGACAGCTGTGGCTTTATCTGTGAGGGGGAGTGCGCTCCGCACCCCAAGGTCGTGCGTTCAGGCAGCTGAGGCTGCCCATGGGCAGGAGTGTGCTCTGCAACCCAGCGATCATTCCTACACTGTGTCACCTCAGGCAGCAAAGGTTCTTGGGCCAGCACAAGCCAGGTGGAGGTACCCAGAATTTCCAGCTCTGCAACTATCAAGGGCTACTAGCCATAATGGCTATGTTCTGCCACCACACTTGCAGGCAGCGATGCTTAATGCCAATTGCTGGAAGCCACAGAAGGGAAAAGCGTCCTTTTGCTTGAATCCTGCTTCCCAAAGATATCTGGTTGCCCGCCATGAGACTGGGATGCTGGCCTAGATGGCTTTTCTTGCGTTCTAATGCAGACACGCCTCCTTCGCCTTTGAGTCGGGCAAAACCATTTCCACGAGAAGCGGCATCTCTCGGTCTCAGGCCCTCCCTTTAATTTCCTGAGCTCCGTGCTTGAGGCTTTTGTCGAAACAATGACACAAGACCTTTGTGAGACACCGCTTCCAAGGTCTCTCTCCCAAAGTGATGGGGCCTGCCACCTCCTCATGTCGAGAAGAGGCCAATAAGCAGGAAGGCAGCAGGAGGCAAACGCAATAACCGCAGGCCCTTGAGTTATAGTGGTAACCTGCCGAAATCCCAGGTCGCCGAGTAATTTACAGAGGCGGCCCGATGTCATCCGAGAACAATTCCCGCAGCCTAGGCCCCAAACGTCTACGGACTCCTGCTGCTCATATTATTAATACTATCAACAAACAGCAGGGCGTTTATACCGCAGAGAAAAGAAACCCGACTCAGGCAACTGAGCTAAAGGATCACCAGTGGCCCGGATTCAGTGGGAAACTTGAATTAGGGTTTAATAAGGGCGTGATGGGAAAATAGAGCTTTTCCTAACATTTTCTCCAATAGGGCTTTTTTGTGTGAGCTGCATCAGTGTGTGTGTGTTTGTTTGTTTGTTTGCAGGGTGGGGGGCTGACTATGGAGGAACAGGTGCTCAGCAGTGGCAACAGCGGAGGGGAGGAATTATAGGCAGGGGCGCAGAAGGGGCAAAGTATATTTCTAGGTGGGTGAGTTGCTTCTCACATGCAAGATCTCAAAGAAAAATAACAGTACAGTGGTACCTCGGGATGCGAACGGGATCCATTCCGTTCGCGTTTTGCCGCTTCTGCGCATGTGTGTGATGTCATTTTGAGCGTCTGCACAAGCGGCGAAACCCGGACGTAACGTGCTCTGTTACTTCCAGGTTGCCGCGGAGCGCAACCCAAAAGTTCTCAACCTGAAGCACATTCAACCTGAGGTATGACTGTAAACGTTAATGAGGGGGGGCAAGCTCCTTGTTCGTAGTTGTGAGTGGCGATTGTCCCTCCTGCCCCCACGCTGTTGCCACCCTTGTGCTCCAGACTGGCCTCTTAGCATT